TATTAATTTCGTTTTCTTTATTTAATAATTTCGTTTTCTTTATTTAATAATTTCGTTTGTTTCTTTATTTAGTAATTTCGTTTTCTTTATTTAATAATTTCGTTTTCTTTATATAATAATTTCGTTTTTTGGTTTCTTATTTTTTTGGTTTGCACTATTGGGCTTCCGTACTCTACACACTTAGTCGTTATTTGTTGTCGACTAACGTAAATCATCAAACATCATTGACAATTGCTGCAACAAAAGATTCCTCCATAATAAAGGCATTTAGAGACATCATTAAAACAAAAGAAACGTGTCCTAGGGCCGATTATCAGCACCAGCCCGGGAAGGAATTGAATTTTGTAGGAAATTCTCAATAATATGAGACAGAGACCTCTAACCGAGAAAGTCATAAAACAAACGCAAATTGCTAAAAAATATTTTAAAAACGTTGTACTTTTCGGTACATTTACTGTATATAAAGAACCTTTTTGAAAAGGAAGTCGGTAGCAGGAAATGAACAGCATTAATCATGATTTCTGTGGAATCGTCTACACGTCATGTCGGATAATGCGTTTGAAGTCTCTTTTAACCCTTTGATGAAATACACAATAGTTCGATTAAAATGAAAGAAAATGAACACGGAGGGAGAAATAAATGAGATCATGAACATGACCGTGTCGTTTAGTTTAATCAGGCTACATCGCCAACTCGTGTTAATTTGTATCAAGGTCTAATTTTCTTTTGAAGTTTTCTCTTAACATGTATAATTCTATTTTATATGACGAAACAAAGTAAAATTGGCACTTTTAGATTTGTAAAAGCACGTTTGTCAAGAAATGAATTCATTTGACGAATCTTTAAATTTTTTTAATGAGATAGTAAAAATTGCGCATGTAATGGTAAAAGCTTTCACTAATAGAATCAACAATTTAGTATTTTAAAATATAGGAATAATAACATGCAAGATGTAAATTAAGAAAATTTCAGCAAACATGAGTATGTTGCCAAAGGATTTTTAATCGATGCTTGTAATTGTCACTTTCAGTGTAATAACCAAGAAATGTGAGAAACATGACTTTACATTTTTTTGTGAAAAGTCACGTTGTAATATTGCTATAAGCATCTGCTATTAGAACATCATAGCTCGTGGTACATGATTTCAATCTCATATCTATTATCTCAATCCATAATACAATGCGCCCATGAAGGAAAAGGTGGAGCAATTGCTAAACAGGCACTGGACTTTCCGAGTTCTTGTAAATATTTGAGACTCGGGGTAAAGTGTACCCACGGTGAGTTTGTAATACACAACTACCCATTGTGTACATAGTCTGAAGTTAATTATTCTCTAGCCGTATTCCTGTATTTACGGTTGAGTATTGTCTATACTGAAATTAATTGGCAGGGTTTAGAGTACCAAATAAAATCCATTTCTTCTCGGGTATCGAAAACAAACTCCATTTCTTCTCGGGTATCGAAAACAAACATTATATTCTGTTTATTCTATGTTTAGCTTCGTATTTCCATATCAAATATCAATTACATAGTGAGACCTTTCTTATAAACAATGTCAAACGCGTGACAGGATCATGAAAATATTCCGGGGCAGCTCAAGGTCGACATCACTTTTACATAAAAATTAAAATTAGGAATTATGTTGTATTTAGTAATGATTTAAAGTCTCGTCTGATCTGAGGTCGGAGTTATAACGGAGACTGGGGCTCTCTGCAAAAAAAGAAGAAAAAAAAGATTTTGGGTCTCGAAAGGGAGGTGCAAAATTTAATCCTCTTTGATCCAAAAGTTCAGGATACGACTGAGTGAGAACCAGTTGTTGCGTATATAAACACCCCGATGTTCTTCGAGAATAAGATGCAAGAGGTTTTACATCTGAAACTTTACATCTACAAGACAAAGTATCAAAACCGCTTTAATTCTTGTGTTTTTACACTTTAAGTTGATGACGCAAAAGGTTGCCACAACGCAAAATGTATTATTCGCGTATATTACATTTTGCGTTATAACATTGCATATTAGTGATTAATTAACAAGAATAGCATCGATATCCGTCTGAATTCAAATAAAAATTTCTCTATTCTTTCAAATTGAGGTCACGAGCCCTTAAATGACCCGGTTTTTGGTTTTACAAATATTTACAACTCACAGAGTAAATGCAAAGGTATTGAATTTTGTTTCAAAATTAGAATATTGAGCGATTGTTTTGTAATTTATCTGTGAAAGAAAATATATATTAAGGAAGATAACTCGATTATTTTGCTTGTTCTTGGTCCAAATAGATTATCATTTTGTATCTTAAAATATTGTATCTGTAAGAACCACAGTTACATTTCAAAAAGATAAGAATAAAGCCCATTTTCACTCACGTTGCATTAAACGATTATAACTTGTCCAAGGAGCGATTCCAGTGCTTCCTCCAGCTATTAAATTGTGAAGAAAGGAGTTTAAAATATTGTTTAAGGAATCGTACCATCCACAATAAGAAGGAAAATCATTTCAGTTAAGCTATAGACGTTTTTTGTGCCATAACACGGACTGTTGTGGTGACAAATTGGATAACGCACATTTTAGCTGCAGAACTGTAGCTCTCTGAAAAAAAAATGACGGACCGGACTGTCATTTTTTTTTCGGAGAGCTACAGTTCTGCAGCTACACACATTTGTACGTTATGGAAAGTCTGCAAAGCCGTCCATATTAAGACACAATGAATGTTAAAGATTTACAATTCAATTCCTATTATAGTACGGAGGCCCATTTAGGACCTATAAAAAATATTTTTGAATTCGATATAATGAATTATCGAAATTGTTATAACGAATTTAATTCGTTATAACAATTTCGTTGAATTCGTTATAACAAATTTAATCTGATATAACAAATTTGTTGAATTCGTTATAACGAATTCAAAAATTTGTTATAACAAAACGAATTCTTTAATTTGTTATAACGAATTAAATTCGTTAAAACGAATTCGCCAAATCGTTATATCGAATTCATATATATTTTTCTATAGGCCCCGATTGTTGAATTTGATTAAACAAATTTTACTCGTTATAACAAATTTTAGAATTCGGTTAAACGAATTTAATACGTTCAACGAATTCAAAGTTATTGTTATAACGAATTAAATTCGTTATAACAAATACGACAATATGTTATATCGAATTCAAAAATATTTTTTGATAGGGCCTAAATGGGCTTCCGTAATCCGTCCTATTATGGTGTTATAAATGCCAAAGCTTTCAAAGCATTTTATAAGAAAAATACGTACATATGGAATTTGATAAATTTGCTTTGTTTTGTTATAATCTATATATTTCCACAAAACGGGGACATTATTTAAAAAGCATTCACTGACCTACATGTATTTTTTAAAATTTGTCAACATTTTCACGTTATTTATAGGTTTGGACCCAGCAGATCCATATTTTCAGGGTACAGATGTACGAGTGAGACTTGATCCGAGTGATGCCGCATTTGTTGACGTCATTCATACCGACGGCTCCAGTATTTTGCAACTAGGATTCGGTGTCATGCAACAAATGGGTCATGTGGATTTCTATCCCAACGGAGGCTCCAATCAGCCCGGATGCGATTCAGATTTCATCGGCAAACTATCTCACACAGTATGGACGGCAGTCACACAGTTAGATACTCTAGGTATAGAGAAAATTTCAAATTCATCTCTGTTGATGGTTTTTACATTCATATTGATCATACATGTAAGTGAAAATTTCCCCCTAGAATTAGATGGCGAAAGCACATTATGAATGTGAATTGTTAGAGAAAATAATAGAATAAAATGAATGCCTCTATTACATTTTTTTGAATTTTTTAAAATCTACATTATCATTGCCAACACATTTTTTATTTGCCTAATACATGTAATATTAAGCGTTGTCATTCAAATAATTATCACCGGAATATAATTTGGCACTAGGAACTTCTTTTTTGTTGTTGTTTTTGGGTCGTACCCGAACAGAAATATACTATAAATTATAGTACCATTTATTTCGTAAAAAGAATATTATAACCGTTTTTAGCGGCAGAAGGAGCCGTTGCCTGCAGTCACGAGAGATCATACGTGCTCTATACAGACTCGGTCAGTAGCAACTGTCCGTACACTGCATACCCGTGTACCAGCGGGTCGGAGTACGCCGCTGGCCACTGCTTAACATGTACCGGAACCGGATGTTCTGAGATGGGATACAACTCGAAGAACTACTCCGCTAGGGGATCTTTTTATCTGGATACTACAGCTGCAGCTCCATTCTGTGGTAGATTACACTTGTTTTTGAGAAGGGTAGAAATACTAGTCAAGTTTATAAGCATGAAAATTTCTCATGGAAAAAATATGTTTTAGAGTTCCATTATCAAATTAATATTACTGGTCGAAACAACATGGATGGGATAATAACCGTTGTCCTACAAGGAACCAAAGGCAGAACTGCCAACATTCCATTGATGACGTAAGCATATAGAATGTTCCAATGAGGTACTGAATATACAAAGTATGTAAAACTAAAACAAATTTTTATTGCTGCTGTATGATTTTAAATGTCAACTTTTACAAAATCTAAAATTCAGGGCAAATGAGGTACACACAAAGGGACATATCATCTCAAAGTTCATAAAAGTTCCCAAGGATATCGGCTCCTTGACAAACATTGCCCTTGAGTATGACAAAACCTCCAGTTTACTCACGGGCTGGGCGTATCCTAACGACTGGCAGTTGATGGGCATGTCTGTTTTAAGTGCAGAAGAACAGAAATTGTGAGTAGGATTAAAACATTTTTTTCAGACTTGAAAATAAATGTATTGGAAACTTCATTCATGCATATACTTTAATCTTCTGTCCATGGTAAAGCCATTAATATTCGTTATGTTTCATGTTGATCCTTTCAGATACACGTTCTGTGCATATGGAAAGACGTTGACAAGTCACAAACCGGTAGCTTTGGGTCTTACAGGAACATGCTGATTTCAAGTTTAAACTCACGAAGTAAAAAAATCTACCCTTTTATTCTTTGGTTTTTTTTTTTATTACATGTACCTTAAATAATTAAATAATTAGATCTTCAGATTTTCTGATGACTAAAATCATAAGTACAATTTATTATACAACAAACTTCGATACTAGTACAATGTCTTATGTTACGAATATATCGTGTTTCCAGGCGATAGTAGGATTTTTGCTAAGTCGGTGGTTATATTTTTTCCCTCACTGTTACACGCAAAATGATATACAATGCGTTAAGAACACAGATACAAAAACAATGTGCAAAAGAAATGCTACACAACTTGTTTGATTTCAATGGAAAAAGAAAACATGTTGTTAAAAAAAAACATTCATTCTTCTTGTGTGAGTCTTTGTTATGTACTCTGTGTTGGGCTCGAGGTCCTTGTCTCCTGTGTAGTGGTTCTCATACAATCTGGGTGGTATATTTCGGAGTGTATCCCAGACTGACAGGCTCTGATAGGGGATCGTCCCATATTTACACATCGTCCACCGACAACTTTTGTCTAAAAAGAAATCCACATTGTATGTTAGTCCTTTTAAGATAGTAAAGCAAAGTACAAGACAAGACTAAATTTACTCATCACTATACCCGGTTACACGATTAGTGTATTGTTTAGTTAAACATTTCAGAAATGTTTGGCTTGCTTCCTTATCACAAGTCATTCATTTATACAATGTCAATCAAAGTTGAAATTCATGGTTCGATCATATCCTTTTAAGGAAGACGATTCGTATTCACGTGCAGTTTTAATCCATAGATCATAAAATACTATAAAGTCGGTTATTTTTGCGGTATTCTTACGATTTCGTATTGAAAGTGACACAACTATGGTCTATAATTGTTTTTAATCTATATTGTTTCGACACGTATATCGAGACAGAAGAGTGTTGCGGACAAAGCAATGACGTAAGCATAACCGGAAACAATGTTTGCACCAACCGAACTCGATAAAATTTTCCTGATTTCCCCTTTTTCAGATGTGAAACATAAAGTCTATGTCACTGCTAAACAGTTCGATGTGACGTAAATATAAACATGTCATGGTCCTGAAAGTCCAAACTATTGATAGATTTGTAATTTGTTATCATGCATTACACAAGCATGCCGGTAAACAGAGATTAAAGAATATTCATTATCGAGAGAGCTCGAAAAAGTACGCGTGACACCCAGAGATGAAAAGCGAAACTCACTGAGAGATCATGATTTGCGTCATGTAAATCCAATTGTTAATTCTATTCATGTAGAAATTCATTTTTGGAAAGAATGCTATGCTTATCCCATGTTGTGGTTTCACATAAAGTTAGTGTTCTTGATGTCACCAACTGTATTTCATGTACAAAGAGATTAACTTATTTTCAAAAATAGTTTCATTTTTTTAAGTTTAAATTTTGCTTACATGTATCAAAATTGCCATCACTTTGGCTAAGAATGGTGCAATTCAGCGATAATGATGATGCGATGGCACGATAATGCAATGACGATGGTGCGATAGCACGATGGAGAGATAGCGATCATCATTAAATCGACATCGTGTCATCGCTATTGCTTCATCGTACTGTGGTATCATCGTCATCGCATTGTCGTGCCATCGCATCATCGTCATCGCGCTATCGCTTCATCTTCATCGCATTATCGCACTATCGATCCAAACCTCGATGGTGCGATAGTGAACTACATGGTCCTGTCCGGATTCCATACTATTTTATTTGCCAGAGTAAAGTGTAAATGCAATTCACCAAAATTTTAAATTTTAAACTTTTTTGACATTGTTAAATCGCAAATGAACAAAATTTTACATGGGTTTGAATTGATAACTTGCTATACATTATTTCAATCAAAAAGATAAGATCATGATACTACGAAAAAGTGTTTGTTATGAAATATGATGAAAATTATGATACTAAGAAATAGTGTTTGTTATGAAATATGTTGAAAATGTACGTACTGTCTCCACCTCCATATAACAGTTGACGTCCTCGGGAGCAGGTGTGCTGGGAATATACGCTCTTGGAAAGTACCTGGCAAAAGCATTCATATCAAAACCCGCCAAATCCTATTTATGAAAAAGAGAACATATCTTTAAAAGAAATATATATAAAGGATCTCACATGGTTCAGGCAAGCAATATCGTTTTTGAAAGTGGGCGGGGAGGGGGGTGAGCACCAAGAAAAATAATTAACTTATCTGAAATATCTTTGACAAGCAAAAGGGGGTGAGGTTTAGGTTCCAACTTTTCCACCAGAAAAAAATGTCAATCCATAATCATGGCAGTATTTGACATTGCTACAAAAAATGTGGGTGGGTTGTGGTGAGATCAGCCTTTCAATGAATATTTTATTATTTTATACAATATTAACAGTAAAACATTATGTTCGGAACAGTGCCCCCCCCCCCCCCCCCCCCAGGATACAACGTGCCTGGTAATTTGTTAGGCTATGTGTATTTTATTTTCCCGAGAATTTAAAGAGCTAGGATGGATAGAAAACAAGTCCAATTAGAAACTATGGGAGGTTAATTTTTTTTTTCATATTTTTTCATTTAACTCAACTGATAATAAACGCACCCTTTTATCAGGGGCTGTTGACAAAATTTGCCTTTCCCTTGTTTCATTAGGAAAATCCATTTTCTCTATTTAAAAAAAATTGAATAGAAATTACATATATAAAAGATTCCTAAAATATAAAGAAATCGTAGGATTCTTTGGTGTTCAAATATGAGACTTTGTGCCATTTTATGTTTAAATCTATAAATTTTTTGTACACTTATTACCAAATCTTACAAAATTTCCACAAACATTATTCAAGTTATCTACATGAACATAAATCTTATAGATATATTACTGATTTCTGAAAAAAAATGTGTGTTATTTATCCTTATTGATTAAATGAACCATACTTGAAAAGTCTCTTGGTTAATCATTTTCTATCGTATAAACTTCCCTTAAAATGACACCTTTATTTCAACATTTAAATCTTAATTTATGAAATAAAATTTTTGGTCATCAAAAAGAATCTTAATTTTTGCTATTATTTGTTAATATTGTTGACATCTTATGATCTTGCTTATGAATTTAAGCATTATTTTCATCACAGTTAAGAGCATTTTTAAAGGTTACAAATGTCATGAAGAAAAGAATACATAAATATCATACATTATATATATTATATACATGAAAATAAACAAGATGAACATCGTACTGAAATCCAGAATGTGAAAAGTCTTATCTAAATGCTGAAGTCTATATTGTTATATTTAACAATTAGCGATATTTCCAGAGACATAAATAAATATCTCTGATATTTCTAAGGGGAAAAATTGAATGAACGTTGAAAACATTATAAATAACCAGATGTAACTGATAAAAGATTTAACTGAAAATCAGCTCGAGTCAACTTCATATAACCCTAATAAATGTATTTTTTTAAAATCCAAAATAAATATAAAGGTACATGAAGATAACTCATAAGTTAAATCAGGAATTTTTTGGTGAATTTTTGCAATCTGCTACTTTTCCCAGTTGAAATTTGAAATAATATTTCAAAGTATAAATCAATTTGAAGGACAGCAATTAAAATTTATTTCCATATCGATTCCATTGTCAATTTCTTTGACTAAATATGAAAGCATATATTTTATTCTTAGTAAGAATGTCTTTGAATATAAACATCTTTACAATGCAACAACGTTAACAACACCTATATTAAAAAGTTAAATAATTGAAAAAATTGAGCAGAATTATGGATATCTGCTCCTCAACCTGTCTTAAAAAGAAACTTCAGATTAAAATCTTTTCATGCAACAACGTTAACAACACCTATATTAAAAAGTTAAATAATTGAAAAAATTGAGCAGAATTATGGATATCTGCTCCTCAACCTGTCTTAAAAAGAAACTTCAGATTAAAATCTTTTCATGCAACAATTTTCATTTCATGAATCTCAATGGGATTCAAGGTTCTTTGAAGTCTTAGAAACAGTCTTTTAAAAAGTTGACATATTTGTACCCCATTAAAGTACAAAAGTAAATATATTTTAGAACAATTTAATTTCCTTTGATCTAGCCTAAGATACAATTTTTAGCATTATATGAAATTAGTAGTGATTTGTGATGTAATGATAGCACAACATTTTACACTATGTATTGAAAATAAGAAAACTAAAAAACCGCATGAGTATAAAAAAAAATTGCAAGTTTCTCCGAATGCCTGGATACCTATAAATTTTTATCTTAAAATGTATTTAATGATCAAGTTTTGATTAGAAAATGCATAGCTGTTGCTTTTATTCACGTTTTCTGAAAATATATCTGAAATTTGATAATTTTTCCTACATAATATGATTAACTATGATTATGAGTCTTGAAGAAATGCCATGAGTAAATACACTTTGTGAATGCAGAGACATTCTTGTGAGTATTTTTAATAACTTAACTGCTGATTTTCAGAAGCTGAGGATCGGACTCATTTTAGTTTTAGAAAATATAAATTTAGTCTACGTAAAAATTGCAAGAACAAAAATTACAACAATAAATAAAATTCAAATTCATGAAAATAAACACAAAACACATTTTATCTACATATTCTCAAGCCAAATAAATTTTAAGATTAAGAAAAATTCCCCGATATTTTCAGATTTTTAAAAATTTTATCCGTATACATGTATTTTCAGATTTTTAAAATGATATCGTGAACTTTTTTTTCTAAATTGCGCGGAAATCCAGAATAAATGACCTTGACTTCGTTGACTTGTTGATGTGAAATTAAAATTTTTCTCCGCAGTTGTAAAGCAATACTTATACATACATACATACTTACACTCAGAGATCTTTTGAACTCTTTGGTTTCTTTGTTTTCCGATACATTGTCAATGCTTTTCTCTAATCCGAGAAGATTCCCTATCATAAATGTGAAAATAGTCAAAACAAATATAATCATGTTTTTCCATTCCATCATGAAAGTTGACAGTTTATAAAGATCCCCTCGCTTCTTAAATTACTTTCTCAATTTCTCTCCTGTTTGAAGCCCAAGTCAAGAAGAACCTCTACCCAGGTACAAAGTATTTATATCACAATTAAATATTCTAGATAATGTTGTTTTGATGTTGTCGAAGTCTGGTGCATTATAATGAAAAACAATAGTCTGTAAGGTATGCAGATTAGCGAAAATTAAGCGTAAGATGTTGAAAATGATGAGAATGATTGGGAACCAAACCCACGCTAATGATGTGTTATCTCCCTTGTGATTGACTGTTCACCAAGGACTAGATTGCATCTAGCCGGTGGAGGGTATTAGAAAACCAGAAATAGTTACGTTACAAAAGCTGCCTCGATGTGACATGCATTGTGTAAACTAGGAGACGGTTATCAAAGAACTACAAAGAGATTTTTTTAAAATTAATAAACGATTCAGGCACATGAAACATGAAAGCAGAATGATTGTCCCGCGAACTTGTTGGTTCAAGGTCGGGATCTTGTTTTCTAGAGTGGAACAAGATCAAGTTTCTCGTAAATAAATACGATTTTTCCAGGTAGGAATTAAGGAGAGAGAGAGTATATTTCTCGAATAACAGACTAGTTGATTTTTACGAATCCAGTCCATCTTGCACAATGTATCTCATGGTATCCGAATTCTTACATTTTCTCAATCTGAGCGTGATCCTTGGGTGTGCTGGAGGGAAAAAATTACATGAAAATTCTATGACTATCACTTTTTTCTTCTGTAAAATATTATAATATTATAGTTTTAACTAGATTTTCAACAGAGAAAAAAAAATATCGCGAAAGGTGAAGAAAATGAGCAACGATTAGTCACATAAATCCGGTAAAGAATACGAATCGTGAACAGCGATAAAACACCGACCCCTGGAAACAACAGTGGTGAGATCAGGTGCCTATAAGGAGTAAGCACCCCCGAGTCGAGCGGTCACATCCGCCGTGGGCCGTGTGTACTGAGGTAGACAGAGTAATCTGTAATCAAATGTAGTATAAAAACAATGACCTAAAAATTGGTACAAAACATGTCAAACAAAATACGACCCTACGATAGGTTGTATTTGCAAACAAGGTCTTTATAGCGACCGTAGAGTTTGCGAAAAGTTGGCTTTAAACGAGGTCGTTAAAATCCTTGTAACATCAACTTATTTATCAGTAGCTTGCCTCGGTTTAAAAATTGATCGTACTCGAAATATTTTCTTGCGCATCGAATCGAGAGACATGAACACCGTAATTGGGGATGTCAACTGGCATATTATTACTAATGAGGGAAGTTGGCGATGAAAAGGCTGAAGTCATTGTTTAGTTATTAAGTAGTCGTTATTGTCTATAGTTTAAAACATCCAAGTATGAAACAGATGTTGCATACTCTTTGGTGTTTTTTGGAATATATCGAGTCGACATCTGAATGAAAGTAATTATTGTTAATTGATAAAACGTCGTCGATGTATCATCATGTTGAGTTGAAAGCCACAGCAAGAGTTTGTTCTTGTAATGTGATAGTTTTTGAATAAATTCTGCTTCATAAGAACATAAAAACAGGTCGGCTAATAAAAGAGCACAATTAGCGCCCATCGACATTCCGACAGATTGTTGACCTGGTCTCCAAAGATTACAAGATATTGTCAATGAGGACATCCAGCATCTTTTTAATAACAACTTCAGAGTACTTTTTTGTTGAATCAGAATGAATTTGAACAAAGCAATTTTGTAGATGACCAATCACAAGATATGAAATTAACGAGTTCCACTTTTACTGAGGAAGTTTCTTCTCCATAGCAGTTAATATGTTGATAAGGAGTAAGGATACGGGATTGGTTAAACGTTGAACGTTTACTGGACCCTGCAATGTAACTTGAAAAGGATTCTTGTGAAGTTTTTGGAATCCAATATAAGTAAGGTAAATCAAACTCACTCCTATGGATTGTTAAAGGTATCTGAAATATGAAACCGAAATCTGATTTTTAAGCATTTCATCTTTTGAAAGGGAATTGTGAGTATAAATTGGATTACCAGATGTGGAATTAAAACCAAGTTCTTCTAAAATGCAGAGTATCTGAGTTAATAACGAGCCTTACAAAAAAAGACTATATTCTAAAATCTTACAAGCTTTGTCAGCTGGAACCAAAACATTAAAGGCGGATCCAGCACCCCCTCCCCGTTTGAATTTTTATGTCGCCCCGAACGAAGTCGGGCGACATATTGCGATTGTACTTTTCTTTTGCTTTTGTAAAATTTAGTTGTTTAGCGTATATATACTATCAATTTAGTCCACAGATTTATTTTACACATACAGTAACACACCTTTGCAAACAAATGACTTCATATGTTACAGAAGAATATTTTGAATAATTTGACATAAATGTAATGAATGCTGGGGAAGGTCTACTGACTCAAGCACTGGAAACACTATTATGTCTTTAAAGCAGAAAAAAGTGGTATACCGAGTAATAATCCCTAATCTTTAATCATTATATAATACATGTATATATACAACATAATTTTTCAGTATATAAACTACGGTACACACCCTTGTGGCCACTTCGAGAAAAATATTGATCATGGGTGTGGCGTATAAGTGGACCATTTTGTATATATATTTACCTTCAGACATTGTAGGATCGATCCGTTTATTCCCTTGCACATTAAACATACCTTTTCTTGATGCATACCGGGGTAGTATTTATTGATACAGTGGTTGATTTTTTGTGATTTTGTCGGACCTCCCCCCCCCCCCCTTCAGTGAAACATTCTTTAAAATTTTCAACAGCCGAAAGTATGTTCAATACTGTTTCTATATTCTAAGGATAATGTGCTCTTTTTCCTGGGCTAATGCTCATCATAAACAAAAAAACCTTTTTTAAAATGGGTTCCAAAACGAAACATCAGAAAGGATAAAATATCAAACACTCTATAAAAATTAAACTTCAGTTTAATTAACATATAAATATACATAACAGATAGATATTCCATCTTCTATTTGCAATTGATAGAAAAAAATGAGATAGACTCTCTATAATGATTGTTCTCACACATCAGTTCAAAGGAGAAAATACAATTTAATTCTGTAGTTTATGAACTGTAGATTTCATTCATCCTTCAAATTAATCAACTTTCTGGGAATCTCTGTGCTGTCTTTGGTCTTTTTGCTGCCAATTTTCGCTTCTGGAGCACTGCCTCCCTTCTAATCTTTGCTTTCTCCAGTTTTTCCATCAAAATCTTGTCTCTTGTCTCTGCATTCAAATAGTAAAAAAACTATTGACAGTATACTAGTCAAATACGCAAAAATCTGTTTATTTGAAAGATATTTAGAGAGAGAGAAAAAAAGAGCAAACCTTTCCACTTTTCATAGTCCTCTTGAACTATTCTTGTAGATGTAATCTTAATGGGTGGAAGTTTAGCTGGAAGAGCACACTTTAAGTCAAGGTTAAAAGCCATTCCATCTTTTTTCCTTACAACATCAGAGATTCTGTCGTTTCCTTCAGCAGGGTTAGTATGCATCCTCTCGCTTTCTAGCGATGAAGAGCTAAACATCAGCCACGGGAGGGGCTTTTTCTGTATAGTTTCCTCCAGCACTTCGTTTTTCAGCTCTCTTTCTATTTTCTTGTAAGCCTCTTCTTCCTCGTCGGTCATAATGCCAACTTTGTTGCTTCTCTTTCTCATACAACTATGGAGAAGACCCATTCTGACAACAAACGCTAACAATACTTTAGCTAGGTCTACCGTGACGTCACGTGTACTGTGGCGTCAAATCACTATGACGTTATTGTGACGTTTCGAGAAATAGTTATATTCGACCGCAGCAGATGCGACACAACGATATTTTTGGACACTTCACATCATATTCCAAAAGATGAATTGGCTACCTCAAGCAGGTCAAGATAAAGTCAATATACCCGATTTTTCTTTGTAAGGCGGGCAAGGGTCAGATTTGGAAGGTGGTACTGGAAATTTGTACTTAGCATATACCGGTACATTAAATAATTTTCGCGTGTAAATTACTGAAATCATTATTTTGTGTTAAATATATCTACAATTTTGATGGCAATTGTAGCTTTAGTTGTATACTTGATGTATATGTCTGTAAATTTTGTCAATGAGATACATGTATACGTCTCTTGACTGTAATACACTGAAATTTTTCTTGGACAAGTTTTTATTAAAAACAACACTCACAGTTTTAATTATCAGTAAGAAACAATAAAATATATTATGAAAAGGAAAATGAAAAGAGATAAAATTTTCAGAAAACAAGTAGGTCTGTTCCATGTACACTGGAATCAACACAAGCCCTTAATTAAGGAATAACTGTCTAATAACATATAATGATATGATCAAGCGATTTACTTGCGTGATGATTTGCATAAACGCCGAAGGCGTTTATTCATAAAATTATCACGCAAGCCAATCACTTGATCAACGTTATGAAACCAAAAAATCTGACAGTTATTCCTTATATTTACATGCTCTTGATTCCGCAAACTCTCGTGCTACAAGCAAGGCTTCTGTCTCTCTGTCTCGCCCTGCACGTGATTTTTTAAACCACGCCTATCAATGAACCAGTAGCTTTATGTAGAAATGAAGTATTTTCACTATTTGTAGTTTTATTGTACGGACAAAGAAATTTTAAAATGTAAATATTTACAGATTAATTCAGCAAGCTCCAACAGCTCAGTATTACGTTACGTTACAACTCTGTATCAAAAGTAATTCCGGAGAATTGACACTGAATGGAATATGAACAATCCTAGCTCATACGAAAGAGATATAGATCTCGATCAGTACAATGTAATGGTGACAATAAAAAGACAGAAAATTACATCCTAAAAAGTAAAGTAAAAAAAAATCTTTCGCATACTTCTAGTTCCGGTGACCCTTGCGCCGTGACCTTTAGACACTGGCGTAAGATTTTCTTGATGCATAGTATTCATTGATACAGTGGTTGATTTGTTCTGATTTTTTCGCCCCCCCCCCCTTTTTTCAGATAAACTTTTAAAAACCTCCGGCCGTCGAATGGATATGCAACACGATTTCTACATCCTAAGGATAATGTGCTCTTTTTCTGATCCATGCAATGCTCATCATAAGCAAAAATACAATTTGAAATTTATTCCAAAAAAGAAACATCAGAAAGGGTAAAATATCAAACACTCTATATAAAAATCAAACTTCAGTTTAATTGATATATAAATATTCATAAAAATCAAACAAAACCTCATGGAAAGTTTTTAAAAAGTCTTAAAGAGACATTGCCGATGACTGGACATCCTTTAACATGTATGACTGGTAAGGCTATGATTTCATTCATCCTTCAAATGGATCAACTTCCTGGGAATCTCTGTGTTGTGCTGCCTTTGGTCTTTTTGCTGCAATTTTTCGCTTCTGGAGCACTGCCTCTCTTCTAATCTTTGCTTTCTCCAGTTTTTCCATCAAACTCTTGTCTCTTGTTTCTGCATTTAGATAAAAAAAATAATATTGACATTCTACAAGACAAAACGCAAAAATCTATTTATTTGAGAACGCAAAGATTTAGAGAGAGAGGGGGAAGCAAACCTTTCCACTTTTCAAAATCCTCTTGAACTATTCTTGTAGATGTAATCTTAATAGGTGGAAGTTTAGCTGGAAGAGCACACTTTAAGTCAAGGTTAAAAGTCATTCCATCTTTTTTCCTCACAACATTAGAGATTCTGTCGTTTCCTTCAGCAGGGTTAGTATGCATCCTCTCGCTTTCTAGCGATGAAGAGCTAAACATCAGCCACGGGAGGGGCTTTTTCTGTTTATTTTCTTCCAGCACTTCGTTTTTCAGCTCTCTTTCTATTTTTTTGTAAGCCTCTTCTTCCTCGTCGGTCATAATGCCAACTTTGTTGCTTCTCTTCCTCATACAACTATGGAGAAGACCCATTCTGACAACAAACGCTAACAATACTGTAGCTATGTCTACCGTGACGTCACGTGTACTGTGGCGTCAAGTCATTATGACGTTATTGTGACGTTTTGTGAAGTATGTAAAAATCGACCGCAGCAGATGCGACACAACGATATTTTTGGACACTTCACATCACATAAGATGAATTCCTGCTTAAAATCTAAAAGGAGTTTGAGGAAGAAGATAGCGAGAGAAGGAAGGACAGACCAAGATAAAAACAATATGTACATGTACGAAATTTCTTTATAAAATGCGGGTATAATCGACAAATATGGTCAGATTTGGAAGTTGATACTAATTTTTTTACTTAGCATATGCATTAAACAATTTATACATGTAAATTACTAAAATTGTAATTTTGTGTTATATATCTTGCATGTTTGATGGCAATTGTAGGATTGTTCGTATACTAAGATGTAAGTGTCTGCAAATATTGTCTCTTGACTCTAATACACTAAACTGAAATTTGTCTCGGACAAGTTTTTATGAATTTGATTATCAGTATGAAACAATTATACATACTATGAAAAGAAAAATAAAAAGAGATGAAATTTTCAGAAAACAAATATAGGTCTGATCCATGTATACTTGATACAACACACGCCCTTTGTTTACATAGCACTAAAAGTACCTAGTAGTTAATTTCATCCCGGTACAGTGTAATCGTATAGCTTTGTTATTTCAAGTACTTTTAGAGGAATGGTACAAATATACAAGGACACTGCCTGTCAAACGATCTTGAGTAATTTACCATAAATATAGGTATAAATTAATGTAGTAATAGTAATAAATGTACTTTGCGAAAAACATCGTATTTTGAGTTACTAATTTGATACGGGGAAAAATAACAACCATAGGGGTTTTATGGTATTCCATCCCTAATAGTCCCCGATTCAATGAAATTGAATACATAGCAATTGACTGCTCAGTATATATTGAGACATAATTCCCATTTATTACTATTCAAGTATGTAAGAGTTGAATGTGTCCTAATGTATGACCTTGACCCGTCTTGAAGAGTTATCTTCTGTTTAAAATAAGTCAAATTCAATTTTTAAAAAAAAAATCTATTTGGTAGAAAAATAATTTCAAATGTCATTCTTTTTCTAATGATTAGATACAACTTATCACCACAACATTCATTGATATTCTAAGAATTTGCATTCTTCGTTAATTAATTACTGCTTAAATTATTAATTTTTTTTTCAAAAATCTCTGGGTAAATCTTTTTCTACTCTAAAGTTCTCTAAAATTATATCAGAGTATACATGTACGTGATGGATTTTTAAGGAAAGAGAATTTGGTCCTATTAGGGGTAGAATACCTTAAGTTTGGTGTTTATTTAATTCATTGTTTATGAGCAATGCTGAGACATACTTTTAATGAATGCTTTGAAGCTATAACTGCCTGACATTAATTCAGTTAAGGAGACTAAAAAAGAAATCACATTTAAATTATTAGATGCAACCTGTCCTCCCACGAAATTTTAGCTGAGATTAAAATTTGGTGTTATGACTGAGCTAAGTACTGAATCATTGTGCCTAGAAGGGTTGCATTAAATAAAGACCTCTGAAGAAGATCTGCAGATGACAGATAATCCCCTTTAGTTTAGCATTTTAAAGGCGTCACAAGTCAGCTTGTGGCTGCAAATTGTCCTGGCCATGACACGATTATACGTGAATTATTATAATTGCTGCAAAAATATGAAAACAAATGAATCACGTATAGTATTCTAGTTGAACTTAAAATTGTAAACAAACTGAAGAAATATAGTGCATCATGGTTGGACATAGGATATAATGGTAAAAAATGTTTTCACAGCACCTGTTGTTGTTATTTCTCTATTCATCCATCCGTATACATTTAATCGAACATTTCTATCAAGGTCAAAAACCAGAGTGACGTTAGGATATCTTTTCACAAATGTTCGATTTGAACTTCCAGTTCATACCTCCAATGTACGCATAGCTGTTTAAGATTCGAACAAGATTCGTAAGATTCATCTGGTCAGAGATGGCGAGATGTGTAAATTGATGTGTGAATAAAACTTAAAGCATGTCTTGACCTATATCAGTCTTGTACTTGGTACTTAGCTGTCTAGTGGCCAGATAAAGACCCCCCTCCCCCTATTCAAGGGTAAACAGATCAAAGGTAAAGGTCAACGAGAGTGATAGACAATGATATGTAGTATCAGGAGTTTCGTTTGACCCTTCAGTTACATACATTCCTAAGGAAAGAAATAGATTCAAAAGGTCAAAGTCAAGGATACTGTAGTTATAACAGTATCCCTGTTACCAATGCTTTAGAACGTCGACAACAAGGACAGAAATTGCCCCCCCCCCCCCAAAAAAAAAAGATGTCGATTATTTTTTAAGATGCATTTAATCAAATCCCCCTCCATTACTACCACTTCTACTAATACTAATTATATCTCTCTATAAGAAAACAGAATCGCAACAATTTTGATAGCACGACTAAATAAGATATAATTTATAGTTTAAGTATTTAAGAGATATTTATTGGAATTATTATTACCGAAAAACAATGCCACAAAATCGACTGATGTCATTAGAGGAATGACTATTGATCACAGGCACTTGTTTCTGTAATGTTATTAATAACCCCAAAGTATCATATTTAATATACTCTCGGGTAAAAAATTATTACAGAAACAAGTGCCTGTGCTCCCATCGTCTCATGCCACAGTATGGAGTCAGAATTAGAGAGGATCGTACATTTTGGCCCTTAAAGCTCAAAAAATCAAAATCGTCAGCATATTCATGTATGCTTTGAATTATTTTCATTAACCCTTTGTGTAATTTTTATAACGACGTTGAATGAGTGTCGTTTGTCTGACGTATGCTCTCAAAGTCATGAATACAGAATTTCTTTAAAAAAAAAAACCCAGTTGATTCGAGTATTCTTTACGCAGTGAGCTTTTGTTAATGTTCATTAAGCTGCAGCTCTTATAAGTCAATAACACTAGACTATAATCTCATCAGACAGCATGATACATTACCAATCTTTATAGGCTTCTTCACATTATCTTCCATACGTCTCAAAATACATACCTTAATAAAGAGACAGATTTTAAAGTAAACATTGTTTTGACGAAACCAATTAATCAAGGAAGACAGATTACAAAATCTTGGTATAAAAATTGCAGACTTAGGCTACAGTATATTAAAAACTTAAGATAATGTTGAACAATATGAAAGCAATTAAATGCTGTAAACTTTTCTGATTAATATTGATTTATAGGTAATGGTGTGGATGAATAAAAATGAATTATGGTGCAAGCTAAAAAGAAAATACTTTTGTTGTAAAACATTTCGCTTATTCACTAGTCTACATGTATCCGACAAACTCAGTGCAGATAACTGTTCTTTTATGGTTATAAAGGTCAAATGGTTTTCTGTCTTTTCTTTTTTTTCCAAAAAGTTCGTAAAAAACCTTTGAATAGATATTTAGCCAATGTTCTTTAACTTCTTAGTTAGTGAATGTGTTTCTCCCCTTATTCTCTCTTTGTCATTAACATATCGAACTAAATAAAGATAATGAAGATGAGGATTTTTTTTTATTACACAAACGCAATTTAACTGTGTCTTAATTTGATTGTTGAATAAAAGTACATTTAAACATTCACATCTATACAATCAAAACAAATATTAAGATAAGTTTTTTCTAATTTAAAAGTGTTTTCCTGTCGCAAAACTAGGATGAATCCGGATTTTGTATTCACTTGGTTGAGAGTTGTCGTTCATTTAAACTTCGGGATCGGGATTCCAATCAAACTAAAACCGAACAAATTCGAGAGGAAAGTCGGACTACGGTAGATAAAAATGAAATGGCGAAAGAAGAAAACATTAAAAGCAAGTTAAAGAACTTCTTTGGCATAAAGGAAAGAAGCAGTGCGACTGCATTTCACAGGCCACAGACAAAAGAACTACTTTTTACACCTGAAATATTAAGGGTAGGTGGTATTGTGTTGTGTCATTATATTAAATTGTATACCTCATCACATGTTTCATGGTCACTTTTATAGATATTGTGTTTTCTTTAAAAACAAGTTGTTGCCCTATTGAAAGCGTTTGGTTGCGTTCTTCCTGGTTTGAAATGCTCATGCAAAATACATATTTGCTGACTTTGCATTTTTGAGAAAAAAAATCATTCTTGCAAGCTTGAAACTTATATATATTATTAACCTATTTTCTTATATAGTAAATGCATTTTTATGTAACATAATGACCTCCCGGTGACCAATTTATTAATTATACAAATGATTTAAATCCAAAATTTTGATACTATTGAGTGATATATTTTTATTTAGGCATTTAGCAGTCTGGTCGAACCCTCAAACGGGGGTATACCCTCAAACGAGGGTTTTCCGTCCCGTCATGCAATGCACAAGAACGGTAACTCTTGCCTTATCCAATATAAACAAACTTGCCTATATCATCTATCTTTAGAAAAAAGATTGATGATATTGTTATTTCTGCTATGAACTTGGTAAAATATCAACAGAAAAAAAATCAACAGGTTAAGTTTTCCATATTTTGAATTTATACTGCATGAAAAACGAAAATGTCCCGTCATTTCATGAAATAATTTATTATTTTGTGTGACATCTCAATTACGATTTTTTTTTAAATTATGGAATTTGAAACACAAGCAAAAATATTCTAAGAATGAGAAAAATATGAATTTAGAATCTAGATTTAAAAAAATAAATATAATCGTGTTTTCCCCCAAACAATCGTAGTTATTTTAAAAAAACAAATTGCCAATTAAACATTTCATTAAATTCGTAAAAGACATAAAAGACAACAAATACGATAAATTGCACTTGAATTTTATTTTTAACTGTATATTTGTTACACTTCTTGGGCATGATTATCGATAGTAAAGACCGTCGATTACTAGTCAGAGGAAACGCGGACAGAAACTCATGATCATAAATAAATCGATATTAACACCACATTTTCGTGCATTTTACAACAAAAATAAAAGATATAAGGTAAAACAATATATTTCTTTTATAATTTCAATTTAATATTAGTGGCTTATGTCTATTTATCAAATATTTTATCTTAATTACCTGGATGTCACAGAGCAAAAGATCGCTAACTTTGCCAGTGAATAAATCCCGATTTGTACAATAAAGTTGTATTTTTGTAAAATACAAACTCTTAGAACACCTTTAATCTATCATTTCCGAGTGGTTTTACATTTGCCAAATGACCCGTTACTTTGCACCGGCGATTTTTGTAAACCTCTATTTTTTGCGTGAAATACGCACATTTTTAAGCATCTGCGCATGCTCGTACCCCCGTTTGGGGGTATGGATTTCCTATTTCCGTTTACCCCCGTTCGGGGGTTCGACCAGACTGTTTAGCTCAGCTCCTACAATGTATGAAGCTAATGTATGCCCATGGGGATCATGCCCATGTATTCTGCTACATGTAGGATGTAAACGAAAATGTAATAATTGTTATGAAAAAAAAATGTTCAAATGTCTAAAAGTGCAGCATTCACAATCTTTGCACTAGCCCCTATTTTGAAAAGATATGGCTACTCAGTATATTTGATAGTCTGTCAAAATCTTTTTTCCATAATTGTACTGTCAGTGAATGAATATTCAGATTTCAGAAATATTGATCTACCAGACTACCATGCTTTGTGATTTTAAACTTTATTTTATATTTGCATGTCATTTCATTCCATGTCATCATTATATATAGTATAATTTCAAAAAAAAAAAAATTCTTTTCTGAAATATGACTGATTTTTCGTCATACTCTTGCAAGTTGAACCACCTTTATCTTTCCTCAGAAAATTAAAGTTGAAGTACCTGCTACTGATACATTACTTGAGCATTTTTCAGAAAAATGAAATTTCATGTGAGATAAATATATACAGTAAAACATGATTATAGCGAACACACTTACAATGAATTTAGGCTTATAGCGATTTGATTTTCATTCCCCATAGTTTTAAAACGTATTGTGAACTGAAGGGATATAACGAATAATGTTTATAATGATCGAATCAACATTGTTGGTCCCTGGCACTTCGCTATAACTGTGTTTTACTGTAATTATGATTTACTTGCAAATTCTGATCCATAATTAAAACTGATAATTATTTTTGAGAGCCATATATAATGAACAAAACATCCTCTAAACATAAAATTTAAGTTTGTACTATTGGGTTGATTATTTTTATATGCATAAATATAATATTATTGAAATGATACTCATTCAATGTTTGATGTTATTCAAGTGAAATATTCTAATTTCCGTAGGAGATTGGTCCTGAGAGTCCAGCCAACAACAGACTCAAGACAATCCGAGAGCTAAGTGAAATTGTACAGCATAAAAAACTAGAAGAGGTGAATAAATACATATATCTTGGAAAGTCTTGGAAATGACATTTTTTAAAAAGTAACCAGAGTTGAAAGCATACATGTTTGAAATCAGCATTTGACATTAAATAAGATTTGAACTTTGAGACTAATTTATTTAAAAATGTAAAGGGGGAGGGGTGTAAAAGAAGATTTTTTTGTGGTGTAGATTACTATTAACATTTTTTAATAGGTTTAAAAATGCCGTTAATTGATTGTATACAGTAAACTTGGAAACATTACAAAGCTGAAACTTTGACAAAAGAGAAGAATGACTTATAATCTTTAATATTTCTACTCCTCAAATATCTCATCATTGCTCATATTGTTAAAGAGAAATATATGAAACACACATATATTGTCAAATTTTCTATCCACTAAACTTCTAAAAAGCTCAAACTTTCACACTCTTAATATAACCATTTTGCAGTATTTTATGAAACCATTTTGTAGAATGCAATAGAAGCATTATGGTTCAGTGTTAAAGACCTGCTTGATTCTTCAGTGAAACCAGAAAATCGTCACACAGCTCTGCATTTTCTTCAATGTCTTGTTCAAGGACAGGTAACATGACATCATATAATCAGTATTTATTAGGTTGAAAGGATTTTTTGGAAACTTGTTACTTAAATTGTCTTCCTATTCTGAAACTTGTGATACATGTACATTTAATACATGTACTTAATGACATGTAGTAATTGATTTAATTTGGCAATACAAGTACACATAATGTATTTAGATAAAATTAATTTGGAAGTTTTTTTCAAAAAGTATTAAAACCTCCATTTTAAAGTATAGAAATATGATTACATTAACATTTTTATATTTCATAAAGATAACTTACAAGATGTATATAACACTTTAACATCTATGATTTTCTTCATCTTAGCTTCAGTACCTTGGGATTCTAAGAGCTCATTTCTTTAGAGTTATTAGTCATCTTAATGTACCCAGTGACCTACAATACAGGTAATTTTGAATTAATAATTATAGAGCCATGTTTTTTTTTTTAAATATATGTACTAGAAAATTACCAACATCCAAATACATGTATAGACTATTTCCCCTAGTAAATTCTGCTAAATTAAAAAAAAAAGCTTTTGAAGATTTTTCCATATTACTGTAAGTTAATATGGCTAGGCGAAATTCTTGCCAGTCTAAAAACCAAAGGGTATAGCTGTAAAAATTTGTGTGAAAATCATTATGAGGATCAATGTCACTAAGGGCATATTCATATTCATATTGCATCAATATGATAAATTTAACTGTACATATGTATTTCTGTTGCATAAATGTATGTGTAATGATGAATTCAAATGAATGGTATTAGTTATGTATAAATTAGATGCAATTCCTTAGAAATAAATTTGCTTTACATTTTTATTATGCCAGAGATCCAGTATCAGGGGGAATTTTATTTTTTCTTGTCAGTCTGCTTGTTCCTTTGTCTTTTTACATCTTTATCCCTGTTTATAACTTTTGAAGCAAACAATATGTAAGATTTGTGCTTAACAGAGAAGTTGCCCAATGACCAGAGGGTATATTGTGACCTTAACTCAATGTCATTTGGACAAGTTCAAGGCTGCAGGGATTGAAAATGTAAAATTCTTGTCCAGTTCATGATTTTATTTTCAACATCAGAAGCTCGTACTTGACACAAGGTAGAGACATATGGTCTGAAAGTGTATTACAAACCCGAGTCAAGTTTATTTGATCAAAATTAAGGTTACTAGGGGTTGGTCGTGTAGAATTCTTTTTTGGTCCATAACGTTGCAACAAAAGCATTAGGATAATTGATTGTATGTAATATAATTTATCACTGGAATAAAGATATCCCTAGCAATAGGTGAACTTAAGCCAATTCAGTGAGATATCTTTCTTGTGCCATTGCCTGCTGTGGCATGGGGCCTCAGGTTTAGAGTTCTCATCCAAAAGCCCTGCAAATGACTTTGCCTAATGAAAAGCATTCAGAGCACATACTTGTCAGAAAAAGAGGTACATTTTTTTGTTGGGGGGGGGGGGGGGGGGGAGGGGGGCATTGCTCTGACACTAGGTCATTTTGACTAGGTCAAGGTCTTAGGGATTAGAGATATTAAATTCTTTCTATAGTTTTCTACTAAATGGGAGGAGATGCTCTAATCATAACTTACATGTACCTTTATGACATAAAGGTACATGTAAGTTATGATTAGAGGATGTTTTATAACCCAGATCAGTGGTTATGTGGACAAGGTCAAGGTCAAATTTGTCCCCATTGCAGATAAGGCACTTTCCTGGTATTCTTGTCCTCATATGCTTTTTGTATATATGTACACTGTACATTGTAGCTTAAATTTTGATGTTCTGTTGTGTATAATTACAGGTTGGAATTATTGATAACATTAAGCGAGAATGGGAGAAATTTGCAGGAGTTTGAAGAATCAGCAGGTATAGTTTTTACTTGTGAAAACATTTTGAAACTCAAAAGGGTTGTGATTCATAACTGTGTAATGTTCTGATCTGAGAAAAGTTTTATGAATCTATGGAATTGATGTCCTAAACTTAATTTTACTACTTTTAATGCCTTTTCCATGAACAAATACATGTATACTGAAAAATCACATATTTTTGTGGAGGTCAATATTTTTTGGTTTGAGGTAAAAATATTGGTTTATGGGGAATTGATTCGTTGTCAAAGAACTGTTGAATTTCCATATATTTGATGTTTTACATTTTGTGGAGGACATGAATTCATGGATCTTTTCATACCATGGAAACAACGAAAATTAAATCCCCACAAAAATTAGTGAATTTACAGTATTTCTTTTCCAAAAATCTGAAGCAACTTCACCAGTCAAGATTCCCATAGCATGTGAAGTTTTGAAAAAAAAAATTAGAAAAAGTGTCCTGTTGATTGGTTTTCCTGTCTATACTGTAGACTAGCAATGTTATTTCCCCTTCACCCATTTATGTCTTAGGTTTCAAAAATTATAATTTTCAGAATTACCATAAAAGTTTGACAAAGAAAGAAAGTAAAAGATTGTGTCAGATGTATTATTCTGTACAAAGTTATACATATTAAGCACTGTAAAAAGTAAGAAAACTATAGGTTTCATGTGACTGCTTTATCCTTTTGTTGTCTTTTATTATAGGTCAGTTTTTGCTGGAATGGATGCCAGATGTTATCAACTCAGAAAAACTCGGTGAATTTCTGACCCTGCTGATCCACGTCATCAAGTACAATGCTGCGTATCTGGACGAGGAAGTAGTGGCAGGGCTGGTCAAGTAAGGACCACAAACAAAAAGTTCCTCAAGTTGATTTGATCTTTTTAGCCTGATAGATCTAATAATTTTTAGTTAAATACTGATTAATGTTCAAAGCTTGTTATCATGTTTTCTGTACCATTCAATGACATTTTTTAGGAATACTTGTTTGTTGTTGAACAGAAGAAGACGAGAAGAGGATGTAACAGTAAGCATTTCTCCAATACTGAGATATCAGGAGTGCTACTGATTTATTGAAATATTTCATTGTGTGAAATACAGTGAAACATGTCTGATCCGGAGGTTTTCTATTCCAAATTTTTGCCTAATGCAATGGTAAATTTTTAGTCTCTTTCAGGAAATTTATTTGTTTAAAATGTTGTCTAATTTGGAATGTTGTCTAAACCGGTCAATTTATTTTGAACCAGTGGTTCCCGGGTTAGACAAGTTTTACTGTATTTCATTACTCTTTATTCCTTTTTCTTTTTAGCTGTGTTTAGACTTTTTGGATGCTGTTCTGTGCTACAGTTATCTTCCAACAGAATGCCTTGTGAGCTTTATATCTGCTCTGTGTCACACAGTCAACATTTCCAAGTTCTCACAATCAAGCTGGGAGGTAATGGAATGCATATTGTTTTTGTGTGTTTTTCTTTTCTTTTCCCCCCACATTTTTTATTTTGCCCTGCCATGAATATTGCCGGGGCATATAGAGTTTGTCATGTCCATCTTCCGTCGTTCCATTGTTCTGTCCTTCCGTTCTTCCATCATGCTCCGGTTTAGCTCAGTTCAAAGCTCATTTCAAAGAAACTATTCAAGATATATTTATTTTTCATATGCTGATAGATATTGATGAGAGCTATTCAACTGCATCAACATTTAAGTAACTTGACCTTTTCTTTGACCTTGACCTCACTTTTCTTAAATTAGTGTTTAGCTCAGTTTTAAAGAAACCATTCAAGATAGTGTAATCAAATTTTATATGCTGATACAAACTGATGTAAGCTATTCAGCTGCATCAACATTTTTTTTCCTTTCCTTTGACCTTGTCCTCACTTTTCTTAAATTAGTGTTTAGCTCAGTTTTAAATAAATCATTCAGGATAGTGTTTTCAATCTTCATATGCTGATACATACTGAGGTAATCTATTCAGCTGTATCAACCATTTTTGACCTTGACCTTTCCTTTGATCTTGACCTCACTTTTCTTAAATTAGTGTTTACCTTAGTTTTAAATAAACCATTCAAGATATTTTTATCAAACTTGATATGCTGATACATATTAGTGAGAGCTATTCAATTGCATCAAAAACTTTTGACCTTGCACTTTCCTGAGACCTTGACCCCACTTTTCTTTAATTTGCATTTTGCTTAGTTTGAAAGAAACTATTTGAGATATTTTTATGTAAGCTTATGCACTTATACATAATTTGGTAAGAATTTATCATTTGTATCCATTTTTTTAGATTTCAATTTCAATTTTAAAGACACCTTTCAAGATTCATACACTAATACAATTTTCATGTTGCATTACTAATATACACATATACACTTGGCGGGACATTCATGTCCTGTGAACATATTTTTAGTCAATAATTGAATTTCTTTTTGTGTGTGTGTGTGTATTTTTTATACATATCATTTATCCATGGAGCGAAAGGCTAATTGGATTGACTGGCAAACGAAAGATTTCTGGTTCAAATTCCACTAGGGTTTTCTTGTGAAGTATTAAATCTTGAACTAGACATTGCACATGTGTCTCCATTGCCTAATTTAACCGAACTGTAAATTGGTACCAACTTTGAATCTATGAATTTATTCTAAATCACAGCTCACAGGGTAGGAGCACCAAATTTATTAGCAATCATTTTAAAGGAATTTCAATTGACCCAAATCATGTAATATTGAATATTATTCTTTCAGTTGATGAGAAAATTACTAGGCACACATCTTGGACACAGCAGTATTTACACTATGTGTTGTATGATGCAAGATGTCAAGTAAGATCATTATTTTGTTTTATTTAAGGTTTTAATATTATTATCTCAATTGCTGTTCCAGAAGTATGCCAATTGCAGCTTTTCATAGAAATACAGTAAAACTTGCTTATAACAAAGTGCCAGGGATGGATGTTTTTAGTTCATTATAAATGTTTTAGTATACATTATATTTTAAAGCCATGGGGAATGAAAATCATTTCGCTGTAAGCATCAATTCATTATAAGCATGTTTGCTTTAAGCGTATATTACTGTAAATAAAACTACTTTATTTGATAAGATTTTGGTGAATATGATCAAGTCTTTAATTCTATTAATTTTGAATGTGTTTTTCAGAAATGTGCATGATCAAGAATTGTTGAGGGGAGTGGTGTATTTTGTTGGCATGGCCCTGTGGGGTTACAGAAAAGTCCCAACCCTCAAGCATACCTTCTCCTCTGTCCTGCCATCTTTCTTACAGGTTTGTTGCTCAATGGTTTTTGTAAACTGATAGGTTCATGGTTGTTTATGGGGAGTGAGATGCTGTTCTTGTCTGTTGTCATAAAAATAAAAACATGGAAAAACTGAAATGTTTTGTATACTACAAGTGAAATTCAGATATAGATATTGATATGGGTTGTATAATATACCGGTACAGTATTTCTTGTGTAAACAGTTTATTAAAAAGAAATCATTTGCGTAGTTCAGAAGCAGCCTGAATGTTTCTCGGGACTTTTTTATAAGGATAGCAATGCTAAAATATGAATATGAGATTGTGGAACAATTGAGACAATTGAGAAAATAATTGCTAATAATGGGCATTTGGTACACAGGTGCTAGAGTCCAACAGTTTTATTGTGGCTCATGAGGTTGTGCTGAACATCCAGAGACTGGTGAAGAAGTATGGCAAGGAACTCCAGCATGTCACGTGGCAGATCGTGCTAAATATCCTAGAGAGTCTTCTCAAACTGCTAGAGGTACATGTATAAACATAAGTAAAGGTACATGTATAAACATAAGTAAAGGTACATGTATAAACATAAGTAAAGGTACATGTATAAACATTAGTAAAGGTACATGTATAAACATTAGTAAAGGTACATGTATGAAAATAAGAAAAGGTACGTGTATGAACATAAGTAAAGGTACATATAAAAACATTAGTAAAGGTACATGTATGAACATTAGTAAAGGTACATGTATGAACATTAAGTTAAGGTACATGTATGAACATTAGTAAAGGTACATGTATGAACATTAAGTTAAGGTACATGTATGAACATTAAGTTAAGGTATATGTATGAACATTAGTAAAGTTACATGTATGAACATTAAGTTAAGGTACATGTATGAACATTAGTAAAGGTACATGTATGAACATTAAGTTAAGGTACATGTATGAACATTAGTAAAGGTACATGTATGAACATTAAGTTAAGGTACATGTATGAACATTAGTAAAGGTACATGTATGAACATTAAGTTAAGGTACATGTATGAACATTAGTAAAGGTACATGTATGAACATTAAGTTAAGGTACATGTATGAACATTTAGTAACAGTTCAGTACAAGTTTTACAAATACATATTGTTGCCTAAATAAATTCTTTTATATACATGTACATGTATCATTAAAATGAAATTCTTTTTAAATGAATGAAAGAAAATATCACTTCATGTATTCAGAATCTAATTGTTATTCATTTAATCACATTTGGTATAATATTACCTATATTTGTTATCAATAGAACCCTGCCTTTGCTCAACCGACCCATGACCCAAGACTACAAGCTGACCTTCATGACATTTTGACCAACATTGAGCAGCTTCATGCACAAGGCCAGTTTTCTGGGTGTATCACCCGATTCTTCAAAATCATAGAAATGTGTGCCAACAAGAGACCAGTAAGTTAACTGTTTGTGTTCTTTACAGTTTTTTTTATAGGAATGCAGGTCAAGTTTCGTATTATTCCACTATGACATTTGTGCAGTCAAAACTTCTTTAGCAACCACCGTTTTGTAATTAAAAATTTTAAGAATTCAACAAAAGCTAGTCCGATATCTCGCATGAAGTTAAGCAAAGCTTTGTTTTCAAGTCAATAGACAGAAGAAAGTTATTTAAGAAATTTGATAATTTTTATCCTTTCCCACAACAGGAGAGTTCTGTATCCCTGCTGATTGAGCACCAGGCACAACTGATCAACCCCACCAAGGAAAACTGGATCAATCACCTCTATCAGCTGCTGGAAAAATACTTCAAGTGAGAATAGAGGGGAAAGAGTCGCATAATCTGTTTACAATTATATAACATTAGTTTGAACTTGCTTATAACCAAGCTTACATGCATTTTTAATTTCTTCACTTAGATCGATATGTCAAATAATTTTTTTTTCTGTTATAATACAGAAATGAAACCAGAACCCAGATAAGAGTTAAGGCCCTTGACAAGTTATCACTGGTTCTTAGCATCAATAAACACATTTATGAGGTGAGTAGTGGTGAACAAATTAATTTTATGATGTTACTTAATATGTATAATTTTTTTTACTATGTTCCTATATTCATAGATTTTTTATCATGAAATTGTATTACTTCATAGGATGTGTTGATCAATAGAGTTGTGTTGCCCCATTTATGCCATATAGAGGCTGACCATGACCCTCAGGTCAGAAAGGTTGCAGCAGACATGTTACTGTTGCTGGCCAATGGTTGTAGTCCCTCCTGCTTTGTGGAGATCATGGCAATCATAGAAAAGGTTACTTTTTTAAACCTTTTTTTTTGTACATCAGTTTTTTTAAATTAAGTTCACACTTAATTTTGGAATTGATTTATGAGCATAATTACAGCTAGCTTTATGCAACAGTAATTTGTTGAGCTGAAATTATAAGAAAATCCTGATGTTTCAAAACTTGAATAAAAGTTTTCTAGATTTATTTTTTAAAAAGTTATTCTTTCATTAATAGTTGATAAATAAGCCCCTGACAGCCCATCCAGCTTCTCCCTATACAAAGGTTGAAGGGTCAGAGATCATTCATCAGCTGGAGGAGACCCAGCTAGAAGATGTAAAGACAGCCATGATAGGTCTGGTGGAACTCTTCAAGGTTGGTGTTGGCAGAAAGTAGAAAATGTATTGTATTCTTGAAATAATTTTCTTTAATATAAGTACATGTACATATACTTCATTTGCAGAAAATATGACCCTTTTAAAACTTGTCAAAATACATGTATCTTAGTATTATATTCAAGAAAATGTTGTTTATAAATTATCATTTGTTCAATTATAAAGGGATTTAATTTTTTAGGGGGTGGGGGGTATTTTTTTTTTATATCTTTCTGTAAATCTGGATTAGAAATTTTAATTTACAATTTACCAAATGTAGTCTATTTTTGTAGCAAAAGTTATACACAGATCCCCCAAGCCATTGTTTGAAGATTTATGACTTGTTGGTGTTACACATGAAACATCAGTATACAGAGCCAAGAAACTTCACAAGCCACACTGCTGTTCAAATCAGGAAAAATGTAGGTGTTCAACAATTTATGCCTAATTTCATATAAATAATACATTGTGCCCTGTTGGTTTAGAAAGGGGAATTTACTGTAATACAGAGAATAAAGGAAAAAAGAGCTTCTTGGTAAAAATATACTATTGCAATGTACATGTAAATGAAATGTGGTTTTGATTTTGTAATGCAGTGGTTTAGGGGCCCGTACTTGGAGATAATCATTTTTGTTTGCTGGACTTTCTGTCCATTATAGTAAAACAAGCATAAACGAAGTTGCCAAGGATGAACAATTTTGATTCATTTTAACTCTATTCCCCTTAAACCTTTCCACCCTTTACCCCTTAATGACGACTTTTGACGCCTAGTCTCAAACCCTTAATGACGACTTTTGACGCACGTGTATTTCATTGTTGATTTGACTTGAAATTACTGCTTGTTTACAAATTATCAGAGCACAGGTGGCCACCTGCAGGTTAACAATAGCTGATTGCATCATACTACAGTTAGAAATCACGTGATTTACCTGTGTAAACAAACAAAAGAATCTTGGAAAGTCACACCAAAATTCAAAATGGCGGACTGTTACATACGATGTTTTTAGAGCATATAACTCAGTCAATACGCAATATTTTCTCATCCAGTAAAGCATTACATGAAATTCAAGCTATAAGCTACCTATTTCTTGAAAGTTTTGAAAATTATAATGATCTATGTGTATAATAAACATTAAAACAAGATATGAAATTGTTGTGAAGTTCGAGACCGCCCAGTGCCGATTTCGTTACCTGATTCTCAGAATTTCAGAAGATACCTTCCATTTTACACATATTTATCAATGTGAAGGTGTAGAAAACAATTATTTTAATAGAATTTGATCATTCAAGTAAACAAAAACATTCAGAAATCAAGTTTTATCAGCCAAGTCTGAAAATTTGTCGGCAAGATTGACATTGAAGTAGCACTACAATTTATTGATTTCTGAGGAATTAAACTTATAAAATTGATAATTAATTATAATTTAACCATCAATTACATCATCACACATAATTTTTATTATTTATTCAGACAATTTTGGCTTATTAAAGCCGTTTTACATGTTGAAAATATCTTTTTTGCGATTTACACCTGCTTTCACCTGAATTATTTATTTACAGAAAATTCCGATCAAAATTATGCTAATAGATTTGAAAAATTTAATTTATTAAGAATCCAGTGATATATAATACATAGCATAAATGAAATATATGGACCCCCATTAGTTCAGTTTTAAACTGCACTCCAATTCATCTAAAACGGTCCATGGGGCAGCCAGGCAAACACTCTAAGGATATGGCCAGTGCGTCAAATGGTGGCATTAAGGGGTAAAGAGTTAACTCTTTACCCCTTAATGCCACCATTTGACGCACTGGCCATAATTAGTTATATTTGCTAAGTTTGTGATAGGTTTTAACTCTTCTGAGTATGCTTGTTCTTTACTTAACAGGTTATAGAAGTACTGTTACACATGAGAGCAGATGATTTGTACAGACTTGGCTTCATAGACAAGAATGTGGATGCTCATCTGGCATTCAGCCCTTATCTTTCTTGTGCAGAAATGTAAGAAAAGTACTCAGCTGAGAAAAGTATAACTGAATCATCATAACTGAAGTTATATGTGATCAATTTATTTCATTGCAAAAGGAAAAATGATTTACTGTAAATCAACTTTTATTTGCATGCGAGAAATATTCGCAAGTTTCGCGACCTACTTTATCCCACGAATATTTATCGCCGCAAACCATTTATTTTGCTTTGAATTTGTAGAGAATGTTTCCTCAGTCGCGAAAATTAATTGTCGCGGATTGATTCTAAACTGACGAATAGCAAATAAAAGTTGACGTGAATAATAGTTGGTTTACAGTATTTGCTTGCAGAGGTTTTAAGGTTCATTAACCCTCTGATAAGAGAGACAACTTTTACTGGGATATATGACTATTAATTTCTATATAAAATTGTCAAGTTAAAAGGTCCTTGCTGTCGAATTTTGTCCTACAAAGTAGGTTGAAATTGTGTACATTTTGATTACTTTGGAATAATTTTAATTGTGGATTAATTTTAATAGGGGTAATGTTCATGGGCAATCAAAATTTTACTGTTTTGTGGGAACATAATTTTGTGGGTAACTCATTTACATACATACAGAAAAACAAATAAACTGATAAATGTACATGGAAAATCAATGGATTTTATAGATGTAAATTAATTGGTAAGGGTGACCCACAAAATCTATGAACATTGGTCCCCCCATGAATGATGATTCCACAGTGCGTAACAATTTTTTTTTCTTTTAAAAAATTATTGAATTTAAAAGCAAAATTTGATGTGACTGAACTGAGAGATGACGAACTTACAATTCTATTTCATTGTCAATTGTTGTACTGTGGTAAGGTCTTTTTTTTTAAACTAAAAAATCACTTTCACTTTCCTGTACAGGCAACCTAAGTTGAGTGAAACAGTTGAAGAGAACAATTCCATTCCAACAGACACAGTAGCATTTCTATGGTCTGAATCAACCTACCTAGACTATAAAAAGTCTTTCAGTATTTTTCTGTCATGTCTAGAAAATGTAAGTACATGTACTTTACAATATGACATTTGCCTTCCTGAGAACATTGCATTTGTAAGTGCCCTCATACTAAGTATAACATTTTTCAAATAAAATTTTCATCTCTCATTGATGCCACTGTAACAGGATGTTGATTTAAGTTTAAATGGGGATTCTGGGATTGTTTCTACAGGACAAAGACTGGGAGGTATTGGAGCGTGTCCTGGTCAACCTTCCATTATTACTTCAGAACAAAACCCTTATATTGTCAACCAAGCATGACCTTATCAATTCCCTGTGTCATCATCTCTGTGCCATGGTATGTACTGATAACTAATTTAAATGAATGACAAATGTGCTGTGGCTTTTGATTAATAATACACCTGTGAATTGTTTTTTTAATACAGGTAAATGATCGACAGTTGAACTTTCCTGAGAAGCTCCATGGAACCCCCTCAGGAAGGTTCACAAGATCAGACTTTCACACGTTTGTGTTCCCTGTGTTGGCTGCCATGGTGTCTTATCACAGACATCTGGACAGAAACCGAGCAGTAAGTCTTCTGTAAAAGTATTACAATTGATAAATGGTATACATAAATCTCGTAGGAAAACTGATTTTTTTTGCCCCTGAGATTGAAGATTTTGGGCATGATATATTGAGTTTGTCTCATTTCTCTTTGATTTCAACTTTAACCTTTCTCATAACTTTTTTAGCTCACCTGAGCTGAAAGCTCAAGTAAGCTTTTCTGATCACCTGTTGTCCAGCGTCTGTCCATCTGTCTGTCTGTCTGTCTAGCTGTCCGTCCGTCTGTAAACTTTTCACATTTTCAACTTCTTCTCAAGAACCACTGAGCCAATTTTAACCAAAGTTGGTACAGAGCATCCTTGGGTGAAGGGGAGTTTAAATTGTTAAAATTAAGGGCCAACCCCCCCCTTACAAGAGGAGATAATCAAGAAAAGACAAAAATTGGGTGGGGTCATTAAAAAATCTTCTTCTTAAGAACCACAGGGCCAGAAAAGCTGAAACTTATGTGGAAGCATCCTTGGGTAGTGTAGATTTAAAATTGTTCAAATCATGGCCCCCGGAGGTAGGGCGGGGCCACAATAGGGAATCAAAGTTATACATTGAAATATATAGGCAAAATCTTTGAAAATCTTCTTCTCAAGAACCACTGGGCCAGAAAAGCTGAAACTTATGTGGAAGCATCCTTGGGTAGTGTAGATTTAAAATTGTTCAAATCATGGCCCCCGGAGGTAGGGTGGGGCCACAATAGGGAATCAAAGTTTTACATTGAAATACATAGGCAAAATCTTTGAAAATCTTCTTCTCAAGAACCACTGGGCCAGGAAAGCTGAAACTTATGTAGAAGCATCCTTGGGTAGTGTAGATTTTAAATTCTTCAATTCATGGCCCCCAGGGGTAGGATGGGGCCGGAATAAATATTACAAAGGGGAGGTCTTGTGAAGAACAGCAGGGCCAAAGTAACTCAGGTGAGCGTTGTGGCCCATGGGCCTCTTGTTAAGTTAACAATTTAGAGACATTTTACTTGACACAAAAGTAGCTTATGATTAAAGTGTGTGTTATGATGGTGACCTAAAGTCATTTGAATAAGGTCAAGGTCACAGGGATTGGACATAAATTTTTTGTCCACTCTATAACTTTATAATGAGGAAACATTAGAGATTAATTCTTGACATAAATTTGGGTTATTATTTAAAATTTTATTGGGGTCCTGATCCAAGATTCTTTTGACAAGGTCAATCACAGAGATTTGAAGTGTAAAATCATTTCTGCTCCATCTTTAATATTATAGGACAATACAAGCTCTAACTTTGTACAGAAGAATTTAATGATGAAAGAGTGTTGTGTCGTGGACCTGATCTAAGGTCATTTAGACAAGGTCAACACCACAGACACTAAACTGTGTTAAGATCAGAGAATGTGTCCTGACCTTGATTCATGTTTCCTCCATTGTAATGAACCATGCTGGAGGCAGTTTTATTTCACATCACATCTTTCTATTTTAGTTTCTAAACTTGCTGCAGTCTTATTATTCACTCACTGTAAAACACTTGACTCACATCCTTTCATGCATGCAGCTCTTGTCCTGTTCGATGAAAGTGCAATATCTGCATCACTTGTGCCAAATAAATGAAACATTTGAGGGCCATGAACCAGGCATATACAAAAAATTTAAAAGAATCTGTAACAAGTTTATAAACTAAATGTCAATGAATCACAAGCATCTCTACATGATATTTTTATGAATCATGAAGTCTGAACCACCATTAATAACTCTCTCTGTGTGCTAACAGAGAGAGATGATAAAGTGCCTGGAGTTTGGACTGGTGTCTAAGTGTGCTAAGACGTGTACTAACTCACTGAGGATCTGTACACTGGAGATGCAGGACGTGATGATGAGACTGCTACCCTCCGTCTTACTTCAGCTCTCCAAAATCTCCGCCACGGTCCACATGGCCATTCCTGTACTGGCATTCTTATCTAGTAAGTGTGACTTATGGAAAAGTATTCGCCATCTGAATTTGTTTTTAGAAATTAAATTTGGTTTTGTTGCCATATAGATGTATAGCGTCTTCTTTTACATATTTTTATTGAAAGAAATATTAATTCTTGCATCACAAAGTACTTTTAATGAAGTGGGGGAAGGTTGTTGTTTTCATTTGCCTTCTTGTTCAGTAATATTGGTTTTGATATTATCATCTAGGTATTGTGAGGATTCCCCGGATGTATGCCAACTTTGTAGAGGAGGAGTACCTCAGTGTGTTTGCCATAGCTCTGCCCTACACCAACCCTTTCAAGTATGCATGTTACCATACACTTTTAAATTATTCTACAAATAAATTCTTTTCATAAGATTTTGAAAAAAATCGAATTCATGAATGTTTCCTTTGTAAATTTACTCAAAGGATAAATTTTCTGTTTACCATATAGCAACAGGTTATTAAAATGGGCTGATAATTTTGGCTTATTTAAACGTTTTGGTACTTAAGCCTTCCAAAATTTTAATCATTAAAATATTCAGTATTCTTCTTATTTTTCTTCTGTAAAGTCATGAAACCTAGTGTCGGCTAAAATAAATTATGCCGAAAGTATTGGCATATCTTTGAGCAAGGAAATGCCAAATTTTACACCTGCCAAGATAACCCCCTATATGATATATGTGTAATGTATAAACAGTCACTTGAAGCACCTGCACATACTTGTTTTCCTATATGTTTCAGATTTAGCCATTACACAGTTTCTTTGGCCCACCACGTTATAGCAATCTGGTTCATCAGATGTCGTCTGCCCTTCAGAAAGAGTTTCGTTAAATTCATCCAGAAGGTTCTATGATATTATTTGTACATGAACATTATAAGAGACCTACATTTAATGCATCTAGATATTCAGTAACAAGTTCCAGATGTTTTAGAAAATATTGAGTGGTGTGTATTCTTTGAAAAAAAAATGGGCGTTTTCTATTTTTAAATGCAGCAACTTTCAATTAAAATAAAGATTGATATAAATTTTATTTAAATTAGGGTTTACAAGCCAACATTATACAGCAGTTTGAAGAGAACTCCATCATTCACCAGCAACAGAATCAAAACCAAGACTCCAGTGATCGGAGTCGATCTAACAGCTTCAATGACGCTGCATACAGAAAGTAGGCCTCAGGATTACTTAGGCATTTCTTGATACTTATTGTTATACCTTTAAAAATTTTTTCCTATATAAATCAATACTAAAAAAAGTCTAACATTTCTACCGTAATGTTCTACTGAGTGGGCATAAAAAAAAATCGATGTTTGACCGTGGAGTGAGATATTGGACCTGTCGATGAGATGTTGGACCACTTACATCACAGAATGGGTGGAGTCAGCTAAATCTCATTTGCATTCATTTGTGTTTGACATACATGTATGTCAAAAAATAATAATGATAAAATAAATAAATAAAAGGTATAACAAAACATTTATTGACTGCGTTCTCGGGCAAAATGCATTTTGTCGACCCCTCAAACCAAACTGTTTGCCTTCGGCCTACAGCCTCAGGCAAACAGTTTGGTTCTTGGGTCCAACAAAACACATGTTGCCCTGGAACCCAGTCAATAACTGTATAATACTGAAGCTTGCATTTACATTATAACTTATATATACACTTGTATATTTTGAAGCTGAGTTTAAGTACAGTGGAATGGCTCATGCTTGGTTTACCTTTCTATGTGTCTGTAAATATAGTCTTTTTCTCTAGTTTTTGATTGATTTAACCAAAACCTTGTAAAATGTACATCATTGCAAGAATTTTAACTACGTTTGATCAATTATTGATTGCAATCAGTAAAGTTTTAGGTGCATAATCTGAGGATTTCAAAAATTTTGCTTTTCCTACAATATTTCTCTGACTTGAATTAAGCCTGATACATGTATAATAAAGACTACATATTTTTTCGTGTGTCAGTGTAACTTGATTTTTTTTTTTGCAGCCGTAGGAGAATGCTATCTGGTTCTGCCATTAACCGTCAGCATTTTACAGCCCCCGTGGATAATAAGCTGTCCCAGTACCATCACGAGCTAACAGAGACCTGTTTAGATGTTATGTCCCGCTATACCTATGGCAATTACAGTGCCATTCCTACAAGGTGAATCAGTGATTATTTAAATACAATGTAATTGTAAATTAAGGGAAATTTCAGATGATTAAAAGAATTTAGAAAGTTTACAAAATAAATGTATTTTTTAACACATCAAGTTTTCATTAGTACATGTATTTTTTTCATTGTAATTTTATGATTATAAAAGTCATAATATTTGTATTTGTACATGTAGATCCCCAGTAGCAGAATTTTTGTTGAATGGGGGACAGTCACAAATGTGGCTTGTAGGAAACAAAGTGGTTACCATAACAACCAGTGGTGGAGGAGGAAATAAGACTAACAACACCGGACTGTGTGATAAATGTCAGTCAGTCTACCAGAGTAGTGGACAAGTGGCTGAACCGAAACCAGCTCCACCACCAACCTCCACCAGGAGGCGCCACAAGTCAGCCTTTGTCACCCGCAGCGCTTCTACAATAGAGAGCAAGGCTAGTGCTGATGACATTGGAATCCAGTCCCGGATGTCCTTTGATGATTTGATGAGCAGTCCCGACGCCACCCTGGAGCAGGAGGTGGGGGTACAGACTGGATCCTCCCTGTCTGATCACACCCCAACTAAACTAGGATTGGAAACAGAAGCAATGGAGGCATTCCTGATGGGTAATACTACATCATACATTTTATTTTTATTTTTTTGAAAATTTTTGCTCTTGATGAATTTTTTTGTTGAAACGATTTTGATGAATGGGTTTTTTTTATGAATTTAAAATTTGTTAACATCCAAAATACTGTTTACATACATGAATAACCTCAATGTGTACTTGAAAGAGTGGACAAAAAGCAGCTAGTGCATGATAACCTCTAAATAAGGTTAGATTGATGTAAACAATTTAGCATTATTGACTTTATAAGTGTATTGCTTATATAATTTATAGGAATACAGAAGAAGCACTCCTCAGATGGTCGAGTATTTCAGAGTAATATGTGTGCCTGTTGGTGCACAGTCTGGGCAGAGATTTTCATTCGGGGCCCCAGTGGTAATGTGGCATGGATGATGCGTATAGAAAATGATCCCTCCCATACATCCATGCAGGTAACCTGTACAACAGCCCAACATAAAAAAATTAAAGGGAGCAATTTTACCACAAAGTTACATTAAGCAATGTTTAGACTTAAACAAAGATGTGTACAATTTTTTTTAACAAACAAGATGTGTATGTGTTTTATCAAACAACTTATTTTAAGATTGGTGGTAGTAATGTTGAAAAGAATTTTTGCTTCATAAAAATGTTAATGTTTTCCAAAAAAAGAAAATGTTGCGAGGAATTTTTCTATATACTGTATATTCCTAAATATATGCTTGAAATTTATTATCTCATAATTTCAGGAGAAACACCACTCTTGAAATTAAAATTACTTTAATTAATTTTTTTATCACTGAAATGCATGTAAATACTGTAGATCAACAGTCCAATGGCAAATATATATTCTTGCGATTTGGAGTCTAGGAGTCATTTTGCAATATTAAGTACTCACATAAAATAAGAAATCTACAGTAATTATCATGTGCGTTAAACTCTGTGTTTTATTTTACAGGAGTCACAAACACCAGACATTACCATGTTGTTTCAGTCTGTGCAGAAGAAGGAGCCGGATCTAGAGAGTTTACACAGTCGTATTGACAGCGGCAGCATCGGAGAGGACGAGTACGAATCTTTGTATGACCAACATTTCCCATCAGACCACAGCCAAGATGGAGGTAAATTACAGCACTCTAGCTAGAGAATGTATGTGTATTTATTTGTATGTGGTATACCAAAATTTAAAGAGAAGCTGCTTGTGCATAAAAGGAATTATTTAATATGTAAAGGAAAGTAAATTAGGGTATTTCAAATAAGTTTCGATTCCCCACAAATATTTGTGAGAAGTCCTTTTAATTCATATATCCCTCATGCACATGTATGAAAATCAAGGATAGCTTGTTTGTACTCTGTATTTTTCAGATTCAAAAATTCATGAAATTCTTGGAAATCCACAAAAAAAGAGTAAATTTGACCATGTAAAACTCTTTGTGTACTATAAATCAAAATAAATACTGATTTTGATGAATTTCAGGTTTTTGATTACAAATTACCACATTTTAAACTGAGCTTTGATTCTATGTGAATGAATGACCAAATTTTTCCCTGAATGACCATATTTAAACTTTAAACTTAAAAAAAAACCTATTGAATTAGTTCCTGATTGTATCATAGTCATATATATGATATAGGACTTAATTACTAGTACATGTATAATGATAGATTTGTTTTCAAATTTTATATATGTGTTAAAAAAAAGAAGTTAACTCATCAAAAAGCATGTTTTAGGCTAGTACTTTTATTGCATGATTTAGTAATACAAGTAATATTAATATGTAAATAATCAGAAACTTTAACATGCTATACATTATGGGTCTATGAGCTTTTTGTGTGTGTTTGATCCTGTATTCAGATTTGTGTCCAATTCTTGTAGACCTGTGCAGTTCTAATTCTGTTAGAATTAGTATAGAGGATGACACAGAGGATGGTAGGTCTTGTAGATGTTGTGTGTAAAAACAGTTTTACCTCTCATAGCATGCTGTTATGCAAATTTATCTCAATAGGGAAGCACTTTCACTGCTATTAAGCACCTGCATGTCATTTTATTCTTTAAAAATAAATTTAAAATAGGCTCTCAGATTACAGTTGTGTTTTATAGAGATAAATGAAAAATTGAAAAAATTTGAAATGGACAAGTTAATATATTTCCATGTTTAAAATGCAAATCAGGGGGTTTGATGGACAATGTTATGGTTAAAGCTTATATTTATACCTTTTTCCATTTTTACAATGTATTACTCAACATATATATACATGTAGGTGCTTATTATAGGCTAATTCAATATGCTAATATTTTAGTATTTCTGCACATGTCCACTAATACATACTGCCAGTATAAAATCAGATGAATACTTCATATTTGAAATTATTTCTTGGTCATCATATCATTTATATGCAGTGTTTTAATTCTTATTATTAATTGATAAATTTTGTCTGTGTGTCCACAGTCACATAAATTTTAAACTGACTAGAGGCTCTTATTAATACAGTAAAACACACTTGTAACAAAGTACCAGGAACGGATGATTTTGCTTCGTTATAAACATAATTTGTTGTATCCGTTAGGTTCACAATATATTTTAAAGCCATGGGGAATGAAAATCACTTCGCTGTGTTATAAGGGTATTTGCTATAAGCATGTTTTACTGTACTTGATGTAAGGTGTATATTAAGTTTGTTTGAGGAAAAAGAATTAATATGGGAATAATTGATGCAGGAAATTTAATTGAATTAGAAATGGCTACTCGATTATAATTCTGATTTGTTTTATGAACTTTGTTGGTTTTGATTTTTCTGTCCTGATCTTATATGTACCAGGGTTGTTCGGAAAGTTTGTGGACTATCGTCATAACTTTTTTACTTAACGTCATATTATATCCAAATTTGGGAGTAGTATTTCAACAGTAAATTCAACTGAACTGTATTTAAAAAATTTAAAATATCGGGGTTTATTTCAAACTTATTAAGACTTAAAAAATGCAAAAATCGGATCACAGAGCAGGTCAAAATTTTGTAATTTACAATCAAGACAATAATAATGTCTGAAGTCATATCTTCTGTAAAATGATACAGAAATGGAAAAATTCTACACGTTCAAATTAAGAATTTTTTTCATCGTTTCTGATTCCAAATAATGACTTAATATTTTGCTTCGTTGAAAAGAAATCAGTTTCAGAAGAAGGTAGTCCTCATTGAAAAAGGCAAAAAAGATGATGCCGTAGAACGTCACGGAGCAGCAGTTAACCATACAATTTTGTGCTGTACTCTGGAAAACTCCAGAAAAAAAACTCTGAAAATGCTGGAGGAAGTAGGAAATATGTCAAAAGCGAGCCATGCATGTGCATGTATATGGTACAAGAGGTATTTGAATGATAGACTACTCTGCTTAGACGATGGTGATCTGTGAGAAAACGGATTATCTGTAAAAATCTTATTAGAAACATTGAAAAGTTAGTTATAGTAACGTCATGCAAAGAGTTTGGCGCTTCACAAATGCTGATCTTGAGAAAGCACACTTATGCAGTGGAAAAAAATATAATATTGACAAATAAAATAATGCTACTGGAATAATTGTGAGCAAAATAGATTTCAAGTGATAGAGAAACGTTTTTAATGAGTGCACTGGTATTGGGCAATACTGTGTCAAATGTATAGGGATAGTATTTTTGAGAACCTCATGTCGGTATGTTTTTGAAGTTACAGTGTTGTTGAGTTTGCTCTGTGGTTATAAAAAGTGTTGATTTTAAAATTAAATAACATGAATTCTATTAAATCACATGAAATAAAACTTCACACTTCAACAAAATAAATATTTTTACATAGGATAATGTGCTCATTTTAAATTTCTAGAAGATAGTATAACGAAGATTGGCATAGTCCACGAACTTTCCAAACAACCCTCGTACATGTACATGTATATTCAAATTCCCATGTTTGTAAAAATTTCCCAGTGTAACTTATTTTTAATTTAAAGATTAACATACATTATGCATCCATAAGTTAAATAACATGATTTATAAAGACTAATTCATAAACAATATTATTTTACATTATAATATTATAACAATTTAAGTCTGATCTTGCAGATTTTCAATTCATATGTCATATTAAAACATATGTTAAATGCTAGTGATTCAAACAAGATAAATAACGCAATTTTTTTTGGTTTGTGTTTACTTATAATAATCTCGTAATAATAATAGTTTATGTAATTTTTGAACCTTGAAATTTTATCCAGGGAAGAAAGTTATATTCTAGTTGCTTAGTCATCCATTTTTTTTCCCCAGGTCACATGAAAAGAATGATGCAAGTTGCAGAGGATGAGAAGAAGGTAATAGTTCTTCATTGTCAGCAGAACTTTTATTCCCAGAATTCTTTATTATAAACTTCCAAAATTTGTGTGTTTTTAAAAGTTTGAAATACCATTGCAAAGATTACCGGTACTGTACAACAGCAATGTACAACCATCACTATATATGAGAATTTGTGTGCATCATATTTCAGTCAGATTAAGAAGTTTTTGAAATCTTTCAAATTTTTACTCACTCGGTACTTTTTAAACATTATACATGTACATTGTATAAAGTGGTTTTGTTCTACAACATTAAATTTTCTTCACAGAGAGAGGAGTCTGACCCAAATGGACTAGCCATTCCCACCCCCTCAATAAGCCGAGAACAAATGAAGTTCACCTCCCTCCAACGCAGTAACTCCTCCCCCTCTCTGCTGAGTTCCAGTGGGGAAAACCTTGACCCACGCGACAGCCAATCAGAAATTGTGATGATAGACAATCTAATGGCTGCCAGGAAAGAGGAGATAACCCAGGATAAACCAGACAGCTCCTTACTAGCATCAAAACTAGAGCATCCAGAGAATCTGCCAATCAAACCCAATGACACTCTAGCCAAACAAGATCAAGTTGCCTCCCCTACCAGTCCCTCCCCAAGTTCAGAGTCCTCATCACTGCATGATGAAGTGAAGGAGCTACCTGATTTTAGGAAGGCTAGAGGACACACAATCTCGGTGGTTCAGCCATTAAGAGATGGACTGAAGTCTGGGGGGCCAGGCAACAAGGACCAGGGAAGGGGTGGAACTAGCCCCAGCTTCATATTTCTACAGCTGTACTATGATGGAGTATTTAGTTCTGCTACCAGCAGTTCATCATCTCCAATTGTTATTCCACAAAATGAGGTAAGGTGTCCTTCTAGTTTGCTTGCCATTTTGATACTCATTTAGAAACCCTGTGTTAACATGGGTATCAAACAGTTGGCATTTACATGTATTTATATAGACTACTACAAGAGCTTTGAAGATGTTGGATCATATCCATCCATATGAGACCCACAAGATTGGTGTCATTTATGTTGGACCGGGACAGGTGAGTCAGAACAAAATTTGTTATCAATCTTCTGCAAAAAAGAATAGGTCAGACAAAGCTTTAACTGGAAGAATAATCATCATTGCAGACAAAAGATGAGAAGGGTATCCTGTCTAATCAGTACGGGTCAGAGCGTTATGCAGCCTTTGTGCAAGGCTTAGGTCAGCTATTGCGTCTGTCAGACTGTAATCCGGACCGAGTATACATTGGAGGTCTGGACTGCCAGGGAAAAGATGGACAGTTTGCTTATGGCTGGCAGGATGAATCCATGCATGGTATGACCTAAAGACACTGCTCTATCCTGTTTTCTCAATTATGATATGAATTGCATATTCCATAAATGGAGTCTGTGAAAAATCTGTAATTGTTAAAAAGAGGAACTTTACAGTTTATGCTTTTCTTTCTTTTTTTTTTCTTTTGGAATTGCATACTGTAGATCACAAAATTTTCACGAGACCTTATCTTCGCGAGATGGTCATTTGGTATTTATAAGTGAGACATAATTTTCGCGAAATACGGATACTATATATTATATGATCTTTGGTAATTCAAATAGACACAAGAATTAAATTTTTGTGAGCAGGCAGTCTTGTGTAATTACGCGAAGATAAAGTTCCTGCTAATAAAAAGTGATTTACAGTAGTAAGGATTCTAGCAAAAATTAAATACCTTTTTTTCCTGCTGTCTTTTCTTCCTTTCTTGAAATTTTCCCTCAAACTTCCTTTTTTAGTGATTTTTCATGTGGCCACATTAATGCCAAACAGAGAGAGTGACCCTAATTGTAATGCCAAGAAATTACACATAGGAAATGACTATGTAACCATTGTATACAACGACAGCAATGATGACTACAAGATAGGAGTGATTAAGGTAGGGTAGCATGGATGTAAGGTGCTAGATGTATGAAACAGAAATAATGGTAAAACTGAGATTTGAAGCAGATTTTACAATATCAGAACACTTTGTATCATGATTACTTAAAGAAACTGTAGAAAATGTCTGTTAGCTGTTTATTACACTACAAGATCTGATCGCTGTAAATATTTTTTTAAGGGCACATAGGAAAAAACAGTCCTTGTGAACATTTGGTGAACCACATTTACAAAACTTAAGAGGAGTTAGTCCTCTTGTGTTACATTTTTATTGATACTAATTCAGCCATTTCTTTCTGATAATTGTTACTTTTGGAAGTCATAAAATTTGTATAAACATTTCGAAATACATGAACTATTATCTGAAGTGCATCCCTACAAAGTACAATACATTGTACTTTTGGCATATTAAATGTGTGAATCATTCTATTGTCACTAGCATAAACAATGTTGTGTCCCGAAAAATCTTGTGAGATTTAATTAGAACTTCCTCAACTGTACCACAAGAGTGGCAGTAAGGTATATACATGTAATTTTGAGGTAATCGCAATACTAAGTATAACTGACAAAGTTTTTCAAAAAATGAAATCTCATTTACGAGATTTTTTCCTTCGTATATAGGGACAGTTTAACTATGTCAACATTGTGATTCGACCGCTTGACCACGAGAGTAATGCCATAACCCTACAGGCCAAGGAAGGTAAGGTTGTAATAATCATCTCACTTTTATTCCTGTCCAACAATGTGAAAATTATTTTATTTTGAATTCTTTATGGTAGTGAAAATTTTGTAGATTTTTTTTTTTTTGTACACACTTTATTTTTAATACAGATTTGACTGAAACATGTAAATATTTTTTTTTTGATATGACTCACAGTTTTTGCTTCATTAACATTCATTATGGCCATGCTTATAATAACAGCTCATACTTTTGGAAATCTCTGTGTACTAGTAAATTGTTCAGTGTAGAATTCACTGTCCATGCTTGACGGAGCCAGAGAATCTAATCAATCTTTTTGGCTGAGGTAACCAATTAGTTTTGAATTAAGTCATTATTTTCATAAAGTGTCTCAGTTTTGAACTGATACTTCAGCATTAATAAGCTTTGTTAGTGAATTTTAAACACTAGATGCAAAACAAAACAGAAACAAAAATCAGGAAAAAAAATACCGGTATGTAAAAATTTTGGTTGTAATTGAATACATGTTTCTAATTAACTTTTCGCCATGACCAGAGTGATTTCTCTGCAGTTTTGTGGTTGACCATAGCATGCGATCCATATCATTTGCTTCTCTGCAGATTCAGAATTCATTTAAATGCTTATCTGAATTATGAACTTTATAACCAACTTTCAAAATAAAACCTTCTTGTAACACACTTAATATTTTTTTTTAATAAATTATATTTCAGATGTATTTTCCCCATTGTTTTATCCATTATTGTAAATTTGTAAGCACCATCATACATGATTACCAAATGAATGGTATCTACATATATATTTCTGTCCAGATGTATGATCAGAAAAAATATATTACAGAAAATGGATGACAAACCCCACAATAAATTATTGAATGACCCTAAACTATGCTTTTTCTCTTTCTTGAAGTGCCTTTCAAAGACAGTATAACAACAGGTATCACCAGAATTTGCTCAACATCCTAACTCTACGATTTGCTTTTGCTGTATTCTTATAGCCATGGGCTCTTCTGATCTGCATGTCTGTTTGTCTGTCTGATAACTTTTGACAAACCCTTTGCAACTGTTTTCTAAAAATTATTCAGCAGGCTTTTTCAACTTTAATTTTCTTAAGTTGATTTGTTATCATCAGGAGTCAACATGGAAATTTAAACCAAAGAATCTTTGCAGTTCACTTTCTCAAATCCTTAAGGTGTCACTTAGTCAACTTTAGATAATGTAGATCACTTTTATTTTGCAAGATCTTATTTTTGTATGATACTAATTGGTATAAATTATAAGGCCAAAATAAAAAATACGTTTGTTTCCCCTCCTTTTAATAGGATTATTTAAATATTTTTTTTAATTGTTTATCAACTTTATAAAATACAATTTCATCAAAATCCGTTTTTTATCAAAACGGCGGCTTTTGTTTTACTCTCATTTGGTGCCTACATGTGGCCACAGAGAGTTAGTTCGTTTTATAAAACAATGGTGACGTATCAATCTTATTATATATCTTTAACTTATTAGAATCCTACACTCTTGAGACATGTTGTGAATTAAATGTACCTTGACTAAGGAGTGTTAAGATGGTATTTACAAGTGTGTCTTCTAAAATAAACGTACGTAGTAAGCATGGCAAAGCCTGCCTCATCGGCAGATGAGGGGTCCACCTTGTGAATACATATCAATAAATTTCACTGCATTTGATTTGTTTCGATCTAATAAACAGTTCTTGTATGATCTTATTTTTACTATATAGGACCACAGGAGTTGTAAATATGTCTTTGTATGATTATTTCATCTTGATAAATATAATTCAGATGGCGTTTCTTTATTCCTTTTATCTATGAGGTATTAACTCCGTGACTATAACATTATAGATATGTACGAAACTTTAATCATTTTAGATATGGTTTGGTTGAATTATATATGTTTATACATGTACACTCTTTCCAAATAGTGTTGAAATCTTTAAAATTTGCTTCTGATATGGCTTACTGAGACGTCCAGTTTATTTTTCTTTAGTAAGGCCCTTGAAAACAAGTTGTTTCTTTGCCTTAAAATACCTTTAAAAATTGTTGGGCCAGTGGAAGGCTCCTAATTTAGACTTTTACTCGGCACTTATGGCCACTGATCATTAAGCATCAGTAGGGGATCTTTTTGTGCCATCTAAATGTATACTGCGACACTGGACCTGCGTTTTTTACGGTCTCATTCGACTGAACAGTCTCCACGTCCCACGTCGGGACCTGTGACTTAGAATAAGCTCCTGAATTACGTATACGTGGTGACTCCAAAACAAAACTAAAATAACTGCGCCACGCGAGGCCTTTGACATTTTGTTTGTGTAAGTAATCGAAGATGATAGTAGGTTTGAAAAATGTACTCGGATGTTGAGTATTTGTGAATCTTGTGTTTTTGTAAATATTCGATTTCAATAAATTTATGCTGGCCTAAGATATTTCACAAGTTCAAATGAATAATATTTGTGAATTAATTTACCATACATGTTGCTTCATTTGCTTGATATTCGGTTTAAAAACCGGTTTCTTGTTTTTTCTTATTCATAAAAGATATTATTCAATTTTCAGAATGTATTTCAAAAACTGCTGTCAGAAAAAAAAATGATTTACCTACCTACCGACCAAACTTGAGACTTTTGGGTCAGGTTAGGGGAAACAAAGATATTTTTAATGATGGCCTAAGTAAGAATTTTTTTCACAAATTTTATTATTGTTGTATATAATCTTTAATGATACAAGTATATGTGAGAATGAAATTTCCACAAGCAGGTCATCTTGTACAATTTTGTAAAAATAAGGTTCTCACAAATAAAACATGTTTTACAGTACTATGGGCTTTAAGTAGAGTTTTAAGTTTATCAGATTAATTTTTCTGAAAAAACAATTCAGTTAATATTTTGGCCCATGGGCCTCATGTTCTTTGTGTATGTTTGCTTTTTAACACTTTACTAGTTGCCTTTCCTTGACAATAATCTATTTGAATTCTTCATCAGCTTTCAGTGTGAGTCCCTGTGCTTTTCATACAGTATCAGTTATCACAATACATGTATCTCCATCTGTTGCCATGCAGTTTCTCATCTATCCAGCATTAATCTGTTTTACACAACTGTATAAGGACCTGTTCAATTGAAGCTTTGATTAAAATGACTTCTTTGATGACTAAGCCTTAGAGAAACTGCTTCTCGGCTTATTGTTATAGCTACATAGACTGTATTTCATATCCTTTGTTATACATGTATACTCAGTAGTGGTAACTTCAAAGCTTTGTAACTCCCAGGTAGATATCAATATGCTAGATAACCGACAGGTAAATTACAAAGGTTTGTAGAAATATAAGGGAATAGAAGCTAAAGAATAAAGATATCAATCAGTTTATATATCATTACATATATCTAATAAGTGTGGATTATATTAATTTTAATGGGGAGAGAAAAAAAAAAACCCACCAAAATAAGAGATCTTAGAACTTTTTTGAACATTAGAAAAAAATTTGAACACTATAAAAAGTTGGATAATTTTCAAATGTACCTTTTGTGAAATATTTTATTCTATTTCTGCAGACATTGCTGATATCCTAGGGCACAAGGATACCAAGGTGATATCTGATGACAACCTGGCAGCACTGGTCCGACAGATAGCGGTCAATTGTGATGTAAGTACAGTGTACTAGTGGTCTCCAATCAGATGTTAGTATTTCTGTCTAGTCAATGATTTCTAGCAATTATCACCAACAATCAGCATAAAGGTATTGACTATATAGTTATGGATATCTTGAAATCAACCCATCACTACTGGAAAATTGCAGTTGAACTTTGATATCTTAATATCTTTATCTATATTGTTATGTTGAATATCAGGAAAGTCAGCGTTAGTATATTACGGTTTTAGGTCTATGCTTAGATATCTCAAACTTGGTATATCGAAGTCTTTTATAGTTATGTCTGCTAAGCTAGTTCAAGACAATAAGATTCAACTTTACTTACATGAAACCTAAAATTTAAAAAAAAAAAAAAATCTAAAAATTACATGTATTGTGTGAAATATATGTCAAACATATTATTCCAGTGTTTCACTTATTCCCCCAGCTTGCCTCCCTGGTCCTACAGAGACAGCAGTCACAACCCCAGGATCCATTTGCCTCCAACTGGCTGGAACGCCTCCGTCAAATCAAACGACTGAAAGCCAAGGTCCTGACCAACTCGGATAAACAGGGCCTCAGTGACATCATGGTGTAACTGCTCAGCTTTTGCCACTAACTGTATCATTTAGCAGAGCTAAGACCCCCCAGCTTATTACATTTATTAACCAATTAAAATAGTTTATGTTTTGTGGATATCTAAAGCACATCATTAAATCCTAGTGAAATGTTGATGAAGAATGACAGCTGCCATTTTGATAGTGTATACTTTGTTCAATGATAATTTATCAACAACACAGTGTGTAAAATTATCTGTGACAGTCTTTGATATTGCAAATAGAGTATATAAAAAATGTCTGCATGAACAAAAATTGGCTAATTTGCTCATCCATATTGCAAGTGTAAGTAGTAAGTGTACATGTACATTGGTTTTGTTATAGACTTAGTGTGTGAATGATTTAGTCTTCCTGTAAATATGTGTTTGACATCGGACAAACTTATTGTAAAATAATGTATAAAGAAATTTTTCAGTTTTACCTCATTTTGCTTGAAAAAAAAAATTATCAGGTTGAAATTGGGCATTTCAGCAGTGCTACCTTCAAGTATTTTTTGTCCTCAAATAATTATACAGCTTAAGGATTTTTTATTATTCTGGCGTTATCCAAGTTTATCAGTCTTGCTATCATATTTACAGTACAATACAGTTTTGAAAAAAAATTGCTTGTTTGTTATTTACAAAAATGGCTTGTAAATGTATAGAGCACTTTGGGTAACATTTATGATATTAAATTTATACAGTATACAGGATTATTTTTGCCCTTTGTTATTTTCATCCTTTCACACTTGCAAACAATTCTGATCCATTTTAAATTCGTCCAGACACAGCTGTGTTAAAGAGATAACTCTGTCCTCTTTTTGAATTCACCCCATTTAAAATTTGCCCATTTCCAACTATGGCAAAAAGGGATGAAAATAAAGTGAGGGGCAAAAAATTCTTTGTATACAGTTTTAATGAAATATTTGATTTATTGTATCCGCCACAAGTTTTAAATATGTTAATCTACTCCAATTTTAGTTGGATGAAGAAAATAAAAAGATTTTATGGGTTAGGTGCCTAACTCACTTATGTGTAGGTTTGTTGATCAAATAACCAAAATTATAGTCAAATACCTACAGTGTTCGAATGTTTTAAATCTCAGAAGACCATGGAATATATCATAGATTTTATTATTTTAAGATCACTGAGGAATTTAAGATCGAACACTCATTTTTTTTCCCCCTACACATACATGTAACTTCCTGGACGAGGGGGATCAAGGTCCAAGCTTTTTCCTAATGGCTGTTTGTAATATCACAGTTTCACAGACTGTAAGAATTGTACAGCTGTATTATATATCACATCTCGAATTGCGAAAATTTGTACAAATCTTCATTAAGGTGAGAGATTACTTAAACATTGTGTTTGTTTACTTTCCAGTACTCAGTGAGGTTCATCATTTATTATAGTTCAAAACTTATTCTTTCTGTAAACAATCAAAAACTTTTTTCTTAGCTTACCTGTCTTTTGTTGCAAAGATTTATTGCTCTAAGCCCAACATCCTTATTCTAAATGATAAGTCCAGCATGAATGTTTTTGTATTTTAGTACAGTATACACTTAATGCCACCTATCTGCATCACTGTGGTGTTTGATCCATGAGGTGGCAGTTATAATGCATTTTTGAAATGATAATGTCAGTGTTTATATCTTAGTTATGGTACTGTTTTTTTTTTCACATACAGGCTGTACATCTGTAGAAGTTGAATGATTGTTCAAATGTAATGAATATAGTATACAACTATATACACACCCTTTGCTATATATACTCTCTGCTTTTAACCAACATCATTTGACCCGAGGTGTGACCCCAGAGGCAGAGTTTTTCTTGGTGTACATTGACATGATAAGGTCTGCATTAAAATGATTTAGTTTCACCTCTGTCACTTTTCCTTTTCAATTTGAAGTGAAATGAAAGTAACCATTATGTCATTATGACATCATCATCCTCTATCCTTTGCCAGTATTTGTAAACTGTGGACTGGCAAATTAACATGATGGTTTTAATTTCCTTATGTTAATGTTTTTCATTTTTCTGCAAAATTAAATTCAGAGTGAATAAGATGATCAGATTGTACATTAAAGTATTTATCATCAGCTTGGAATTAAAACCATTGCAAAAATAGGTTTAGTATATTTTCAAATGTTACTGTTTTTTCCCCTATGTGTTGTAGTTTATACCTTCAAGTATAATTCCCAAATTTCCCTTGGATGTGATCAAAGGGGTATGATACATGTATGTGAAAGTCAAAATCTAATAGTATTAAAGATGAATATTACATAACGTACCATGTACATGAAGGATGTAAAAGTAGATTGGGTGTAAAAAGAAATCTTTGTTACATTTCCTGCAATGATGTTGCTATATTGAAATGTTTGAAGTTTGTTTTTTTAAAAGAAAAGCATCATCAGTTAGATTACAAAAATTCAAATCTTCCAGTACAAGGTAGGATTGAAAATAAATTTTAAGTGGGAACAAATCACTGTATTTGGCTTTTACATATAGGCCAATAGAAATAAATGATTTAGTGTAGATATTAGAAAAAAAATCATTTTTTAGTAGAAAAAGATATTACATTTTTTAGATTTGTAAAGGCCAGTAAACTATGATTGAAACTAAAATAAAGAAAGGGGGGGCTACTATTGAAATCAATGGATAATACTGCAAATGTAATCAACTGTGTATAGTCATATTGTAAATGAAAGATGCTAGCTGTCATAATTTTTAATAAGCTAAAATAATGTAGTGATTGATATAATTTGTGACATTGTGTGAGTTGAACCAAATTGAATACGTGTTAATATATATATATATATATATATATATATATATATATATATATATATATATATATATATATATATATATATATTACTATGTTGTGAATGTGACATTTGTTTTGTTTATTTTAGTGGATAGACTGTTAACCAATCCCTGTTGTACAGTTTGATTGATATGCTTGTAATAATGTACTTAGTTGTATTTATAATTATTTATATATCAGTATTTAATCAGTATGTAAATATAAAGCTTTTTTTTTTTTTTGAAAAAAAAATTGTGACTTCTTAACAATGTTTGAATTTCACAATGGCTATGCTATGATGGGGTATATTGTGTATACCTATGTATGGAAGTGCTCCCTGTGAACAGAGGAGGTGTTCAAGGCTTTATTTCATCTCTAGTCATATTTTGCCAGTAATTTAACTCCAATCCTTGATTGAATTGACCACTTTTTCCTTTTCACCTTGGCTCTGTCAGTGTATACATTACATTATGGACTGCATATAGGTTCTGTTTCCTGCTAATGATAAATGGAAATGATCAGGATCAGAAAGTTTTAATGTAGTAGAGGAATGCTCAGATTTATAACCATCTAGAGGATTATTCTGTATTTTCCAACTGATTTTTGCTTAATTTTAAAGTGGCATGTTTATGTAGATGTTGAAAATGAAAATTGAATACTGTTTCTTATACTTATCTTTGATTTTAAGCATTCAGAATACACATGAAATCTGTACATTGTAGTATATAATTCAAAATGGATATAAAATTTCTGAATTAATAGCCTCTTCCAGATTTACTTACTAGGATTTTATAAACATATTTCATGGATTTTAATTGCATTCTATAAAATTGCCATAGTGGTTTTGAATATTTTCACTTTACAAACTTACAAGATTTGCATTATTTTGTAAAACTTGATTTTTTGAAAGCATACCCTCCTTCATTTGATTTTTCTTATGTCTGTATGGATTCTCCTTGTACTAAAAAGTAGCTGTGAAATAAAATTCATTGCACAATTATTTTTATTCTTTCCAACTTGCAGGATTGTGTTGGATATCATTTATATCAATTAATCAATTCAATAGCAATTAAATAAATGATGGGAAATCGGAATGACAGTGACATAAGGAAAAGAACACTTGTTCATAAAAGAGTGTTTAGAAACAATATGAAAATGACACAGATATTGACAAAAAGTGTTTTTAGGTCACCTTAGTCACTCAGGTGACCTATTGCTATCTGTTTTAGTCTGTCGTTGTTCATCATTGTTAACATTTTCAGCTTCTTGTCTGAAAATTCTGAAACATTTTCAGCAAATTTTGGCATACATGTATAGCATCTATAGGTGAAGGGGAACAAAAATCTTGAATTTCATGGTCCCTGCTCCTCTAGAACCTGAGGAATGGGGCCAAAACCAACAAAATTAATGCATTCTTCAAAAAATCTTATTCTTTTTTTCTGGACATCAAGCAGTCAAACTGTTGGCATGATTGTAAAAAGCATTGAGTCCTCTAACTAAATTTTGAAACTCATGACCCCAGGGACGGGTGACCAACTTGCAGGATTGTGTCGGGTATCGATTATTTCAATTAACAATTCAGTATCAATTAAATAAATTATGGGAATTCAGAATGACATTGAGATAAAGAAAAGAACACTTGTTCATACAAGAGCATTTAGAAACGGTATGAAAATGACACAAATATTGACAAAAAAGTGGTTTTAGGTCACCATAGTCATCAGGTGACCAATTGCTATAATTATGTTTTAATCTGTTGTTGTCCATCATGTGCTAACATTTAAACATTTTCAGCTTCTCTGAAATGTCTGAACCAATTTCAATGATTTTTGGCATATATCATCTATAGGTGAAGGGAAACAAAAATAATGAATTTCATGGTCCCTGCTCCCCTAAAGCATGAGGGATGGGACCAACAAGAGGCCCATGGGCCACATCGCTCACCTGAGCACATTGGCAAGGCAGAAGCACAAATCAGTTCAGTATTGAAAAGAAATTTGGGGGGGGGGGGGGCGCTTGAATTTTAAACTACCTGATGATGCTTCCATGTCAATATAACAAATGGTTTTGTTGTACTTGAGATGATTTTTAAAAAAATTTCCCATATATTCCTTTGTAAAAATTTGATCCCCCATTGTGGCTCCTCCCTATCCTAGGGGTCATCATTTGAACAAACTTGAATCTACACTACCTGAGGATACTTCCATATCAATATGACTAAACATAGCTTTTCTGTTCTTGAGAAGAAATTTTTTTCTATATGTTCTTATGTAAAACTTTCGATCCCCCTATTGGGCCCCACCCTACCCTCGGGGGTCATCATTTGAACAAAATTGAATTTACACTACCTGAGGATGCTTCCATATCAAAATGACTAAACATGGTTTTCAGTTCTTGAGAAGAACATATTTTCCTATATGTTCCTATGTAAAATTTTCGATCCCCCATTATAGCCCATCCCTATCCCCTGGGGTCATCATTTTAACAAACTTGAATCTACACTACCTGAGGATGCTTCCATATCAAAATGACTAATCATGGCTTTGCAGTTCTTCATCAGAAGATATCTTCCTATACATTTCTATTTCAGACTTTTATCCTCCATTGTGGCCCCACCCTAACCCAGGGGGTCAGGATTTGAACAAACTTGAATCTACACTACCTGAGGATACTTCCACATAAATATGATCAATCAGGGCTTTGCTGTTCCTGAGAAGAAGATTTTTAAAGATTTTTCCTATATATTTCTATGTAAAACTTTGATCCTCCATTGTGGCCCCGCCCTACCCCCGGGGGTCAGGATTTGAACAAACTTGAATCTACACTACCTGAGGATACTTCCACATAAATATGATCAATCAGGGCTTTGCTGTTATTGAGAAGAAGATTTTTAAAGATTTTTCCTATATATTTCTATGTAAAACTTTGATCCTCCATTGTGGCCCCGTCCTATCCCCAGGGGTCATGATTTGGACAAACTTGAATTTACACTACCTGAGGATGCTTCCATATCAATATGAGCAATTAGGGCTTTGCTGTTATTGAGAAGAAGATTTTTAAAGATTTTTCCTATATATTTCTATGTAAAACTTTGATCCTCCATTGTGGCCCCGTCCTACCCCCGGGGGGTCATGATTTGAACAAACTTGAATCTACACTACCTGAGGATGCTTCCATATAAATATGACTCATCATGGCTTTGCTGTTCTTGAAAAGAAGATTTTTAAAGGTTTTTCCTATATATTTCTATGTAAAACTTTGATCCTCCACTGTGGCCCTGCCCTACCCCCAGGGGTCAAGATTTGAACAACCTGAGGATGCTTTCATATGAGTTTCATCTTCCCTGGCTTTGTGGTTCTTGAGAAGAAGATTTTTAAAAGATGCTATTAATTTTTCACTAATTCTTTATTATCTCACCTTGAAAGAGGGCGTGGCTCTTCATTTGAACAAACTTGAATCCCCTTCACCCAAGGATACTTTGTGGCAAGTTTGGTTGAAATTGGCCCAGTGGTTCTTGAGAAGAAGTCGAAAATGTGAAAAGTTTACAGACGGACGGACGGACGGACAGACAGACAGACGGACAGACGGACTACAGACAAAATGTGATCAGAAAAGCTCACTTGAGCCTTCGGCTCAGGTGAGCTAAAAACCAACATAATTAATGCATCCTTCAAAAAAATTTATTCTTTTCTTCTGGACATCAAGCAGTCAAACTGTTGGCATGATTGTAAAAAGCACTGAGCCCTCTAATAAAATTGTGAAACTCATGGCCCCAGGGACAGGCAAGGGTTTTAGTGTTAGGGTGGGGCTCTATTGATCATTTTGTGAAAATGCGTAAGTTCTTTTAAACATCTTCTCTCCCCCTGTATATATAGAAGACAAACTAAGTGTATAGATATGGTGAGCAAGGGTGCCTCTTCCAAAATTGTAAAATCCATGTCCCCAGGGTCAGGGGTTCTGGTGTTAGGATGGGGCTATGTTGATCATATAATGAAAATGCATTAATTCTTTCTGAATCCTTTCTTTTCTGGGTATTAAGCAGACAAACTAAGTGTGTGGTTATAATGAGCAAAAGTGAAATTCATGGCCCCAGGGTCAAAGGTTCTCAATTAGGACAGGGTTTGATTGTTCTTATAGTAAAAATGCAAATATTCTTTGAAATAGCTCTTGGGTATTAAGCATACAAACTAAGTGCATGAATATAATCAGCAAGGATGGCAATTCCAAAATATGAAATTCATGGCCACAGGGACAGGGGTTTTGGTGTTAGGGCGGGGCTCTATTGATCATATAGTGAAGATGCATTAACTCTTTGAAAATCATTCCTACTCCGTGGTATTGAACAGACAAACTGAGTGCATGATTATGGTGAACAAGGGTGCCCCAGGGTCAGAGGTATTGAGTTAGGATAGGGCTCTATGTATCGTATAGTGAAAATACATTAATTCTTTTAAAATTCTTTTTTAAAATCTTCTCTGTTCCTGGATATTCAGCAGATAAATTAACTGCATACTTCATTTGGGGGGGGGGTATATTGGAATCAGCATGTCCGTCTGTCTGTAGACATGAATTTGTCAGGACCTGTTCGCAGAGACTATTGAATGGATTTGTCTAATAATTTGTACACTCATTATTCACCGTAAGAAAGTGTGCACCTGATATTTTCATAATGAATGGATAACTTTTCTGCATTTTACAGGTGTTTTTTCATTTTTATTGACTTACTCATTTTGGGTTCATGTAGGTTTGAGGCATAGAATCTTGAACTTCCAGTTGGTACATCTGTACAAAAATGTGAATTGCAGCTTAAAACCACTCATTTAAACTAAAAAAAAAATCATTAAGTATTAAAAAATATAGGCAGATTCTCCATACAAATCTAAAAGCCATGCAGTAACCTTATTAAAAATTGTTGCATAAGATTACAAAGTTCTTTTTTTCATTATATAAATCTTTGTAACAAGATAAAAAAAACCCTTATTTTCAACAGAATGACATAAATATGCATTTTCTATTGTTCTATTGTACTAGACTCACAGTGCATTACACAGCAGTTTTGTGTAAATCCATTAATGAATGGACATGCATCCAGTTAGAGATTAATAAATGAGTTCAATGTGGGAAGCTGTTGGAGCATCTCTGATCTAGGTGTTATCTATATCTCCTGGGAATTGGGCGGAAGAATTAATGATCTGTGTTCTCTAACCCTCTTAATTGCAATTTATAGTCTGTCAAATTAAAATACATAGTTACTGGATGATCAGCCTTTTATTTTTAAAATGATTATCAAAATTAATTTGATGTATAATATATTTTTTTTCTTCCAACAAACAAATTGCAGAGTGTCTTGTCTCACAAAGTTTATCTGGAAAGGTCTTGTCACTGGTAATGTACATGTGAAATATGAAAGTGATGTCACCACTTGTCCCTTCTCATTTACAAGTTATAACCAAGGTAAATCTTTTGAAAAGTATGTCAAACTTCAAGTTCAAGGACACGGGTTCAAAAATAGTATATTTGGAAAGGTCTTGTCACAGATAATGTACATAAGAAATGTGAAAGTCCTATTTCTTCTCATTCAAAAGTTTTGAAGAAGGTTAACGTTTTTGTGACAGACTGACAGACAAATGAAATTTAATGTCCCCTCTCTTTTGCAAAAACGGGGGGAGGGGATAAACGGACAAGGTTTTACCGTCACCAGAAAGGTATCTTGAGCACTATGATAAAAGTTTGTATTTTCGCAGTGCAGTCTCTCCGTACCTTAGCACTTCCGACCTACTTAAATAAAATTAATAATTTGTAATCTTTAGGAAATCAGATAGAACGTATGTCCAACGTTTTTGACGAACCAAGTCTGTTTCAATACCAATATATAAATGTACAAGGAATATCGTACATTTTTGACGTCTTCGGTTTTAAATCGGACATTAATGTGTTTCATGCATGAAAAAGTATCTTTGTATATCTTTATATAATTCTATTTTTTAAACATGATATTATCGTATTACATTGTCAGGAATACCTGATATCGTTTTACAATTTAATGATGACAAAACATATATAATACTAGTAGATATATTTTAAATAAGTGTATCTTTGAAAGCACATATCAGAATCATGGTTTCATTTAGAAGTGTTTACGTTCTGAGCTGCTTCATCGTCTGTTTTCCAGCAGCTTTATGTGTTGAACCTCATTCCCATATAAAAGGTAACTTTTTTTTAAATTTAAATTTGAATTTGATTATGTATAGATTTATATACTTAACGAATTTGCAAATCATGAAAAAAGTGTAAAGTTTAATTATGTAAATGCGATACCAATTCAATATGCATTGTATCGAAAATGTTGTAGGAAATGTTCAGTCCCTACTGAAGTTAACTCCCTGGAACTGGAAGCACATGAATACATCAGTCAAAGTGGACACTCCAGTCTCCGTGGACATTTCTCTCTTGTCCCACTACAGGCTTACTGGAAAACACTTCAATAAGTATCAGAGTCGGTACACAAAGACATAGTTCTAAGGGAACCGACTGTTTTTTTGTGTGAAAACTACAATAGGAAAATTATTTAGTAACTTACATTGACTTCAGTGTACATGCTAAGTTTAGGGGGAAATCTATAGAAATCTATCGTCTGGGTCTTTTTAGGGACCATCTCAGAATACTGGTACTTTTATTATATGTGCTAACTTTTCGCACTTCAAAGCAAATTTTACAATACTAAAATAGACATTTTTGCTCAAATTATAATATATGATGATTAATACTATATTGTACATTATATGTAGAAACACCGAATTCTATCGTTTTTTTTTTTTTACAGACATACAAAGAGCAAGGGATTGTTCAGCTATTCTAAAATCCATTCCTCATACAAAAGGTAGAAATGGCGTCTATATTATCTACCCTGACCAGAGGACACAGAAAATGGCGTACTGTGACATGACTACAGACGGAGGGGGTTGGACAGTAAGAATATTCTAGACTGTTCTATTGTGTTTTGCGAGACAAAATAATCATCACTTTAATAACATAATATAATGCACACTCTTTTTTCATCACACCTTTTATGCTTACTAAAGGATTCTCATTTCCTTGTCACTTTTACATGAATAAAAACATTTTTTATGTACTGTTTACGGGGAAATTTTCGCCCCCGTTTTAATTTAGCCTCTTCTGCTCTCGTCGCAATTGGGTGAATTTAATGTAAACACTGTTATCTCTAGGGCAGAACTACTAGTATATCTCTGTGAATTTAAAAAAAAAAACGAGAAAAAATGTTTGAAAATGTGAAAGGGCGAAAATAACACGGGGCGAAAATAATCATGCCCATACATTATTAAAAAAATATTCTTGCAAAAGATGCTGGAATTGACGAAATATTCCTTAACTTGAAAGGTGATGCTGTTTTCGTAAAATCAAGAACGTGCTTTGGGGCGTAAATGAAACCTCTTTTTCTTATAATAGGTAATTCAAAGGAGAATTGACGGGTCTGTAGATTTTTATAGATCTTGGAAGTCCTATAAAGAGGGATTTGGCAAAGCTGAGGGAGAATACTGGTTAGGTAAGGTATTATCATTTTTAAAATTCTTCACAAATTGTAGATAACCAAGACGAAATTTTCTGGGGGTTTACCTTGAGGGTATCTGCATATCTCTCGTCCAAGAAATCCTTAGTATCAAAAAATAACACCTTTCTCGATTTTAGTTTAAAAACTGATAAAAGATAAACACTTCATTTTACTAGGTAGTTAAATCAATTTAAAACAAGATGCCCATGGGTCACAGTGCTCACCTGAGTAAATACGACTCTTCTCTTCTTTATCAGATTTTCTCTCAATACATTTCTATATAAAATTAAGATTATATATGGTGGCCCCATCATACCCCTAGCCCCATCCTACCCCAGGAGTCATGATTTGAACAAACTTGACTCTGAGAATGCTTCCATAAATATATGAATAATCATGGCTTTATTGTTCTGAAGAAGGCGAGTTTAAAATATTTGTCCCGTGTATTCCTACAAAAAATTTTGATTGCCCATAGTGGCCCCACCTTACTCCCGGGGGTCATTATTTGGACAAACTTGAATTTACACTCCATGAGGAAGCTTCCATCTAAATATGACTTTGCTGTTCTTGGGAATAAGAATTCTAAAGATTTTCATATTTATTATTATGTAAAACTTTGATCGTCCATAGTGGCCCCATCCTACCCCCAGGAGTCATGATTTGAATAAATCTGAATCTACACTTATCTGAGGATGCTTCCATATAAATATGACCAATCATGACCTTGCTGTTCTTCATCAGAAGATTTTTGAAGATTATTTCTATGTATTCCTATAAAAATTTGACCGCCCATAATGGCCCCACCCTACCCCAGGGGGTCATCATTTGGACAAAATTGAATATACACTCCATGAGGATGCTTCCCTATAAATATGACTAATAATGACTTTGTTGTTCTTTAATAGAATTTTAAAGATTTTCCCTAAGTATTCCTTTAAAACTTTGATCGCCCAAACTGGCCCCACCCAACCCCTGGTGGTCATGATTAAAAAAAAAATTGAATCTACACTACCATAGAAAGCTTTCAGGTCAGTTTTATCTTTTCTGCCCCAGTGGTTCTTGAGAAGATTTTTAAACTACTCCATCCAATTTTCACTATTTCTTAATTTAGATTATCTCCCCTTGGATGAGGGTGTGGTCCTTCATTTGAATAAATTTAAATCCCCTTTACCAAAGAGTACTTTGTTCCAAGTTTGGTTGAAATTTGCCCAGTGGTTCTGGATGAAAAAGATGAAATTGTGAAAAGTTTACAACGACGACGACAGACAACGGACAAGTTTCAATCAGAAAAACTCATCTGGGCTTTCGGCCCAGGTGAGCTAAATACATTATTTAACCGTTTAGAAAAGGTAAAATGATTTTTTTTTCAGGTAATGAAGTAATTCATTCACTTACCACAAGAGCAAAACAAGAATTGAGGGTTGACCTTCAGAACTTTTCAGACAAAAAAGCATTTGCCAAATTTTCAACATTTTCCCTCGGAAGCGAGTCCCAGAAATACAAACTGAAGGTTGATGGATACAGCGGAACTGCGGGTATATATGGCAGTCTCTCTTAAGTTTCCAATAAACTTAACGCACAAAGACATGACGTGTATTAATACCGATAATAATTCGTGACAAATACTAGCAAAAATTCAGTAGTGAAGTTGTCGAGAGCCTATCATTACATTAATTTTGTAAGACTATATCTATCGTACATGTACCTATAAAATTAATAAATCATGATGTAAATGTGAAAATGCTTGTATTTAAGGAAAAAGCTTAGAATATCACAATGGGAGAGGGTTTTCCACGAAAGACCAGGACAATGACTCAAGTAGTGGTTCATGTGCTGTCTCGAAAAAACCGGCGTGGTGGTTTGGAGACTGTGGTTACTCTGACCTAAACGGACAGTATCACAAGTCCGCTGTCAAAACGTGGGCCTGTGTTCTGTGGTATCACTTTGGTAGTGAACAACGTTCTATGAAGTATGCAAGAATGATGATCAGACCCAAAAGTTAATGTCAATAGAATGAATTAATATAAATGAAAAACTTCTGTGTTTTATTGAGATCTCATTATCTTCTGATATTGGCTGTTGAAAGTCTTAACAGAGAAAATAACAACCTATTAGATGAGCAAGAGTCTCTGTGTTAGCAGATAATATCAAATTATATTTATGAGTACACTCACTATAATTCACTATATATGAAACTACATGTAAACATAAGCACAGCCTTAATCCAAAAAATAAAAATAAAGGCAGTCGTGAATGGTCGAGATCAAGATTATTCAAGAAATATACTAATTTTACGTTTGATTGATATTGATAAACATTTTAAACTTCCTTTAAAACAAAATTTAATGTTAACCATAATTATTTATATTTATTAAGATAATTTGGATGTTATCTTTTCTTTTCACCCTTGACTAAATTAACACCGGCATTAAGATCCTAAACCTACCACTTAAGGATATCCGATCCTCAGCTATGAACGATAACTCCTAAAATTATCATTGTATTTAAAAAGTCTCTAAATGAAGCTTGAAATTGAAATCTTTTTATTCAACAATTTTCATTTTATCAATCTCAATATGATTCAAGGTTCTTTAAAGTCTTAGAAACGGCCTTGTACAAAATTTACATTTGTTCCCCATAAAGGTACAAAAAATAAATACATTTTTAGATAAATTGAATTTCCTTTAATCTTGCCTTAGAAACCAGTGCTGATTAGCATGATATGAAAATAGGAGTGATCTGTGATGTCTTGCAATGAAAGCACAAGCTTTTTACAAGTTATTATTATAGAGCAATCAAAGTAAATAGAACGAAAATACCGTACAAGTATGAAAACATTCTCCAAAAGCCTGGACTATAGTTTATTATCCTAGATATATTTGTTGATCAATTTTCAATTAGAAAATGCATAACTGGTGCCTTTATTCGCTGAAAATATATTTGAGATTTGATAATTTTCCCTATATAACATTAACTATAATGATGAACATTTAAGAAATACTATGGATAAATACATATTACTTTGTGAACTCAGAGACATTTTGTGAATATTTTCAAGTACTAATTAAACTGCTGATTTCCAGAACCTGAGGATGGGACTACCTTAATATTTGAAATTGTTATCCCGCGAAAACCATTCCGGACAGAGGCGAAGCCGAGGTCAGCAATGGTTTTCAAGGGATAACAATTTCACATGTTACTCTAAATAAACATGTAAATAATTTTTTTTTGTTATACTGAATGTGTTTCGAATTTATTTAAAAGAAAACGACACAGTGAACCGCAAGCGCAGAAATTCTGCGCAGTTAAACAATTTTTAACAAATGTTTTTGAATCAATCAAAATTGACAATTTAATGTAAAAGTATAACAATCCCTCTTTAACCCCCACTTCTTTCTGAGAACTTTATTTTTCAAAATCTTAACGATAAACAAGTATAAGAACAATTTTGGACCCATCCAAACAAAGTCTTATACATGTATATCCTAAATTGATAGGACATACCATATCCCTCGGTACTTTTCATTTGATTTGATTGACAACGTATGAAAAGAAAAACCCGAATCTCCCTATCCTGCTTTTGACAGTAAAATGATTGCCTTCCGGCAGACAAGCCCAGTAAATCAGAGACAGGCTTCTATTGTTGACAATTTAATTATGTAACAAAATATTTTAATGAATTATTCAATCTCCGGACTATCTTCTTGGTCTTCCACATCGTCAACAGCGCTTCTGAGATTTTCAACCGAGTCTGCGGGAATATTCTCACTCTCACTCTCAGTAACATCGTCAAAGACATCGGGTTCGGTAACGTGGACACTCTCTGATGATGATGATGGATTGGTCTTTCCTACATACTCTTGTGGGAAGAGGTTACCTGCCGGAGGTTCCACGTGATAAAACAGCCTTTGAAAGGCATTCAAGAATGGTGGACCATCACAAAGAAGAACAGCTGCTAGCATTCCAATGTTCACGGAAATTGCGTATGTCTGAAAATATCAAGAAAGTAAATCTTACATACTCATTAAGATTAATTCCTTTGCAGGAAAAAGTATGATTCGTCATTATTCTGAATGTAAGCTAGGCAACTTTGAAGAATGCTTTTAATAATCGCATACTATAGCTAACTAAATCAACAAGGCAGGCCCGTAGCAGCGGTTTCAAAAGTGGGGGGGGGGGGCAACTCCCCCCTCCCAAAAAAACACCTAAACTGACCAAAAGTGGGGGCCAACTTCCCAAAATTATCTGACCCTAATTTACTGTCCAAATCCTGGAATTTGCCAGTGCTTGACCTTACATCAAAAAGTGGGGGAGGGGGGGCATGCATTTTCTAAGGGAAAATTTACTATAGCAAAATACTACGCCAGATACTACACTACTGCAATCAGAAAAAAAGTGGGGAAGGGGCGGCCATCCCCCTGCCCCCCCCCCCTCGCGTTCTACGGGCCTGCAAGGCAACGGATACCTCGTATGATCTGTATCCAAACATCCTTGTCAGCAAGACAGCGGTCCATCCTGCCAGCAGCGGTCCCAGAATAAAGACTAACCCTGTAACCACTTCACGAAGGGTCGTTAACTCAGCACGAATCATTTGTACCTGCAAAAAACATAATCTACTTTAATGTAATGTAGGTCTAGTTATACATAAAAAGTATCATTCAAAAGTTTTCATTAATGAATGTATAACTTGACCCACGAAAAAGTGCTTCAAATGTGTGACAACAGAAATCGGGAAAGAAAAATTGAGTATATAAGAAACATGTGCATCACTTCTCATTAAGGTATTCCATCCCTAATATGACATAATTCCCTTTATACTAGTATAATTAAATATCAATCTGATATATTACAGATATAAAATACTCTTGTATTCCTCAAAGGCATTTAAGTGTAGGGAAGGATTTACCGAGAGAAATTTTTGAAAAATGTAAGTTCTTGAGCAGTAATTAATCAACGAAGATTGTATTGAATGTCTTTGAAGTTGTTATGAAATTTTAAGTACTATGAATAAAACAAATGTGGTGGCGGAAACATCCATTTTATCAATAGGAATAACATTTCAGTTGAAAAAGATTTTTAACTGGATACTAGACTTTTTTCATTGATTTTTTTATTAATTAGAAACAAATGGAAATACGTCTAACTCTTCAGAGACAGATCAAGTCATAAATTAGGACACAATCAATCGTTTATTATAAATTTATATACAAATCATTATAAATCGATTTTAATTAATTGTCTAAATAGAGTAATAAAAAAGTGCATATCTGTTTTGCATTCAAATTGATTGATTCTAGGGCTTAATTTCTAATTCTAAAATTTATACCTGGTTCTGCAAGTCCCGTTGACTTGTTTCATAGTGTTGTTGTAGCTGCTCTCCATGATCGATTACCAAATAGTCTAAATTAATTTTAGAGTAAAATGATAAATCAATATCTGTTCAGATGATAAAAATGATTATAGTATACATTTGGTTAATGACAGAAATATCAGTTTCAATTATAAGTTAAAACGATGTGAATGGGAGAGATACAATATTGAATATTTCCAATTAAAATGACAAATTTTACCTTTTCCATAATTTGTCAATGAGGTATTGGTTGATACTTCATTAGGCTTAATGTCACAATTGTTTGAATAAATCGTCTCCTCGTAATTTTTGTCACTTGCGTTTCCTTCCATATTTCGACGTTTGTTCAAATAGAATAAAGTATTTGTGACGTTGCGTAAATGACGTCAGACAGAGGGAAACTGGACGACAATTTTACGCTTTCATCAAAATAAATATGTATTTTTTTTTTGTATTAAACTATTCACTTAACATGTATAATGACTAATTGCAACATTTATCCATTTTTGTTCTTAGACTTTTTTTTCAAGATTTTTATCTCGGAAACAGGTCAACAAATTCCAAGCAATTTCAGTGTACAGCATATTAATTTGGGTAAGAGGGACAAAAACTGAATTTCCTGGTCCCTGTCCTCCTGGGGCCTGAGAATTGGGACTAAAAAATCTCCAATTTTAGGACTTTTTTCAACATTTAATCTTCTCTAAACAGGTCAACCACAATTTTAGTGTAAAGCATATTTAGGTAAGGGGGACAAAAACTAATATTCCTGGGGCCTCAGAATTGGGACCAAAATATATTTCTGCACTTTTAAATTTATTTTTTCTACTCTTACGATGGCAGTAAGTTGAGAATACATCCGTTTTATCATTATAGACATTCTTTACTTCTGGGTGTCTAGCAAATAAAATGTATTTGCGATGACAGTAAACAAAGTTATTGCTTTTGCATATCACAAAAATGATACAAGTTCATTGGAAAAATTTTAAATCTGTCAAAAAGAGGTGATTATTGTTGGAGTTATAAATTTTGATGTAATGTCAGGGAAAAAACTTAAACTTTCTTTCTAACCCAAGCTAGAAAATTTTGCTTAGATCATAAAGTTTTAGTAGAAGAACTTTGGGACCTTGTATTTGACACACACGTGTGTCTTATTTCCTAAAATGTTGATATACTCTTGATACTCAGGTGAGCGTCAATGCCCAGGTGCCTTTTGTTATTAACTGGTGTTTAAATATATTATATAATGTTAATCCTAGATGCGTGTCGACCCTTAACACATTTAAACTTTAAAATTATGGCTATCTAGAAAAGTTTGTAGTTTTATTTTCTATTAAGCTATCAAGGGGAACTCTTTGGAATTCTTCTTATTAAATGTCCCATGTGTAAGATCAAACAATATATTTGTCAGACCGAAGGGCAAAGACGTTTATGTTTTAACTTGACTTGGATTTGAAGTGTTTTTCTCTGAAGGGTTTAACCATAAAAATCGACGCTTCGATCAGTTGCTCCTTGTTTAAATAAAAGATAAGTCGTATAGTTCGATTTCCATGCATTTTTTTCTGTTATGCCTTGTGAAATGGCAGGAAAAGTAATTAAGGTGGAGGTTGAAGGTAAGATTTTCCTTGCTTAGTAAATTCTTTCAGTAAATGCATTTATTTTTGAAAGAAACACTTTCTGCGATGGATCCCGTAATATTAAATTCATTAAGTTACAAAAACTTACTTAAATTCTTTGAACTAGATGAAAATTGAATTTTTACGCAATGACAAGATTTATCAAAGCCCTAAATGTTGTTAGCACATTCTATTTAACAATGTTAATTTTCGAAAATGTTTAAAAAACCCTTGTTTGAAATTCTGGACATTATTTAAATTACTGTTTAGAGGGTAAGGTTTTCTTTAATGATTTAAACAGTAGAGTAATTAAACATTTTCAGTGATTTTTCTTTACCAAAAGCCCAAACTTTGCAGAAAGTAACTTCTTGACTGAAATAAAAGTTAGAGTTATACACATGCTTATCTGGGTTTATGTGGATTATGCCAGGATTAACACCAAACCCTCGATATTTTTAACTATTCACCATACCTTTCATTAAATGCACTATTATTAAGCCCCTGCCTCGGAATGTAAGCTCCAATAATAGATTCGATGATTATGCCGGAATGATACCTAAAATCCAATAATATTTTTACTACTAGGTTATTGTGAATTTTGAATTCATTAATAATTTGATGTTCGACAAGATATTTAAATTCTGAGCTCTTTTTGTGCGGAGCTCTCATTAGAAATATAGATATTATCCGTGTGGGTTGAAATGAATTCTTCGGAGAGATATATATCTGTCTTTTCTATCGATTTAATGAGAAGAAATTTGCATTTTGTTAAAAGACTTAATAATAAAAACCGAGAAATTTTCATCATGGGAATAAAAACGGACGACTATCATTTTTCTAAATCCAGAGGAAAGTCATTTCAGTGACGCTCATTTATACGCCACATTCGATATGGTAATAATAGGCCTACATGATGAATTCATTCTAGCCAGAATATGAAATGACTATATTATATGAAATTCTATGTATTTTTAATCCATGGAAATTGTCAATAAATTATTTAATGCTATGATCTGCCAGAAAGATACAAAAACAATTTTCAACGTGAATACATGTTCGTCAACAAAACAGTAATATTTCAAAATATGTTTTTATTTCAAACATTATTTAGTCATTCGAAGGGGACGTAGTATCGGATAATTGACAATTCTCGTCATTTTTAGCATTAGCAAGTCATTACATTTTGGTGGTGGATATGGTTTGACATTCACCAGAAAAATATCAGTATTGACCGAGGGGAAGTTAGCTGATGTGTAGAGTTTGATTTCTATTAATAAAATCATAGAAAAAAAAATATTTCAAAAGTTTTTATTTTTTCAATAAGGTTATATTGTCAATACTATTGAAAATGTTAATCTCTTGTCTTGCAGATTTCCGTGACATCTTGCTTCGAGTTTCACCGTACATTGTCCGCCAGTGGAAGGAAGTTTGTCGTGACCTAGGTGTACCGGAAATGGATCTATTTCACCTGGAAAAAGCTAGTTACAGTACAAAACTGTCCAACTTAGCGTACCGTGGTCTTTGTCTTTGGTATGAACGGATTGGCAAGGCTGCAACAAAAGACAAACTAATTTCTGCGCTCAAAAGGAACGGACTGCGCAGAGCCGAAGGTATAACGAGAGAAAAAAATTGTTTTTAAGTTTTATACGAAGGTTGTATACTAGTAAAAACATTTTCAAAGGAAGTACAAAGTACTGATTTAGGAGAAATTCGAAGTATATGTAGTATTATGAAAAAAATAATGATGGTTTTCTGCTTCTTATAAAAATTGTTTTTCTCTCATGTAATTTTTCTGCTTGAATAAATTGATTGTCGACTCCAGGATCGGAGTAAGCTATTTGCATGTGAGAGGTGTTTAGACACGGGGGTACAATTCCTATGATCCCTTGATCTTGACCAGATTGACACAAGTTCGTTCGTTTATTAATTCCATTACTTCCCGAACTGTTGCTCCAGATTGAATTTACTCTTCCAAGGATTAACTCCCTTCCTGTACAAAGCACATCACATTTACTACTCTAAAAACTGAAAGTCTGATGAATTAATTTTAAGTTTAAATCATTTATTTTGAATCACATTAATAAACTCCGGTAAACCAAATCAATTATGTTGAATCAACATTAGTAAATCAATTATCTTGAATCAACATCAATAATCTCCGGAAAATAATTCTTTAGTTAATACTAGTATTTTAACCATTCGTGATCTTTCAAACAATCAATTGCAGAAGAGGTAGAGAGTATTAACCTGAAACAGCTGATTGTCCGACCCTCTTCGTCACTACCTATATCTACCAGAGTCCAGTCTGCCAAAAGGAAGAAATCGACAGGTATATAGAATTTACATTTATATAGCGAATGGATCATTATTCAACTATCCTTTATATAGCGAATGGATCATTATTCAACTATCCTCTACTGCCTAAAGTTGATGTAAATTTTTAAACAGAACTAAAGCCTGGGTTGTCTGAAATGGTATCGCGTAATATTCATAAAAACTGGCTTGACGTTTTTTTAAATTCTAAAGTCATGATGAATGTGAAGAGTTTGTTTTTATTGTAAATCCCGAAATTAGCCATTCTGTCCAGTATTTAACCCCCACAATTCTTTGTTTATGGGGACTTCCAATTTACTAGCAAACCCTCGATGATATGGGCGTTACAGGGTTATACAAATTGTAAATGATTTTAACATTTCAGAAAACTTTCCTTCCCAACATGATAAGACATTACTTTCATGCTGTCTCCAAACACAGTATAATTCCTCTGTCAAACGTTACAGTATGAGAAGAAATGATCTAAAATCGATACATATTCTATTAGCAGTCTATTCATTTGAGGTTTTAAACAAACTTTGTTGAGAGTTAACGTTAAAATTGACAAACATTAGTCTACTTTTGAAGGGTGATTTAATAAAGAATATTTGACTGACCCCAACCAAAAAAAAAAGACTTAATGCATTAACGGCTAACCGAGTACTTCATTAATCGTAACTTTTCACTGCACAAGGCGAGATATGTCGAATGTAAAATTACCACCCATACAAGAACAAGGTAAGTAATTTATTGGGTTTTTTAAGAACATAAATCAGAGTAGTTTCCTCTCCAAATGCAGTAAAAGGGATATAGATGTTTGCAAATTCTGAAATGGTCACGTATCATTGTATACAGTTGCAAACGTCGTTGCCATGATACCTGGTTTTTCTTTGCAATATACACACATATATTGTATTAAGAAAATCAATCAAATCCTGAATTGTAACTGTTTTGGTAATCCTTTTATCTTCTTAATAATGTCTGTTTCAGGTGCTTGAGTCGTATCTTAAACATGGCCTATATCGTCATTTACACTAAAAAAAAATAAAATAAAATAAAAAAAAAAAAACGCGCACAAAAGGTTCCTGAAATGTTTAATATGCACATATCATGCATATTGAAACGTTCTCTGCCCCTGGATTACATTGAATTTCATTTAATAAAACAAATTAAATTGCTCTAAAAATTTGCGCAATGTACACTTAATATTTAAATTTAAGGTGCACCGCCCTCTTTGCAAAGATTGAGAAGCGGAAGCGCCAAATCTGCCAGGATAAGAGCGGCAAAACAGAAGTACAAGAAGGAAGATAAATCATGTATGTTATTTTTAAAACGTTATTCTGAGATGGAAATATATATTGGTGTCGAAGTACCAAAGCACATGGGCGATTTTTTTCTTTGATATTTCAATTAACATTGATGTATGCTTGCTATAAAATAGTATGCTACAATCCATGAAAGAGCATGCACAACAAAAAAGGAAAAAATTGACCATTTTCATGTGATATTATATTTTCCGCATAATAGTCTGTCTTCACTCCAAGTTATTGAAATATATCTTCAAAGAATTAATCTTATGTATAATTTTCAGTTAACAAAAATCCTGAAGCCAAAAATATCATATTTCATATTACAACTCACCTGTTTTTATAGGTAACCTTTCACTGCGAATAAGAGTGGCTCAAATTGCCGCTCAGGAAGAAATAAATGGATATTGGCGGGAAAAATGTCGCGATTTATGCGAATCATTTTACTCGTTGGTTTTAGATAATTGTGAGGATTATATTCTTGGACTAGAGAAAACAATTGATATGACTGAGGTTGTTGTCAATGACGTCAGAAAAGACAGTGTGATTTTTGCAAGTGTTCAGTTTGGAACTCTCGGAGCTCTCGAGTCGATCAACCAAATGTACAAATCTAAGAGACTGAATTCGATCTGCCAGGCAGTGTTTGTAAATGAACAAACTTTAAAATATCTGGGAGTAAAAAGTTTAACGTTAGATGTAAGCATTGATTCGAATGAAATTGAGGAATGCAGAGACTGCCTTTTGTCCAGGAAGTTTAGAGAAAGCACCGTGTTTCATCCCACAGATACACTGACTGATCCAAATACTGAAGAACCGAATGTAGACAGAATACCGGAACTCAAAGGTATGTATCTTTTGACACTATTTCTTTACAAAATGCAATATTTCATTAACATTATTTGGATTAAATTGAAAGATATTCAACTTCATTCTATATAGGGAAGAAAAAAAGGAGCAATATTGACTTGTCAGAATGCAAAAAGCGGTTCACGACCAAACTCGAAAAATTAAAGCATCGATACGCTGTGTTTGATGAACATATAAATGAGTTCTTGAGAACACTCCAAATTGTGCTTCCAAAAGGCGAGGAAAGTATTTCAAACCTTGCGGGTGTTATTCGTCTTCTTTCCTACTTGCTCTCGACCGAGGGTGTGGGATCTGGAGTTCGAACGGATCTCCTTCGAGAATATCTTGCCATTGTAAACAACATCCGGTTATTTGTGGAGAACTTCCGGGGGGAATGTGATGAATTGCTAAGCGACAGTGAAACAGAAGATATGGATTCTGATTACGGTGGTAAAATTGTGAAATGTTTGCTAGACAATGTAGAAGACATGCTCCAGATTGATCATTTATTTGAGGAAGACACTAGTGTGTTAGACCGGAAGTTAAATACATATGAGCAGACATTTTGTGGAATGTTGTGTTATATTCCACTCTTATTTGAGAAGTTATCAACAGTTCTTCACACTTTACCAACAAACGCAACATCAAATGCATAATCATTTGTAAATTAATGAAAAAAGACGCCAATAAAGCTTTTTTTTTTACCAAAAATGGTGCGATAAAAAACTATAAAGCACACAGAGCTTGAATATTCGGTTATGAAAAATAGTTTCATTTTTAAAATTTTAAGGTGAATTTGAAAATCTTCTATTTAGAGCGTGAGACACGGTAGCCTTTTTTGGGCTTTTGGTATCGCATGCAGCCACTGAACTCGTGGGTGTCATCATCATACTTGCCGAGTTCTTTAGTTTGTTTTTCATAAATACATCTAGGCCTACACTTTGAGTAACGATGACACGTTTACTTAGTCTCATATTATTCCTATTTTAAATCCCTTACTGGTTCTGCCGCCCATATATCTAACTGAACCGATTTCACAGACACGATAGTCTTGTTTAATTTAGATGCATACTAGGAGACAAAACCCTTATTTACTACATGTAACACGCAAGAAAATGGTTGCTGATATTCATAGATCATATACAGAATAAGGCACGAAAACTTCATTAGAACAATTTATTTTACAATTATATACATATTAACATTATCATAATCTACAAGTATTATCATTTAATATCACTTATAAAAATACACTGTACAAAGAGCTTATTCAGAGATAGATTTACATACATTAAATGGTACGTAACATTTATATGTACATGCAGATCTTTTTAGCTGCAAAACCAGTATACATGTATCTACATTGTCACAGTTTAAGTTCATGTCTTTATATCATGGCTTTTAATATTAAAAAAAATCACAAAAATAGTCAAATGTAAAATCACAGCCAATTTTCAAAAATAGGAAAATAGTTTAGTTTTTTAACATAATCTTTGAAATTTCAATGAAATACTGAAGACATACACGTAGACATCAAAACAGGCAAGCAAAATAAAAAAGAGTTATAAAAATATAAACAAAGTATATTTGTATAAAAGCAAAAAAAATTGCTTTAGAAAAAGTAGAAAATATAGCATGTAAATACGCTTTTAGTATCAGGTCATGTATAAGCCTACAAGATTATTCTACTTAAACAATAATAAGTCTGGAAATACCCTACCAAGAGATGGAATTAAAAACAATATCACGTTAATGAACGATATGAAAAGTACGCCGGTAATATTCCTTTTAACTACAAATTAAGATTAAATACTAAGCTAAGTACAATGAAGGAAAAAAACGAGAATTTCGTTACAAAAGTTAAAAAGTAAAAAAAAGAAAGTTGATACTGAAATCAGGTAAAATTGTTTTATTTTAGTTATTAACCTAGAATAAGTCTAATGCCACTCTGTTTTCCATTAAGTACACTATAATATTTTTCTGAGTTCTAAATTTAAATTTTTAAAAAATATTTAACCAATCTGAACGTTAATAACTCCCAGAGCATTTAAAGCCGAAAATAAAATATAGAAAACCCATAACGACACCATGATTAATGCACTCAAGATCTTCATCCCTTTCGGTCCTCCTAGTTCTGCTTGTCCGAAAGGCTTGAGGAATCTCCGAGCTAACAGCAAAATAACGGCAACTATAGCACAAGCTGTGTAGAGAATAACGGAAAATCCAAGAGATCCTGGTGGGACTTTGAATACTGTCCCCTGGAAAAAAATTCAAAGAACTATGTCAGACATAAGAACAATTTGATTTCATTTCCGTCTGTAAAGATATTTTTATAGTGTATATACCCTATCAATATCCGCGCTTCGCTTATTCTTCTCAATGTGAAAATCGTCTTACAAGCAGTATTTGTAATCGTAGTGTTTAAAACGTTTTGTAAAAACTTTTTTTATGTTCCTTATGCCTCTGTTATCCAAATGTTATAATTAGAATGCATGCAATTTCAGCAAAACTTGTTTGCCAAAATTAGACAAAAAATTTCCTTTATTTTGAAAATTTTATATAAAATGAATAATACTTATTATTCCCAGTGAGAGTTATTTTTCTTATCAATTGGTCAACAAACCTTAAATGACCTATCCTTTAACTTACTTGTGACATGTGGTAAATTGTGGCCATCAACCAGGGTAAACCCAGACCCAGAAAAACGTTAACAGAGTTACTTCCGTTGATATTTCCCACTGAGCTGTCGGCTGTCTTCTCCCCTACGGCAGCTTGTTTACTGGCAAAGGTATCTGGCATACTGGTTCCCAAGGCAACAAAAGTAATGGCAGTGATGCTGTCTTTTAAGTTTACGAGACATCCAAACAAACTCGCGAGATCTCCAATAATAGCGGTCATTATACCAATAACGGAAAGAGAACAGATAAAGGCAGGCCATCCGCCGAGATACTTTGGGGGTGGCACCAACGCAAAAAGGATCTGTAATGGAAAAAAGGGAAAGTGATCGCAATTAATTCCTTTTTGTTCTACGACTCGTTTTTTTGTAATTTTCTAAAAGGGAATTTAATTGTTAAATTTCAAGATATGATATTTCGTTAATGAACTTACTTTCCAGAAAAAAGTTAGGAAATGCAGTAAATAGTCGATGAAGGTAGCATTCTCTATGTCCCCGCCATTGACGTTCATGGCGTTTTTCATTTGAGTTACCCAAGTAGAATCCTCCAGCTGAAGAGCGTCCATATTAGCTTTTGTCAAGTTGACTATCCTACTCACCAAACCGTTAAATTCTGCAAACATCAATGATAAGTTAATAACACATGAGGATAATTTAGACTTATTTTTCAAAGCCTCGTTCGGATACTGTAACTTAAAGAATTATGGATAGGAACTGACAAACCTTCATCATTGACGATAGTAATTATTGTTTTCCTTATTTTAGCAAGCTCTGCTCCACCATCGCATTCTCCGAGTTCCACTTGAAAACTTTCGTCCCTTTCTGGTTTCTGTAAGGGCAATTTCATTGAAAGACAAGAATCAACTTAAATATAAACCACAGAGCATTTTCTGGCATGCATTAGAAGAACACAATAGCTTCATCAAAGTTTTAATTTACCATGCTGTCATATATCTCTATATCGATTGTACGACAAGTCTCTCCATGATCAAACTTCAGCACCCCCTCTCCACCTGCATAGTCTTTTCCACTGATGGCAGTGATATCACGTGTTTTCCAGGCAACAGACACGTGACCATCGGCGCCATTAATACGATTGACTGGAATTCGAACACGTCTGCTGCTCTCCTTTGCAATGATGCTGGGTTTGGCAAATTCCAGCTTTCCAGGTTCTAAAATCACACATAAACGCATGTTTATGTTTTTTTTTCTTTTCTGTATTATTTCATTTTCATTAAAAATAATGCTATAACTAAACTTTTGTAGCTTTCATTATACTGCTATGCAATAATTTAAGCTTGGTTACTTCACTGTTTAAAATAAAAATATTTCTGGGGAATCCAATTAATTTTTTTAAAACTTGTTTGTTGACTTTTGTGTATCATGGACATACCGTCATCATTGATGATAGTAACTTGTGTGATGGAGATATTGCCGAGGACGATGTCTTCATTTTCTTCTGCCTCAGGAAGGGACAGTTTGACAAAGAAAAACTCGTCTGGTTCCCACTCGTTATCATCAATGATTTCAACATACAGCTGACGGAGAGCCTCGTTGTTGGCAAAATGGACATCCTCCTCTAGGTGAATGTAGTCCTCTGGTGCTGTGGCCGTACCATTTATAGTCTCCACACTGTAGAGAAAGATCAAGAACCGATAAAGATGAGATGACGATTTTGAGGATGGACGCATTTCTTTTCAGCATATCAACACCCATATATGTATACATGTTGTTTAAACTGAACATGCTTTTTGGGCTTTAGATTCTTTATTAGAATCTTAATGAATGTGGGTTATTAACAACCAGCTTGATCGCAAATATTTTTTTGGCAATAAGTCATATATTTCAGTCTTTGTAGGCAAAATTTTGAGGGGCACGACTTACCGGACTGTGGCAGGGGTGTCCATTTTGCCATATCTTCTTATGCCAATGCGAACTTTCTTTTCGCTCTCCAAGACTGACACGGTGGCCGCAGTGAACTCGACCACGGCCTTCGTTCCTCCTGCTGTGTGATCTTTAGTCATCACTGCCATTTTACTATCGGCTTTTTCTTCCTCGGGTAACTGCGTGTGATCGTACAGCTGAAAACGTACGTAATGCGATTTACCAGAATATGATATGCAAATGAGCAGGACAAACAATTGGAAATTTTATTTTTAGCATTAGAGAATAATATAACACAATAGTGCTCAACATAGTGGTCATCGCATCAAAGATAAGAAAAATCAGTTTTATCAAAGGAGATAACTAGTCTTTAAACAATATATACTTTTCAGTCTTTTTTTAAACATCTAAAATTGTTGCATATATGATGGTGCAGGAATTAAGAGAAAGTGAAACTATGAATAAAACAAATCGGAGGATATATATTTTAACAAAAATAAAACATTAAAAATCATTCTATTTCTATGAAAAAGAATATTTCATGCAACCAAATGCTTGTGTATCACCATCCATGTATACACGAAAATGGGAAAAAGTTCTAGACATTTACATGCCTCTGTGAAAACAGAGGTTGACTAGAGGTCGCTATTTCCAAAAGTTCATAGATAAAAGCTTTACTACAGACTCATTGGCAATTGAAAATTGTTAATTAGTTAAAGACAGGAGTGTCTTTCACTAATCAACAATTTTCGATTGCCAATAAGTACATGACTAAGAATAATTAGTCATGTACTCATTGGCAATTGAAAATTGTTTTAATTAGTGAAAGACAGGAGTAATAAAATTGACTGAAAAACAAAACTTTTTAGTCTGCAACTTTGAACAAAAATGGTGATAATCAGAGGAAATACGAAGATTTTAGAAAGATAGTAAAAATGCATTTCTCGTACCTTCTATACAGGGAATGAAGGAAAATGAATGGAAAATCATGATACGTATTTAATTCATTTGATTGCAGTACCCAGTAATAATCACAACAAATAAATCTATGCATACATTGAAAGCCTTAGACAATGTATATATGAGGTATATATTAACTTTAATATTCGAACATTTAATTTGCTGTAAGTAATAAATGAGTATTTTTTTGGTTCCAGTACTAATTTCTGTCACAATATGAAAGCTATAAATGCAATTCCTGACATTAAATTAAGATTTCTCAAATCAACTTTCATCCTTATCATATAAGAAACTGGAGTCATAAAAAATGAAAAAAAAAAAGTTTATGACAAACTCGTCATCTTACATCTTTGAATGCTGAGAAGACCTGAGGCACTAGCTTCTTGCCACCTGACATGTTTCTGGTGGCGTTGATTCGGTACCACATCCGGCTGTGGTGCTCTTTTTCAGTCAGCTTGGCTGCCACAATTTTGGCGGCCTCCTCTGGTGGTATGCCCTGGTCCAGAGACTCGTGGCCGAGTTCCTGCAATATTCATTGTAGATTCTTTTTTAAAATGCAAATTGTAGTTTTAAAACACATAGAATAGTTCGTGCAAGTGTATTATGAAAGGTTTACTGTGGTAAAGCAACAGGGGAAACAAAGTTGCAGCATCTTAAGGCGGTTGGGTGATCAACAAATTATCCAACAGTTCCACCTTAAAGATATATAATAAGATTTTTCTATCCTTAAACTATTATTCAGAAAAGAGGGAACCACATGGTCCAACTATAATATTTCATACAATTACCTATATTTATATACAGAGTTCTTCTATTCTATGAGGTTTAAATAGTGTTACAATGGCCATGACCACCGAACCTCTTAAATTCCCTCTTGCGTGCAATTACAAATGAGTTAGAAACATGGATTTGTGTTTCATTTTTCCATGACACTTTTTTACTCCCCGGCAAACATGCAATTGTAATTATTCAGATAAACAATGTATGAAAATTTTAAATCGAAAATACGGACGCTTTGGGGATGTAAAACCGATCTCTTTTCTCATTCTAAATAAAAATACTTTGTTGCATTTTATTGCGTTCGTGCTAATAGGATTAACCAAAACCAATTCTCTTAACATCCCTATGAAATATTGATATCGTTCTTTCCTCTGATGATGACGATAAGGAAACATAATATATCATACAGAATTCTTATGGGAATAGTTTCTACTCTTCATAAGCAAAAATTTACTGTTCCATAATTCTCTGTGTGCATATTCATTTTCATCACTTTATAAATAAATGCATGTTGTTAAGCGTAAAATTTAGTTCCAGTTCGCTAAAGACAGTATGTCTTTGGAAACCCTTTTTTCCCTTAAATAATTGCTATACCGGCAATAAAAAGTGCCCCCTGCCCCTAAAGAAGGAAATGATTTTTATATTTCAAGATTTCTCTAACTAGGCTAACATCTGTACTTATGTTTAATATTGACTGACAGTCACATTCGGCATAACTAATAGCCTTATAGTATTATAAATAACCAATAAGAAATATAATATTATAGAGAGTATCTCGTCAGATTATGCAATTACAAAATGCTGTACACCAACAATAACCGGAGATTCCTTGTTTATTAAAAAAATCCCAAAATCAGATCAACTTTGAAGGAAAGTTATGCATAGCCGATGTAGTTATTTTCAGAAGGTCGATAACGATTGCTATAATTTGAATTAGTGTATTAAAATGGACCATATTGATCAATACAAACGTCATTAATTTGTGTAAAGATTAAAAAAAAAACCTACAACGAATCCAAAAACCTATACTAAACCAATACTTCATTGTCTAGTATAGAGAGATCACACCGCTCTGAGATAGATAGTGTCTCCAACTTCTCTTTGATTTTCTGAAACCGTACTCAGTGATCTATACAACATTCTTAACTGAAACTTAAAAAAAGATGAGAAATGACGTCCCTAGTGACTTAACAGCGAACACTGCCAGAAACATGAGCACTTTAGGGGAATTCCTGAATTGTGATTACTGTCTTAATCAACTCCTACACGTAATAGTGAATCCATCAGTCTAAAGACTTGTTTACCAAAGGCTGCTGACGATAACAATTTATGGCACCGTTTATTTACCTCAACTGTGTCGAGTTCTTAGAAAATTCAAAGATACTCGATCTTTGGACAAAGCCCAATATCGTACAGTGATACTCGAGTTGTTCCAATACACAATACAGTGAACGCCAAATCACTGGGTTGAATATCTTTTTTTTTTCGAAATATTAATACCCTCTGTTTTATAAAACAAGCATTGGGGGGGGGGGGGATTTCATATCAACTACATTTTCTTTTGATTTATTCCTCTCTGAGTATTTGACATTTTGTGAGCATGAACTTCCACTTTCCATGTCGTGAGTAATAACTTTCCAACCTTGAAATAGTAAATGATAGCTCTCCAATACACCAGAGTATATTCTACATTTGATAACGTGTCTGAAATCCTTGATAGATTGACATCTTGGTGGCTACAATTTGTCAACTAGAAAATCAACGCACGGTGATATGCAAACCGAATAGGATACAAAACCCTTTCTGGACAATGGCATCCTACATTTGCATGCTGGGTTAATGAGACAAAAGGTCCTTCAAAAATAAAACCCTTTTTTCGAAAGTTAAAAAAACACACTTTTTCAGGTGAAAAAAGCAAGCCATTGTTACTTATAGGTTTTAGATTTCTGGCTTCAATATGTCTGTGCAAGAACATGTTCCCAATCGCATCTTTTGGGCCTTTCCGAAAAGCTCGGAAAAACACGTTTTTGCGCTTATCGGAAAGGCCCGAGAAGTTGCGATTGATGAGTGTTCCCCGGACACGCATTTACTTTGAATTTGCAAACGTAAACAAAGTTTGGTATGGGCATCGCAGAATTTTCTAAGGCAAGTGTTGATTTTAATAATGTTATGTTTAGAAGCTTCAGAATGCATGTAACTTTTTAAATTTAGACAGCAAACTGTCTATTATTACCTTTGCCAGCTTCAGAAGTTTTTTATTCGATTCACGGTTCTCTTCTTCAGTGACTTCCGGCTTTTTCTCTTCTGGGGAAAAATAAAGTCTTAAATGAATTACTTTTCAAAACAACATCACAAATTTAATTCATGATTTAATTCTAGAATAAAATAAATATCCCAAAGGGAGAACATATGTTATTTTTTTTTTCTTTCATATGTTACGTAGTTTTCCCTTTTATCATTAAATTATTTAATCGTACACTCATCCCATTAACCTATACATGTTCAAAAGCGAACGAAAATAATATTTTGAATTGAACCGAATTACCATGGAAGCAAACAGAAGCATCCTTGATGACATGAGAAATAGGGTTTGGATGTGAATTCATACATTACCTTTAGGTATAATGGCTATGTCTGCGGATTGGGCTGAACCAACATGAAAAGATGAGCATGTTTGTGAGAGCAAAAAAAAAAGGCAGGCAAAATTATCATGTATCTACTGGAGTAAGACTACTAATTTCTCAATTAAAATCAATTTTCCAATGTAGATTTTTTTTAATTGAAAATTGAAATCATTTTGAAATATTATGCTTTATTTAGTAACAATAGGTTCCTTGATAAAAAATATATATATAAAACTGATATATAGGGACATAGATACTAGTATGTTAAAAAAAAGTGAAGATCATTATATTTTAGAATATTCCATGCTTTGTGAAATTATTCTCATTTCTATATTGCATATCTTGATACAATTTAATATTAATTGTTGTTATAATGTTAGTTTATACTATTTGGGAAAAGTAGATACATGCATTTCACCTTGATGGAATCTAAGGTATAATTTTGTATGTAAGAAACAAACCCTATTTCTCATTCAAATTACGTGCAACATCAAAACACATATGAAATGAAGAGGCAAATGATGTTTTTCTAGTTTTAAAAGAAGCTTTGTAGATAATTCATTTTATGTATAAAGCTTAGTATGCCAAAATAATCCAACTTTTCTTTTCTTCAAAACTTGAGAAAACATTAGCTTGTTAACAATCTGAGTTTTCGTGTTAGTTGAAAAGCAGTGAATATTAGATACAGGTGTTGCATCCAAAATGCTGGAAGTGCTCAACCAGAATTAAGGATTTTTTTTTAAATATACATGTGCATGTATATGAAAGTGAAGTTGTCGAATACCATAATACATATGAAAATATTCTAGCCATATAGAAAGTGACCAAGTCAGATACTTTGAAGAAGAGAGAATATTAAAGAGAGAATGAACACGTGAGAAAGTAGTGAGTATTTAGAAAATACAAGTTAAAAAAAAACACTTCCTCTACAAAAGATCTCTACTTTAAATAAACGATTTACATGTACTTAAAATGTACGGTCCACTTGATATTTAACAAATTTTCAATATTCAAAGTAAAGATCTTTTTTATATAAAATAAATTATGAGATATCTAATATAATTAAGACTGTTAAACAGTCTTCTATCCATGCAACTTAGCAACCAAGTCACGTGGACAAATATGATTGGCTACCTGTTGTCAACGGTTCATTTGCATAACCCTCTAAAAGAAAGAGAAAAGGACAAAGTAAGCATTGATAATAGCAGTGTTACCTTTAATTTAATCATCATTGACTGCAACTAATTCAGCACCCGATCTACATTCATAAGAATGTTGTTTGACACTAGTTTGCTGCTGCTATTAGCGAGAAATGCAATTTTTCAATAAGCATATATGACCCCTAAAGCACATTTGTCTACTATTTATGCAGACAAAATGTTGTGCATTTGAAATGAGTAATGACATGATGCATATTATACAAAAATAAATAAAAAATAACGTGCAACACCTGGACTCTCATCAATCAACATTATTAGAAAAACATGTTTTGTTCCGTTCATTCTTTGTTGTTTCTCAGAAATATCATTATCCTATTTTGAGAATGCACACAAAAGACGCGTTGATTTATCATGACAACGGAAAATAAAATTGACAAGAAATGAGCAGGAAAAAGAAGTATGAACATCGGGTAATTGCAATCTTGCAGACCTTAAATCGATGCATCTAAGCAAGGAAATAGATCTACAATACATTGTTGTCCTTTCTTGTCGAGCTGTTGTTTCCTTCGTCGACAGAAAAAAAATATGACGATGCGTATTTTTTTTAATAATTACGCAATAAAAGTCTATTTGGGGCTTGGGGATAAAAAAAAATGATATGAGAATGCATGTAATTAACAACATTTGTAATTTATATAACAGTAACAAATCATTTTTTTTGTTAAGATTCAAAATCAAAGTTTCAAACTGACTTATAATTGACCCCTTGCTTTGACTTATAATTATTGCAAAGGTATAGAACGTAGTAAGAGATATTGAAAACAGCATCGCAAAAGAGATTGATATCTGGTAAATATAAATCGTGTTCAAGCATTATAAGCACCATTACAAACTGGCGGCTGGTGCATGTGCAAAAACTCAATAATTGGAAAAAGGCAATCCAGAGAGCAACAAACTGTGCTCAATGATAATGCTTAAGACCTGGGGGAAAATGATATGACCAAACAAAACCAACGCAGGGTACTCACCACTGTAACAAACGAAGGTAACTACAGATCCTGCAAAACGCTACTTTCATTCTTTAAACATCGACTGATTTAGAACTTTTGCAATTTCTCTTTGAGTGTGTCGAGTCTACATACTGCACTATAGCGTTTGAAAAAGGGTGATAACTCAAACTTACCCAAAGAAATTCCAACCATTCCGTTTTCGACAGCTTCTTCTTTCTTCATGCAAGGTCTCTTGTCAATGAGATATGCTCCAATAATGAGTGCAGGAAACATTAAGAAAGTGAGGATGGCTTCCACAATATCCACCACCCCTGGAGAAATTACTAGAATGACAAGCGATAGCCAGACATAGGCCCAAATACAGCTAAAAGTTGTTAATCCAAAAACTCGCATATTGGCAATTCTGCGTGTCTCTCCATCTGGGATGGAGAAGATGCATATCGCTGATATAACCAACAGATTAAAAGCCGCTGACCCTACAATGGTGCCGGGTCCCAGTTCTCCGGCTTCAAACTTCCTGCCGACTATTTCTATGACCGACAGTAATATTTCAGGAGCGCTGGTTCCAAGCGCCAACAGACTAAGATTCGCAACTGTATCATTCCAGACTTTCACTTCAATCATTTTAAATCCGTCCGGTTCGTTTTGGTCCGGAATTCTCACCTTCGCAGTTTTTGATGTAATCTTCTCAATAGAACACATGAAAACATCGGCAATCAAGGCCACCCCGAGAAAGCACCATAGCATAGCAATCAAATACAAAAAGGTTCTAGTCCCTGCTGACCATGTGTATTCGTTGATTATGGGTAAGATCATAGCATTTGAGCAGGTGTAGTTGTACACATCTATTGTCATACATCCTGACGTACCCAATGGTGCTGTTGTATTATTCGCCATCTTGTTAATCCTTTGTTTCTTCTAACTGAAAGAAAAATAGATCGTTGTTGTTTGTGTCCTTTACTAAATAAGCAATTTCAATTGTCGATAAGGTCATACCTAATAATCTCATGGATTCTTTAACAAATCAAAATTGTTTATTAGTAAAAGGCATTTGCCTTGAAATAAACTGATTGAATATAAAGTTTCCCGATCTTGCGTTTGTGAGTACAACTTTACTTTCCAGTCAGTAGGAAGAGAAAAATAAGTCATAGCTAAGTAAATAGACAGAACAAAACGGACATTGTAAGCTGGGCCTTCTAACTGGTGATACTAACACATTTTAATTAGATGTACATGCATGAGGTGGTGCCTCCCCACAATGAAACATGGAATACAAATTAATTATTTTGATACATAACTTCCCCGGAAAGATTCAGATTTAAAGCTTACATGCCCCCCCCCCCAGTTTTTCCATGATTTAAATTGAACACTCGATAATAAAACTTTGGCCGATCGCATAAAAAGATATACTGTTTCTAATCAATGAGCTATAATGAAAATATATACTCCAGGTAGAAGTCCGAAAAGGGACATAAAAACAATATTTTCCAATGCAAATCAATATACTGCTCTATCTACAGTCACTGATCCTTACTTTTGCCTGAAAATCAAAATTACTGAACACTGTAATGTTCTTCAATGGAGAAAACGCCCACAAAACTAGATTCACATTATAGGCAGGGTATACAGAATAAAGACGTGTGGTCAGTTTTATTTCCCAAGAGACGCAAAGTCATAAAACTTCCTGAAAATAGTGTTCGATATGAAATACGCACGGCCGATATTCTGCAATTTAGTTCTGTCCAAGAGTATCCTGGGACATGGACAGAGACAGCTTATAGTACAATGTGATTTATACAAGGTAGTACACAATCGATAAACACAATTGTTCTTTAGAGAGACGTTAATGTCATCACCGACTCAACCAGACTCAAACTATCCACAACAATGTGCCTATTCCTGTCATTCATACAGGAAGTTTTGAGATCGATTTGTACATGAATGAATGTTAATCTGACAGTATGTGGGTAAGAATGTGGCCACATACCAATATTAACGTAAGGGGCCCTCCCTCTGCTTTCATTGACAAAATAGTACCTGTACTGTAGTAGGTGTAGAAAGCATTTGTTTATTACGAACCTTTACAAAAACACTATTTTATATTGAGCATCTTGTCTTTAACGGTTTCCATAGGTAATTTCATAAGGTGCATTTCATAGGTAATATAAGAAATCTTTGTACAGATAAAACTTTATTTGATTTTAAAAATCCAATTTTAAAAAATGCATGAGTGCACCAAACGGCAATAAAATCTCTATTTAATTTAAGGTCTCCACCTTAACATGTTTTGAAATTGCAGTTCAGAAAACACCTAAATGATATGAATATATTTGAAAAACCGCCCACGCCCCTGCCTACAACTTTTACATTACGAACCCTATGTCAACAGAGAGACCCTTACTTGCTATCGTCATATTTCTTGTGACTCAAAAACATATAACCCTTGCTGTGATTGAAGCAGTCCGGTGCGAGTCATTCTCTGTGATCGATGAGAGGAGTTTAATTGGATTAATTTGACATATAAAATTATTTAGAAACATCATCGTGAACAGGTGAAATAAGAGATACCATCAATAAAACATGATTATTTATGGGACTTTATTGTACCTGGTCCGTGTTTTTTTTTCCTAGCTGGGCAAGAAGAATTGTTTAAAACGATAGTACATGTATATAATTATCAAATCTCGTTTATCTACCTGCCGCGAGTAATTTCTGTATCTGATTATCGTGTAAATACCAAAGGTATGCATCTGGTATGAAAACATCACCATAGAGGCCTATTAGGCAAAGAATAATTAAAAATAGTATACATTGTTAAAGTCTGGTGTTATATATACTACATTTGTATCATTCAATGGACTCCACAAAGCAACTCTATATTTTATTGAACCGAATCTCCTTCCGATCTAGTTTTCACTTTGTGGGCTTATAATTGCTTGTTGAACGCATAACCCCGAAACAGTCTTGTCCATTGATGAATAAAGCTGGAGATTCATGATTTTTTGACAATAAAAAGCAGTGCTCAGCATCTGTGATGAACTCATCGATTGGTCAGCAAAGTCTCGAGGCGGGAAAACTTTGTGTAATAAGCCAGCCCTTAGCCTTCAGGTCAAACAACAAAAATAATGGTAAGGAAATTGGTGTTTCGTCTCTACGTAAACATCTCTATCCAAACAAAATCCCCGATTTCCAAACATCATTTATCTCTGTCATTTGATAATTTGAGTTCCAAAAATCTATAACGTAAATGCATCATAGATCGCTTAATTAGAACCTCCGATTGTCCTATATAGAGTCTCACTCTCTTTGCAATATAGAACTTGTATAAAAATCAATCTAAATGAAAAACAACGATGTGATTTTTGATCCTGTACATTTGACAATTACCAGAGACAATATGATACTGCAGAACACGAGGGAACAATCAGAGAACAATTACAGACCTACAATTGTCATGTTTAGCCAGGGGCACAAGCGACGCAGAGGGGGCTCCTCGTCATAATTAAGAGGCCTTTGACCCAAATCTTGCTTTATTACGAGGAAATTTTGTTTGCTTTTGCAGGTGAACAACAGGTGTGCGTTCTTTGGTCAAAGGATATAATTAACCACACCTCTCTAAAAGTTTGATCCCCTTGGCAACTCCCGCTTTTCTGTTAAAACAAAGTTTCTAAGGGGGTATTATATATCTACCCAGGGAAACGAAGTATGTGATTTGATAAAGTCATGAAATAATCCATTGTACCGTAAAGTCTGATTTTAACGAATCAGCGCAAAGTATACAAAGCTTTATAATTGAACATCACACAAAATTCCCGATAAGTCGGGTACTAGTCTAGGAATTGCATAATGTTTTATGGTTAAATGCCAGGAGTTTAAATCATGAATGATTCTAGTAACATATATGCCCAAAGCTTGAATAGTATATTAAGTAGTTCAAGGTCCTGTTTATACACAAGTTTCCCCACTTCATTGCAGAAGACGTAGTCGAGTGAGTCTATGGAATTTATAATGATTGGTCAGGATACATATGTATTGAATATTGAGGGCTCGCTGGATAAGGATACCTTTGATCGAAGTATATTTCACGGTACATACAGCTGGAACCGGAAAATTGAGTGAACATGACTGAACCATAATTATATCGAACACATTTTCTAATTTACAAGTGGAAGGGTGGGTCCATATGCGCTATGTTTTTATGAAGATGAACTGAAAAGTTTATTTCAGAACAAATCTGCTTCACGCTAAACCCGAGTTTCGATATAAATATTTGCTATTTGAGAGGGTTCACACTTGAGGACTTTAATCGCATAACCGTTTGCATACTGATATACATGCACTACATGTATAGTATGCTCTCGTGTATACATCTAAAGCAGAAGTAGGAAATCATTATATTGTTAAACATAATTTTCAGAAGGAAGTTTACAGTAATAAATAGGTCAGTTATAAATAGGCAAAACAAATAGGAATTTTTAAAATGATTTAAATATCTTTGCAACTATTATATTCTATGCGTTCCACGAAAAAAAAAATTAAGGCAAAATATTAAAACTTACTTGAAGATCAGCCACCCAAAGATCCTTTTTAAACTTATTGTCATAAAATTAAATTCATTTGCTACAACCTCTCAATCTGCCAAAACAATGGAAACCACTTAAACTACAAATAAATCACGATAATTTACATCCATTCAAGGGAAACCAACGATGCAACACAGCTTTTCACGGTAATAATCTTTCCTATTCGCCACAGAGGGGCGTGGTGTGCATTTAACAGGTCAGCCGACGCGAGTCAGTTATTATGCGGGGGAAGCTAAGTAAAATTTTACTTATCAGCGCATAACTCCAAGATGAGTAAGGGGCTTACCTGTTAAACCATTGGAGGATCTCAAATATCCGTGTGTATGTGGCGAGGGCGTCAGGCCGCGAGTGTGACTGTCTACATACGGTGACAGCCTGTTTGATCAACGGATCAATACACCATGCCTTAGGGATGCATTAAATAATTCGGTTTTATGACTAAAAGGCGTGATGCTGGCATTTTTCGGTTTTTGCTACAGGGGTATGGACTAGATAAACTAGTTTGTCTGGTAAAATAAAACAGAACGGAATTTAAATAATTTAATTATCATCAAATATGCCATGTTCTGTCTTGGTTCCACGTGTAAATTATTTTAATAGTTGTTTATTTTATCCCCACAGGACACACGGACGTGTAGTACTTTTACAGTTTTGAATTATTTATATTTTTCATAGCATCGCTAGAACTGCAGCTTATAAATTCATTTTGACCAGAAAAAATGATCACTATTTTTCGTTCACATTTAATGTAATACATATATTTGCATATTGGAAGTATTAAAAAAAAAACGCTGGTGGTCTCAACACAATGTTTTTAATTATAAAAAATCGTGAAGCATTTCCGCTGAACTTCATTTTAAAAAATTCTCCAGTAAGTCCAGTGCTGAATCTAGTCTGTTACTCTTACCAAATATTCTCCGTACTCAATGATAAATTTAATTTACTTCACCAATCAAAATGCACTTAAACTTTTTTAACTCCGTGTGTGATTGGATCACGGATATTGACGTTAATCAAGTATCCTGTTTAATATTCTCAAACTACTTGCTTTCCCGTTCCGTTCATTACACGATTTTACCGACCAGATTGGTTTACAATTCAATTTTATCGTTATCCACAAAACCTGGCTTTTGGGAAAAGGTTAACTTCATAATGAAAACAAAATGTTTAATTATTTTTCCGGCCATATTGAGTTTCCAAGGTCAGTCTGTTTCAAATAAGAGGATAATTTAATGTGTTTGATGGTATAAGAGGGATGTGTGATGCTGCTGCAAGGTTGTGTCATGTTGTAAATTTTGAATTTACCGGGTGGCAGTAAATCCAAATTTTACAACAATGGCAAGTGTGCAGTAAATCCAAAATTTACAACATGACAACTTGTCATGTTGTTAATTTTGTATTTACTGCCACCCGGTAAATCCAAAAAGTTACAACTTTACAGATGGAGTACCAAAGCAGATGACCATTCAGTGCATGTGTCTCTTAACTAGAAGCTTGGAATTGCATCTATGTCCATTGTCAAAAATACAAGAGGGAAAAACTATTTAGAAATGACAATTCCTTTACGACTTTGTTCATTAACAGTAGCTACCACTTTTTATAAAATGTCAATCGAAGTAAATGTTCACCCCAAGAGCTCATGTATTTCATTTGTAGAAATGTTCTATAAATTCTGTTTTGTATGAATTCCAAAATATTTCAGTGGGATTCTTCACAATACATAGAAGCTTTACAAACTCTCTCCATAAGTCCGATATGACTATGTCAAATTAAATATGGAACCATTTTCATGTAGTAGAAAGGTCAAGATTATATATTTAAATCTTGCCAACAGAGCTATGGCGGGGGCCAAACCAGGGTCGAAAAATTTTATCAAAACTGCAGATCAATATTAATAGAAAACCCGAAGCACAGAACCACAAATACATGCAGGTATGCAACAATTAAGAAGAGGGGAAATAAATGCAACACAAAACATCAGCTGCCTTATATGGATAACTTTAATGTTGTGTTGAAAATTATCTTTATGTGCTGGTAATTATATCCCGATTCTCTGACATTACATGCTGCTACTTTTTAAATGAATTCTATGATGATACTTCTTCATTATATGACAATACATTGACCTTTTTCATACTAGGATGATACCTCTTCATCATAATTATGACGAATCCATTGACATTACCTTCTACTTCTTCATTCTAGGATGACACATCTTCACTTTATCACGATCCTTTGACAAAACCTTCTACTTCTTCATTCTAGGATGACACATCTTCACTTTATCACAATCCTTTGACATAACCTTCTACTTTTTAGTCGTCCGGGTGGCGCAGTGGTGAAGTGTCTGCCCTAGAGTCGCGGAATAAGGAGCTGATCCTTACGTCGCGGGCTCGAATCCACTGCGGGACTTGGAGACCGGTCCTTCGGATGAGACCGTATAAACCAAGGTCCCGTCTCGCAGTAGGTGTTGGCACGAAAAAGATCCCTCACTGCTCAATGGCCCTAAGTGCCGAGTATAGGTCTAAATTTGCAGGCCTCCACCGCTCAGTGGTGGCGTCTCCATATGAGTGAAAAATTCTTGAGAGGGACGTTAAACAAACAAAACTTCAAAGAACTTTTAGAAAATATGAAATTTTACCAGAATAATATCATCAACACGTACGACTTTTCAATACTTATTCCCCACGATGAAGTTCAGGCTTTTTTGACATCTCACAGACAGCTGCTTTTTCAATAAAAATGGAACTCGTAAATTAACTTACCTTGCGATTGGTCATTTGCAAAATTATTTTGTTGAAAAAACATTCTGATTGTACACACAAGCACTCCGATGTTGATATTAAAAAGATGCTTGAGTTTCTGATTGAAAATATCTATGTTGATTTTTGGAGATCGTCTTCAAACAATCTATTGGAATTCCCATGGGTTCTAATTGCGCCCCGTTATTAGCAGACCTATTTTTGTATTCATATGAAGCATTTAATCAAAAGCTTCTACATGAAAAAAGTCTCTTTCTGTGGCCTTCAATTTGACTTTTAGACATTTCGACGAGATTTCATCAATTAACAATATTCATTTTCATTCCTAAGTTGATTCGATATATCCTTTTGAACTCGAAATAAAAGGCACTACAGAGTCTGACACATCTGTTTTATATTTGGATATTTTACTAAAAAAGACGTCAAAGACAACATAACAACAAAAACTTTATAATAAACGTGATGATTTCAACTTTTCTATCGTCAACTTATGTGACAACATACCATTATCACCTGCATATGGAGTTAATGGCTCCCAGTTGATTCGATACGCAAGAGCATGCTCTACGTACGAACATTTTCTAAAAAGAGACAAGCTATTGGCAAATAAGTTGATGATACAACGATATCACGAGTCCCGTTTAAAGCCAACGTTTTGCAAATTGTATGGGCGATACGATGACCTTCTCAGCATAAAGTCGAATGTCGACTGATGATTTTCATTCAAATTGTTAGGACATTATTTTCATGCTGAATTGTCTACGGATTTTCCCATTTGCCTGATCGTTACACGGAGCACACGGCGGTTGTGACATGTCGACAGGGGATGCTTACTCTTCTGTGACACCTGATCCTACCTCTGATGTTTTTGGAGGTCCATGTTTGCTCTGCTCCCAATTTGTATTGTTCCAGTGGACTTTTGAGCTTGATTACTGTTCGTTATTTTCACATTTTATTGATACTTTGTCTCAATATATATGCCGATACTTCTCCATTCTCTTGATGATCCCTGTCTTTAATTAAGTGATGCCATTTTTGTAAATGTAAACGTGTGTTAAATTTTTGCCGATTTTACAGGGCCGATTACAATGCAAATGTACCCAGTCTTTGTTTAATGCGGACTTCATAACAATAATTTTCTTTTTTCAACGAGAATAACAGTAAATGAATAAATATATACCTGTATGTAAATCTTGGGTAGTCACAGCAATGTTTTGAATATATGCTATAAAGTCAAAATGGATTGAAGCAGAAAAGATCTCTAAACTCAATTACATATATTAGATTTTTCAGACTGCACGGATATTGATCTTACAGTTTTTTAAAGATATTACTTATAGCAAATTGAAGATTATGTCTCGCCAGTCTTTTGAAAAACTGCAAAACGTTTTGATACATGTGCCTGTTGACTGTGAGAGAAATGACTCTTTTCTCCTGTTAAACATATCACTGATGTGCATGATTCGAATAATGTAACACGACATTGGCATTCCCAAGCTGCTGTTATGTCGGATAATGCTGCTTACTGTAACACTACTTATGTAACAGAGAAACGAGACAAAAATGTAGAGATATAGAGACAGAGGAGGAGGAATTCTCCTCGGTATATGATGACTAAAACTACATATCATGAGTCAATATTAATCAGGCCTGTAGTACGCAGTACGGGGGGATGACCCCCCCCCCCAACTTTTTTTTCTGAGAAAACTCTATTGCTTTAGTTTTAATATGCAAATTTTGATTTGGATGATGCTCCCCACCCCCAAGTTTTGTTGCTGTGCGGTCAAACATACGCAATTTCCAGCACTTGATAGAAAAAAATGTACCGAAAAGTTAGAGAAAGGCCCACCCCCACCCTCCATGAAAAAGGATTTTAGTGTATGGAGAGTTAACTTTTTTTTTTTTCCTTGTCAATCTTTTTCGGAGCTCCCCCCCCCCCCCAACTTTGAAAACGTTGCGGGTAACGAATTAGAGATTTTTTTTAATTGTGTATTGAGCAACATGGAACATTGGTTAACTTGATTTTCAATTTTGAGTTTCGAACTTACAAACTTTGTGCTGAAGAATTACGGTAACATTATATCGATAAACATTATTTTTATGCCTCCCTGGTATTGATTTTGTCTCAGAATCTGAATAATTTAATGATGATGAAAGATTTGAAAATCCATTATCAAGAGGAACACGCTGTGTTACGTTTGAATGTCCCGTTTGTAAAGGTAAACCGATCAATAATGAAGCAATTACATACAAACTATTTAAAGTCAATCATATACTGGCTGTTCTCAGTACACCTCTGGACAACATGTGAATGCTTGACTCAATTTCCAACTATTATAGGATATTCAAATAATGGAAATCCCCCTAATGGGTGTCTGATGACACGGTATTCACATTACATTGTTAAATATTAATACAATAAAGTACATTGTATTTAATATGACAAAAGAGCTCTGTTTTTTTATAAATAAAATCGGACGATGAATCGACCCCAGGACCATTGATATCCCCATAATATTTTCTTTCTGTACCGGATGAGTGAATTGTCTTACAGCTCCTACCCTCAGCATTTCCCTTAAATCTTGTTAAGAGGACACAGCAACAGAGGGTTGGACATTTTGGACTTACTGAGCGCTTTAATGAGTACAATTACACGTATTTTATTTTATCTATTTATTTTTCCTTTAACATTAATAGCAATATAGTAAAAAATAGGCAAAAATACAGGGACAGTCAAAGAAAAATAGCTATAAGTAGTATTAAGTACTTACTTTTTGCAGAAGATGTGGTAACAAGTATTACTTTCTATGACTGTGCAGGGCGACAACATACAACTGACTCGAAAACCTTCCTGAATACCAGAATTGCCCCGAACCGCATCCTGGTTTGTAAGAAAAAGTAAAATAAAGTCATTTATACATGCAGACATTTTTGCACAAAAACTGTTTGTACTTGTGTAATGTAAATAAAAATCATCTTCCTTGTGAAGATAAGATAATATTCTTATGCTGACCTCGCAATGAAAGATAAATCGAATGCTAAAACCTAGGCACCTATTCCTTAGTATAAGTTATCTCTCTTCCTCTTCCTTGCAAATCACAGCATACCCAGATTTGGAAAATGTAGGAAATGTGGGAAAATGTTTTCCATCGGTCCAACAGCTTCATGTTGCCAACATCTTTTTGTCTGTTTGTCACAAAACATGTTCGGAATGTGACATCCTTGAATTAATACTAAATTTATGAGTATTTGCCATTACCATATGCCTTGAGCTTGAATCAAAGCCAGTTTCTTAATAACAGTGTAATGAAGTTCTGTATCAAATTCGTGTTCGAACTGTAATTTTCTATTCTGACTTGAATTAGATCGAGTCCATGTCTAAGTTATACGATTTAGAGTCACATGTAAGACAAACTAGAGATATATATAGACAGGTGGATGCTTCTTTTCACTTTCAAAGAATTTGCTTTTTTATGTAGTGTATAGTGATGAGGGTGTCCGTCCGTCGATCATCCTCGCAAGCCAGGGGTCCTGAGTCAACACGTTGCCGTTGGACGGCAACGTGTTGACTCAGGATTCCTGGCTTGCTAGGATGTCCGTCGATACGTCCTTAACACTTTGGGGTACCCACCTCTTATCCTCAACTCCTTCTATACCACTGAATAAAATTTTAATGAGACTTTCACAGAATGTTTATTATATATTGCCATTGAGCACCTCCTATTTTACGTTTTGATCGGATAGATATCTTGGGTTTCCAATACCAAAACATGGACACTACCATCCTTTCTATAAATGTAATATTGGGGGGGGGGGGGGGTTACCCATCTCTAATCCGCAACCCATCCTATACGAATGAATAAAATTTGATGATACTTTCACAAAATATTCCCTTTAACTGAAATAGTACAATATTATTGTTGAAATGAGTATTGTCATTTACAAATTGTTATACTATCCATTGGCATATCTTTTCTTTATAATTGTAATAATTTCATACTTGTCTGTTATGGGCTCTAAATTAGAAAATAAATGTTCTGTTCTGTTCTGTTCTATTACATGGTGTCATTGGGCACCTATTTTACGTTTCAATCGGACAGGTTATTTGGGGATTCCCATAGCAAAACATGGACACTCTCATTCTTTTTATTACATTGGGGATACCCATCTCTTATCCGCAACTTCTCCTATACCACTGCATAAAATTTAATAAGGCTTTCGCAGAATCTTTTCTATACATAGTGACATAGTACATATGCACCTCCTTTTTCTTTATTTCGAACGGACCGATATTTGGGGTTTCCCATAGCAGAAAATAGACTTTGTCATTATACTTATTTTGGAGCGGGGGTATCATTATGTGAGCTCGGTGCTCACAGTACCTCTAGTTTTAACTGATTACCATTCCACCTGGAACTTTGAATTTAGAGCACATTCGTTTATTTTTATTTTGAAAGGATTATAGACTTACCTAAATTCAAGAGTCTACGCGGAACCTGTATCATTAAGATACTAAGTTGTACATTTTCGTTTTGACTGCATAGTTCAAACTTCACAACATGATAAACAACATAAAATTAAAAATCGGAGACAATCCTCACTTAAACGAATTTTAAACGACATCATGGTAATAATAATGAATTTATATATACAAACATTTCTTCTCCTTTTTTTAAGTTCCATTTAAACATCAGGAATTTCAGGAAAACTCGTTTTCTTGATTCGGGTTCAAAAATATGAGTTTGCATTCTCTTGGTTTCTTGTTGAATGTGAACTCTCTAAACTCAAGAAGCAACTTTGGCGAAAAGTTAAAGCTAATAACATTGTTGTGTTGTAAAACTTATATTACAGCCATTATAGAACAAGAGATGTCAAAATTAATCTTTCTTCAAAGAGCATTTGAAAAAGCCATCAAAGTCATCTTAATGGTGCAATATACTTGATACTTTAGTGCAAGGGTTTTTGGTACATGTACCGAATAGGTCGGATGCTGTCCTTTTTTTCTGGGCAAATGACTACCATTAACTAAGGTTTTTGAAAACAAACGCTTACTATTTTGTCCATGAGGACAGCAATCTGTTCTTAATAAGGATGAAAGAAAACAAGTTTCGGTACTTTAGAACACTGTTCTTAGACGCAAATATCGCATATTATGACATTTTCATGAACAAAACATTCTTATAGCTTGAGCGAGTTATTCAAAGTAGAGCTTCTAACTATATTAAAAGTTTCAAAACAGTTCAAAATTTGTTGAACTCGAAGACTTAAAACACTTTGTATAAAAGCCAAAATGACGGAACGTAGATAAACATTTTCCCGACAAAATTGTACCTAGTTTTGACAATTCGAACATTATTGCTACTTTCTCATTGGTTAGTTTGTCTGATTTCTGATTGGCTGGAGACTGTCAGTGGTAATGGAATTAAGTTGATTGAATTTTTGACACTGATGGTGTTCCAAGATAAAACTTGGTCACAATTTTTTTTTTACCCTGAGACATTCTTAGTAGAATCAGCAATGATACCCAAGAAAAATTATTTAGTATATAAATTATCCTGAATGAGTGTTATTAACGTTTCCACTATAAATATATGAATTCATATATCCAATGAGCGAGTGATGTGCGAGATATTGAAATCGTGTACATGTACATATATTACCTGTAATCTTTAGTACCTATGTCATGATCTTGATACAATTACATTGTATATTGTCATACAGTGGTGACCAATAGCATGTTTGGGAAAAGGGGATGGGGATTGGGGTTGAACAATTACTATCATGTCGGATAAATCTTGTAATCTTTTGTTCTAATTGTTTGAACCATTGACCTATGGTTGCAGAGTGAATTTCGTATTGAAGCCATTTGTCAATGTCTTTTTGGACTGGTGTTTTCCAAAATCTATAGACATTGCAAACTTATCACTGTTCTGGATTATATTCTCGACTTCAGTGGTTGATGTTTAGGTTACTGACAGGAAATTTTTGGTGTTCCACTCTTTATCGAGATGTTCTTTTAAAGTAATTGTGGCTGTAAGTAGTTTGTTGATTAATGTCTATTCATTTTCGATTAATGTTTAAACAAGTGTACTCAATGTAGGCCGAACAACACCATGTAATAGTTTTAATGAGTCTATCCAATATAAACCAAACAATTTTCTTAAATAGCTTTATTATTATTGCGCTACTTTTTTTTTTTATTTTCGAATAATAAATACTCAATAATTAAGAAAATCTGTGAAGTGATCAACACATGCATGACGCACGTATATATGAGGAATGGCACTGTTAATGTTGGAGACTATTCACCCATTTCCTGGGTAGACAACTTCGAAATAAATAAGTTTTATGGGCATCTACTATAAAGAATGAATTAAACAATTCGACGAAAAACAGGGTGCATTTTACGCGGTTATCATGATAACACAATCGTTTACGTAAACGTCGATTGACGTAATGGTTAGGTCGTTCAGATACCAGAATCATATAGATTGCGATAGTTTTTCCATTCATGAGCATTTAACTAATTTCATTGGCTCTGAGAGTCTGACAAACATGAATATTCATGTACGTTTCATGCGTCTCGGAGCGTGAGTCGGCGCGGGTCGTTTGGAGCATTGCACCCCTTTTACTATGTTTCATAGTAAGAAAAATGAAATCACATATCGCTTACTCCGTCTTAGTTAATCAAAGCAGTTTCATAATTTTTATGCAAAGATGAATTTGTACGGAACGCCTCTAGTATTATTCATTTGAGTACTGGATTTACATGTTATATATACTTGGTGCTGTTGAGGAGAGTTGTGCTACAAGTTATTGAATATGACATTTTCACGGATCGTATCTGTTCTTTCTTATATTGTGATAGCACTATTTGTTCAGGAAATACAAGGAGTTATACGAAATATACGGCATAGAACATCAAATGATATTTTCTTGGATCCTTGCAAAGCAGGTTTGAAACCTATTCTATACCATGAATATTTACATTTTGTTTTGTTAGAGAGAAAAAATTGTGTTCCGAACTTTTAATTTAAACATTTTCTATTTTGATAATCATTTATTTAGGAAGGGTGAAGACTTTTGATACAGATCTCTTTTCTTTCTTCCCTCTGTAGTTTTCAACATGTGTGTTTTCCAACTTTCTTTACTTTAATAACACAGCAGGGCGCTCGTGTTTACTTCTGCAGGGTCCGCGAGCTTTCGCTTCCAGAGGGCCCCTACAGCGCACTGTCTCAGTACGCCCTCTTTTAAACTAATTAGTTTATTTAGTGGATTCCTAAAGGTTACGGGGTTCTCTCTCAAATTCTGGGGGTTATTCATGCTGCTTCATTGAACTTTTTTGTCTTCTTTTTTTTTTCTTCTGGCGGTTATTGTCTCCCAACCCAGGTTTTATTCCTCCAATATTTCGGAGTCGATCAACAAGCAATCCTATTACTAAAGGATATCGCGCAATCTGTAATAGATAAGGAAGCAAATAGTGGCAGGTCTATTAATTAAAGTACTTAAAGAATTGGTTAGATAAGTCTTATCTATCGCCTTTAATTTGCAACAGTGTGAGAAACCTATAATTCCATTGATATATCTGTGAATCTTATTAACGGCGGGTATCTGCATGATTAGATTTAACTCCGACACAACGAAGAAACTTTTCTCTTCGAGCAGTTAAATTATTTATACAAATTTCAGGGCATTTCTTCAAAGTCAGGTATCGAAAAAGAATTTGTCATGTTGACAGTTTATTACACATTTGAAAGAGTCTTTGAACAAATATTACAATGGAACTTTTTTTGATGCGCGCTCAACTCCATTAATTGGATTGACAATGTAATGGACTGCGCACCCCTGTGGTCTAGAGACGAAAAGTCAAGTCAAAGTGAAGAAAAGATGAATGTATTGTATGAAAGGGTGAGAATTCATTACGTGGGGTCTATTGTTGTAAATAATCATTTCACGCGTTTTGTAATAACCTGCGACTTACGCCCCCTTTGCAATAAAAGAAGGTGTAGTGAGCATCCAGCTCAAACTTGATAATAAGAGTCTGAAATTAAAAAGAAATCTGAAAGGCAATGTTTCTTCTAAAATAATTTGCCCTCTAGAATGTCTCGAGTTTGTTCGAAGTGCTTTACTAGAAGCATTTTGTTAGAAATTATGTACGTTCAAGATTACTTAGTACTGCATTTATACGAGTTAATGCCTTTTATCAAATCAAAAATCACTATACTTAATGATATATTTTTTATGACTTCTTTTTTTAAATTGAACATATGCTGGATTTGATTAAATAAGAAGAGTTGTGTTTTGAAATTCTATTTATAGTGACACTTGCAAAAAGCATTCTTCGGATGAGAATCGATAAAAGTCTTACGTTTTTATATAGTTGTAATGTGCAACTGTACCATACCAAATTTTATTCATATCAGACAAAAACTGGGAGTCCTAGCATTTTGAAATAATTTTAAATAAACATGCATTTGTTTATGTTTATTGTTGAAGAAATCAACAAACCAGTTCATAGAGACACGCAATCATGTATCTTAATGTACACATTTATCATTGATTTTTATTAATCAGTCAAAACAACAGTTTTAAGAAGTTAAGAAGTCATTTACAGACAACTTCTGTTCATTAAATATGTTAAAGTATTGATGAATTTCTAGTACATAAAAATATATTACTTCTTTAAGTACTCTGTATATGTAGTATTCAGACTTCTTAACACAAGCGGTTTTTTTTATATTATTTTGGTCTATCAGTTAAACAAATCGATTGTTGCTAATTTTTCGGCCATTAGTTTGTTGTTTTTTGATAGAAAATTGATGGCGTGTTATGCTATCACCAATTTCAACACCTCGCTTGGCTTTGGTGGAATCTCATTACTGGACTATTCCCGCGCTCCGCAGTCGTGAAATTAATCGCAGACGACATTGTACTCCAGAGAGAACGTTCATTGACACTAATCAAACGTTCATAACCCAAAGTTACATACAAGCCATATTATTATTTTAAGTAATATAAGTATACAAAGGTATAATTTCTATTGCAACTGAGGCTAATAAGGGGAAAAAGAATATAGAAAAAACTCGACACCAGATATTGTATATGTAGACAAACTTTCTGGCCTAAATCAAAAGGGTGCCTACCGAAACTGACACGTACAACAGTTACAAGGCAATTTGATTTAAAGTGGAGCGTAATAAAGATGGTTTTTAATTAATCAGATTGCGGTGTACGAGGATGCTTCAATTTTACGGAACTTTATATTTCAACTGTCCTGGTTTGAAATATAGTTATCTCTTGCATTTTCCGGTTGCGGAAAATGAAGTTGCTCGAGTTGTTCGAACAATGCTATATGCAAAAGGAAACGTAGTGTATTTCATTTAACTTTGTTATGTGTCTTAATTTACAACTCTGTTCACTCGTAAAGGTCACTAGAGAAGGCCTGAATACTCAATGACCTCTCACACGAGATGCATGCTGCTAGAGCACAGAGGGCCCCGGGGCCAGACACACAAGGTTGTTTCTTAACCCTATACATCCTTTAGTTAAGGGGTATACCGCATAAGAAGTCTGATCCCATAAGAACAACGCAATATTCTTACATTAATGCAAGGTACTCCTTTATTAGATTAACATGGACAATAGTGAGAGGAAATAGAGTATATGCACCTGTTCTTAAAGGGAAAGGAGTGTCATAGCTCATTTCATGAAGTGCAGGACTTCACATTATAGCATTAATATCATCAGTCAGGGGTGAGATTGAAATCCGTCATTTCTTAAAAATGACGCATAATCGTCATATTTACTAACTACGTATTTTCGTCATTTTTGTCAATATGACTTACTATTGTCATATTTTCTTTTTCAACTTAATTCTTCTATCCTGGTTACATAAAAGCGAAATTTGAATTCACTGCTGAAAGAAGAGTGTTTACGCAAGTTTCATTTCATCTGGGTCACTAATTACTGCCGACCACATGCATTAGAACATCAACATGGAAGGTGAAAGTTATTATTTAGCTGTAAAATGTCGAATTTTGGTAGAACTAATTCGCCATTTTTACAAGGCTTTTAGCCCTATAAAAACATATAGTACACTGTCTGGAAGAATACGTACTTGTAGAGAAAAGTCTCGACAAAAAGTTAAAGCCATAAAAAAGTACAAGCGAGATATTTCAGTGTGCCCAGACCCTCCATTTTGAAAAAAGACGGAATATTGTCATTTTCGTCCTCTTTCCTATTTAATGCAAATAAATTGACAAATAACTCTTCCACTCTTATTTTTGCTTGGGAAATTTGTACTGTCAACATAACCAGTATTGTAGTCAAATCTATTAGAGAAATGAAGTTCGTTTGCGATGTTTTTTGTCCTTTTTTCGGTTGGTGGATCTAACATTTTTCAAAGAGAGGTAACTCGGTATTCTAGAAACACTCTAAATTTTTATGACTGTTTTTCGTCATTTTCTTAAAAATGACGAGTTTAAGTCATAATAAAAATTTTATTTTTTGACTAAAAATCGTCATTTAAAAAATGACAGATTTCAGTCTCACCCCTGACTGATCATATACTTTGTATATACATTATACAAATTTATGTCAATTTCTGTCCTTAGTTTAAACAGTCTTGGAATAAAGAAATTGGGCATCTATCGTGTCTTTAAGTTGCAGAGTTACTTTATTTGTTTCATATTCAATCTTGTGGCTGTTCTGAAATTAATGTGAATATCAGAAATTGCCCCCCCCCCCCTTTTTTTTTAGCTCACCTGAGCTGAAAGCTCAAATTAACTTTTCTGATCACCAGTTGTCTGTCCATCCGTCTGCAAACTTTTCACATTTTCAACTTCTGAAGAATCACTGGGCCAATTTTAACCAAAGTTGGTACAAAGCATCTCTGGGTAAAGTGAATTAAAATTTATTAAAATGGAAGGCCAAGTCCCCTTCCAAGGGAGATAATCAAGAAAAGGCAAAAATAGGGTGGGGGTGATTAAAAAATCTTAAGAACCACTGGACCAGAAGAGCTGAAACTTATGTGGAAGCTTCCCAAGGGGTGTAGATTCTAAATTGTTCATATCTTGGCCCCCAGTGTAGGGTGGGGTCACAATAGGGAATCAAAGTTTTACATTAAAAAACAGAGAATTTTTTAAAAAATTTTCTTCTTAAGAACTGCTGGATCAGAAAAGCTAAAACTTATGTTGAAGCTTCTTGAGGTAGGGTAGAATGTTAGTTGTTCAGATCATGGTCCCCTGGGGTAGGGTAGGGCCACAATAGGAATTCGGAGGGAAAAATCTTTAAAACTTCTCTACTCAAGAACAACAATGCTATGATGAATCATATTAAAGTGGAGCCACAATAGGGATTACAAAGGGAAAAATCTTTAAAACTCCTATACTCAAGAAGAACAGGAAGTGGAAGCATCCTCTGGTAGTGTAGATTCATTTTTGTTCAAATAAAGGTCCCTGTATATATAGGGTGAGGTCATAAAAGACAATCAAAATTTTACATAGGAATACAGTATATTGAAAAAAAGCTGATGCAGAACAGCTGAGCCAAAGTGACTCAGGTGAGCATTGTGGCCCATGGGCCTCTTGTGAAATTTCAATGAACTGTTGCTTGTTAACCTGGATACCCAATTCAATTTGACATCTTACAATTTCTTGCTGCACATGCCACTTAACTTTCTGCATGTTTTCTTTCCAAAATAATTATTTTAATTTCATTTATTGCAGTTGCATTTTGGGGTGATATATCATTAGCTGATGAAGACATACAATATTACAGAATTCAACAAAATGGCAGCAGGAATTCATTAAGTGAACATTATGAACTTCAAGTAGAAGATCCAGGTGCTGCATCACAGTATAGTGACAAAGAATATTATTCTAGAATAGAGAAATATCTTTCCAGAAAAGATTCAAATAAACCCAAAGGTGAGGAGAAAAAGAAGAATAAAAAATCAAGGAAACACAAGAAAAACAGATGTCCGAAAGGGTGAGTAAATGTCTTTGATGATCAAGATTTACATAATGATGTTGTCAATAATTATTAAGCATATGATATGCATAAGTCTATCATAAATGCAGTGCTTTGCTAGAAGTAAATTTCGTTTACAGGGATAAAAAATGCAGAGCATTACGTCGGAAGCAAAGAAGGGAGGAGAAATTAAAGAAAAAAGAAGAGAGAAGACAGAAAAAGCTTCTCAAAAAACAAGAAAGACTCAGGAAAAGGCAAAAGTTATCAAAGTCAAAGTTAAAAAGAGGTTCAAAAATATATAAAGTATCCAAGACTCGGACTAAGAGAGCAGCTACTGCTAGACCAGAAAGGTTGTGGGATTATGGTGTCATTCCTTATGAAATAGAAGCCAACTTTAGTGGTAAGTAAAGAGTATATATATATATATATATATATACATACATGTATACTGCTTATTAGAAATGTTAATCAACATGATCATATTATTTCTCCAATTTTAGAAGCATGTTGGCATTACATATACTTCCACATGTCACACCGTAGTATTGATGTAATTCTTAGTTTGTAAGAGTTTCCGATAGTGAGATTTTTTTTCTTTCACCAGTGGAATCTCTGCTAGTCCTTTATCCATGATACTGGAAAATATTTGCCTTGTAACTTCTTTTTTCAAATTCGTTTGGGTTTTTTGAAGCAAAGATAAGGCCAATTAGTATGTGCAAGTTTGTTTTGAAAATATGTACTTTGGCTGCCTAGTTCTAAATCTTCTCCTGTCAGAAGACGTCAAAAGAGAAAGATTAAATTATCCCTCCTTGTGTTTTATCCTTGTTAACAAGATGCCAGTGTTGATTTCAGCTGATAAGCCTTTCAATAGAAGAACATACATAAATTCTGATGGCTTAGATAAAATACATTTGTTGTGATTTTGAAATCAGAAGTCTGGACATTTTATCTACAGGCTCCTTGCTGTGTTCCTTTTATTTTAGGGACTTTCCAGTTTATTAAAATGTATTATAAAATTTGCAGAATAAAACTGATATTTCAACTCATCGAGGTCATTTTATATACTAGTATTTTAGTATTTTAAATGGTTCTTTTTTTTTCTTTTTTCAAATTTCAAGTTTTTGATGCCTTAAAGATGTCAAAAAATTTTGAAGAAGCTCAGGCGGGCGGCTTAATGTTGGGAGAACTTTTTCAGTTTCACACTTGTAATTAACAATCTTATTTTGTGTGACTATTATTTAAGCTTCCTGTCTACTTTGCTTCCAGGTCAGCACAAAGCCCTATTTAAGCTTGCCATGAGGCACTGGGAAAACTACACCTGCATATCTTTTGTAGAAAAGCAACCTGAACACAAAAATTACATTGTGTTTACGGAGAGACCTTGTGGGTAAGGGTATAGCTCTTAATGGATATCATTTTATGCTTCTAATTAATGTGATACATGATGTCCTTAAATATGGAAAAATGTTGATGATGTTATAAGAAAGGGTTTTGATTTTTCTGCAGAAATGTGGAGTTCTATGTTTTGGTTTTTGGTCAAATCCTAGACAGATTAAATGTGCACTGCACCTAAACTACAGTATTGTACAAGTTTTGAATATCTTTGACAGTACAGTAATATCACTCAATCTGTTGTTTGGCTATAAATAAGCTTCAATGAATTTTAAAGTCATATTGGCTGAGCTTTGTTCTTTTAAATTGTTTTGAAATACAATAGGGAACAGAAAACAGTGCTAACATTATCTACTTAGCATTTCGTTCTCCTATAGTAACAGGAGATGACATATTTTTCATTACGTATCCCAAGCACTATTTTATGATATGAAATCAAAGAACCTTTTTCCATCCGGGAAGTATTGATATCCTAACATACCGTTTTAACCTTGCTTAATGTGAGCCATCCAGGAAGTATGATTTGCATTATGTACTTCTCTAACCTTGCTAAATGTGAGAATCTTCTGTAGAAACAAGGAGAATTATAGGAAATTAAGCTCTTTTGATCATGTGTTTTGAATCTACAGATCTTGAATGAAGAGAATTAGGCTTCATTACTTTAATGACCTGTGGACATGTGAAATGATCTCACTCATATTAGTGTTATATAGCCCGAAGACATTTGCCACATGGCAGGGAGGGCAATTTGTAGGCAATGTGGCTTGGAAAATTAACCTATTTTATAAGTGAGGTTTTCTATAATACTTTTTAGACTCGGAAACTTAGAAATTTTCTTGCCTGTTCACCATGAATATGATTATTAATTTCCTGACATTAATTCAGATCAACACAGCTGCCAGTTGTGCAGATTTAATACATGCATAGAGTTTTCTGTTTTCAATACAGATCAGACAAAAATTAGGGTGGACAGATTTAGATGGTTCTGTTTGTCTGTACTGTTTATCTGCTGGCAGAGAGAAAATGGTTTACATCAAGGAGGTTCATTTCCAATCTTTGGTGCAATACTTTATTAAATGTTACAACATACTAGTAGTTTGAAGGATAGAATCATATAAAAATTGAATTTATAGGCAAAGATTTTTAATGAACAAACTGGTATAAATACTTTATTAAGTGTTTCAACATAATTTAAAGGATGAAATCATATAATTTTTATATTTAACTTTATAGGCCAAGATTATTATTGATCAAACTGAATAACCTTTGATTATAATCATTCATAGTGTGGTAATCAGACAGGCCAACGGCTCAGTCTGTAGAATTAAGGAGGTTGGGTTCGAACCTCAGTCTGGTTCATTGCATTTTTTCCCTTTCTGTTACATTTGGTTCCATTTACTACCCCTGGAGTTGAAAGTCTTGGCACAGGCAAAAAGATCTGAGGTTTGTGCCTTCCAGGTTGTAGACATTTAAGAAGGGAATGGCAGTCAGGGAGGTGATCAGTTCAGCACCTGTCTGGAGTTCTGAAGGGCTAGGTTTCGAATCCTCGTCAGGTCCATCATATTTTCTCCCTTCCTGTTACAAAAGCATATATGTATCTTACAAAACATATTGGCACAATATCAATAAAATTCAGAATACAATATAAAACTTTATTTTTTAGGTGTTGCTCATTTGTGGGTAAACGAGGGAATGGCGCCCAGGCCATATCAATCGGAAAAAATTGTGACAAATTTGGGATTGTTGTTCACGAGTTGGGCCATGTGGTAGGATTCTGGCACGAGCATACTCGCCCTGATCGAGATCAGCACGTACAAATTATCTATAAGAATATCATGCCGGGTAAGATAGAACAATATTGAATCATAAGTTCATTAGCTGAGAAATGATTATTTTATTTTTTTTCCTTGCTAATATCTAACAATTGCTGAATTTGCTTATCTCTTAATTCACTTAGCTTTGAAAAACACCAACATTATATGTTTGCTATGATCCATACTTCAATATCTTTGGTAATTCTAAAAATAATTTTAGGATTTTCCTCTCTCAACTGAAAAATACTTTAGGATATTACATCAGTCTGCTGTGGATAGAAGAAAACATGAAAGGCTTTAAATAAGTGAAATTATGTTCTAAACGTTCTTTATACTTCTGGTTAAAAGCTTCTTTAAAGGTAGGCATAGGTCATGGTTTAAATTGAAAAAAGATGTTTGAAACTAGAGTACTTACTCTCTTTATCCAAAAACAGGCTTCTAAATTCACTTGTTACCCTAAGATGAAGCAATAATTCACTGTGCATGTACTTATTCAAAGTGGTAAACTTGACCTAATGATACAACCACCTGTTTTTCTGTGTATCAATTTCTCTTCTAATAACAACTGTAGATTGATGGTAAACAAGTGCTCTCCAAGAAACACAATAAAGTTATTGAGAAGATAAGCATGTGGTAAATAGTTTCTGTGGATGTCTTCATTATGTTTGTGTCAATTGTACGATGGTATGTACTACACAAAGAGAATGAGTAATCTATGTAAAGAACACTCAGTGATTCTGGATAAACTCTAGGTAGATATATAACTTGTTCCATGTCGGATAATCATTTATTAAAAATTGGATTAAAGAGCAGATACTTGAAGAAAAGTACAGTCAAACCTTGTTATCTCAAACTCAATGGGATCAATAAAAAACTTCAAGATATCCTAGGATTTGAGATATTGAGGGTAAAATACTGTTATATTAAATAATTCTATAATAAGTGGTTGGGACTTCAAAATTACTTTTACTATTCATGGTATTCGAAATATAGGTGTTCAAGATAATGAAGCTTAACTGTATAATTCAATTTCCTCAAAAGAGACAACTATAGAGTTTGAATAAGGTATAAGATATATTAAAAAACAACAAAGTACTAGTACTACTAGTAATTAACAGATTCACCCGTATAAAGTTTGACTGTATAAAATATTGCAGAGAATTAAGGTTTAGCAGTCATGGTCTGAAAAAGCTGGGGAGAGCATTATTTGTATACTTTAGATAAGTAAAAACTTGCCACAGGTGTAATGCTGATCCATCTGGGAATGATATTTTCTTTTTGAAGCTCAGATAGAAGTATTCTGGTTATGTGCATGCAACTGAAACTTCACCTGAGAAATGTGACTACTGCAAACATAAATGTTACTCACTGGCGGGTTGTGGGGTGCAATAATTAATGTCTTCACGTGAAGGATGAAATGTTTGTAAGATATATAGTACACAAAATGCTGCTCGTGCCTCATGCTGATTTTCAAGGAAGGATAGTCGGAAAATTTTCTCCTACATAAAGTAAACCTCTCAGTGGTAATGCATCGCAAAGAAAACATGATGACGTTAATTAAACTTAAAACAACACAAACCTAGATGCAGGTTCGGCATTAGTAATGATACAGATTCTTTCGTAAGCTGGGTTTAAATCGGTATGTGTGTCTTATGTACTGGTACCTTTTTCTACTCTCATGTACAAACGAGTGCAAGTTATTTTACACCGAGACCTTGCTCTTCATATTTTCTCTCAATAAGATGTTACAATTACATGCAATATAATTTGCATTTGATGAGAAAGCTCCCCTATATTTAGTTGTTTTACATCGCTATTTTACACCGACTCTTTCCTCTGATGTTATTCTGATTTTAAAACTACAGAAATCATAATGGCTGATTTTCTTTGAAACTTTATTTTTATTTCTTTGCATTTATAAACAGCCATTTTATGTCTTTTACTTAATGTCATTTATCCAATTAGTTTAATTTTGTCTTTGTGGATACAGTGATCTTTGAAGGAACTGGTAGATAATTTTGTTCATGCGCCAGAAAAAATAGTGATTTGGAAATGAATCTTTAGATATAGCTAACTTGTTTCTATACAATTAATGTCCATGATTCTGTTTTTGAAAGATGAATACTTAGTTTTTATTACCGTTCTTTGTGCTTGCTAATTTAAAGTGCTTTAAATTTAGAAACAGTAAAATGTTTACTGTTTCATAAAATTCTTGTTATGTTCTTTCGTGATTAAATAATTGCAATGCACAGTGACAAAGAGATATATAAATAGAAATGTGTAGCAGAAAAATACTGGAACATCATTAAACTAGTGGTAAATCACTTATTTTCATGGGGTCTAATTTTCGTACTTCGGGGAAAAAAATAGGTTCAAGGGGATTAAATTTTGTGGGCGGAAGAAGTGTTGCATTGCCTTGATATGAAATTCTGATATTTCATGTTGGACATGAATTGTGGGTCTCTCCAAACCACGGAAAACAACAAAAATTAAACTCCCATGAAAATGAATGATTTCACAGTAATTTTCCAAAGGTTTATTTTGACTCATTGTTGATTGTGAGTACCATTGTTGGTATTTTTCATGTCATCAACCATTCATAAATCAGACTGAAGTATGCATTCCTTTATAAGAAATATGCCATCCGCAATATCATGTTCATGCATAGTAGAAGTGCAGTGTAATTTGCAAGCAATTAAGAATCGGTTTTTCAAAATTATCATTGCACCATGTGTATTTTAAAATTTCTTGCATGTATATTGTCAAACCAAACTAGCTGTCTGCTTCTTCTTGTCAAAACATATGTTGTACTAAAACTTATTTTATTTCAGGCCAGGAATACAATTTTAATAAGTTAACAGAAAGTGAGGTGAATTCTCTAGGAATGGCCTATGATTACGGCAGCATTATGCACTACGCTAGGAACACCTTTGCTAGGGCAACCTATGTGGACACCATATTACCTCGTAAAAAGCCAGAGATGATCGTCCGTCCAGAGATTGGTCAAAGAGTCAAACTCAGTTCAGGAGATGTAGCTCAAGCAAACAAACTTTATAAATGTCCAGGTAATTTTGCCTTGGAGAGCTCATGTACAAATTACATATATAGTCAAGCCTCGTTATTTCAAACTCAAGGGGACCGAGAAAATACTTTGAGATATATGAAGATTCGAGATATCCAGGGTAAAATGCTTAAGGAATAAGTGGTTGGGACTTCCAAATCACTTTGACATATTCATGGTATTCGAGATATCAGAGTTCCACATACCAAAGTTCAACTGTATATGTAATAGTGTATTGCAGAGCAAAACAATCCCAAAAATATTTAAACTTAAATTTGAAGACATTGTACAGCTAGAATTATATTTTTGTTTGATTTTATAAAAGGGATTGAGGGGCAATATGTGTAATGAAAAGTCAATAATATATGGAATGCAGTCATAAAAAAATTCAAAGAATACAACAGCTGGATGAAGAAATACAAGAAAGCAATTGAGAGTTAAGAAATCTAATTTTGTTAAAAGGAAAATGTTAAAATTCTTAAGTGAATTGGGTTTCAGGTAGAAATAATGGTTAATTAATTCTGATTTCAAAACCTCTGCATCAGCAAGTTTGTTATATAAAAAAAACTTCAAGGCTTCAAGCATAAAGTAATTATAACCAGGTTATCATAAAAAAGCATACATTTTTGCATATCTGATCAGGCTTTGATAACCAATTTAGTAACTGCATTCATAAAACTAACTCAAGCTTCAAAAACATTTGGATATCTATCACAAAATCATGGAAAAAAAAAGAACAGAATTAATCTTTCATTGCGATTTTTTTCGACAAATAAATTTTTGTAATTGATCCTTTTATGCATCTGTGTGGTAAATTTTTCAAGTATTTATTCCAGTGTGTATTCAAGAGGTACAATTTCACTGCACAGAGAAATCTTGTGTTGATTCTGACAATTTGTCAGCGTGTCATGTCTCCCTTTTATTTTCTTGTCATCAAAAATTTTTAAGCACAAGACAGTGTTATCTTAGGGAATCTGAAGTTTGTCACCCATAATGGCCTCTGCCAGGATGAGACCAAGTGTAAGGAAAAAGGAGAAACTCAGACCCTAAGTTCCTATTTTTTTGATGGTGAACAAATGACACAGTGTACTGGGTTAATTCACCTCCACACCTAATTAGGCACCTATAGGTGATCAGCACACCTAATTTAACTCAGGCTGATAGTGAGCTAATGGGTCCCCTCTCCCTGATAAATACTGTACTTGGATATCGAATTTCTAACTAATCTTGTGGTTTTGCGGTCATGATGTTATCGGTTTGAATTTTAACTGTGTCAGAAATCTTTATAGCAAGCAATTAATTTGTAATGCCACAGGTGTACTTCAGTTAATGAATAATACTGGATCAATCACATTCATGGATTAATAGTTTAGAATCATCAATAATTGAGAAGCCATCAATTCAGTATATCTAACCAAAGCAACATTAAAGTTATATCATTTTGTAAGATTTCAAAATTTTGTTCACATTGACCTCATTTGCCTGTCTATTTGTTTAAAATATTCTTTTTAAAATAATATGTTTCCTCTTATAAAAACTCTTATATCTGTCATCTACATATATAAACTAATCTATTCTGACTCTTTTCAGCCTGTGGACGCACACTTCAGGAATCTATAGATAAATTTTCATACACCCCAACCCCAGGCAAGCCAGCTACATGTCAATGGAGAATCTCGGCCACTCATGGGGAGAAAATTGTTTTAAATCTGACAGAGCTGGATATCCCCGACTCTGTCCAGTGTGAGAAGCATTACCTAGAAGTCAGGGATGGACATTTTATCATGTCTCCACTTTTAGGTAAGGTCAAAGAGGTCAAAAGTCAAAGGTCAAACATTGGATTCTGAATGTAGTTTGAAAAAAAAGCACTTAATAAGGCTTTGTCACTCAGTTTTAGTTTTTGAGTTAGTTTTCTAATGACTATAAATGCTTATAACTTCTGAGCTCTCTTTCCTGTTCCCTCTTGATTTCGTTTATCAATGTTCTGTAATAGAATGGTTAAAAAAAAAAGATACAATCATTCACAGAAGACTAGACAACAGACAGATCAATCATGGATGTTGAGATAAATAGATCTTAAAGAAGACTGTTACTTAACAACTCTGAAGTAAAATACAGCCCGACTGATTGATTCATAATGATGTACATGTATTTTTCTGTGATATTTGATATCTGTAGGTCGGTTCTGCGGAGACAATGCACCCACAACGCTTATTTCAACAGACAGCAGAATGTGGCTGGAGTATCATACCTCAGATGGACAAGGGGGGACAGGATTTTCTGCTCAGTATGAAGGTATTAATTAAAGATGGAGGTGCTGTCCTTGACTCTAGTCAGCATCTATTTCATATGTTTGAATGTTCAAACATTAAGGGAATCACTTAAGAAGTATTATGTGCAGGGAGGGTGTAAATTTTAATTACATGTAAAACTTTCATAGTATAGTATTAATTTGGTTTATGTTTACATTTTATTATAATTTTTAGCTAAAAAAAAACATTTTTTTTAAAGGACTCCCATGTGCATTTAAATGTCATTTGAACTTAAAACTAATATACCAACAATACCGGTACTAAAGAACTCAAAAGTACATGTATGCTAATGTTCAAAATCTGAAACACCCCAAAAGAAATATACAAGATATATCACACTGTATGTACATGCAACAAGCAGATATCCTGCAATCTTTCACTGAAAAATTTTAATGCTATTTTAAGTACAAGTCCCTGAATCATTTGTACTCTGAGAGATTCTGGCTCTGCTCTTCAGCGTAAGCCAACAGGTAGCAAACCTAAATAGCAATCCCAAACTGGGAAACCTAATGAAAGCACCTCAGACTCATCTGTCGACAAATCACCTGAAAATTTCATCACAACAAGGCACAGTGGTGGTGATGCCAAATTTCCAGGTGCTCCCTCCATGCCATTGCATGGTTTATTTTGCCATCTGTGCCCACATTGCCTAAGTAATCTTGTGAAAGTGATGATTGCTTATTACCTGGCTTTGATTAGAATGAACCTAAACAGGAAAGGCTCAAGTGCAAATTAACCGGGCTCTGATCTTCTTACAGGTCCATAGAAATGATGTAACAAATAAATTATACAAGGGAAAAAACACATATATTCTGGGTACAGGTGTCTTTTGCTGGAATTTTTGGAATATTAGTAGCACCTGCTATGTGGGAGAAATTTGTAATGGCTAGATTTTCTTGATTGTTGAGTGAAAAAAGAATTATTGTAAACTGTATACTTTATGAAATACTATCATAAGACTTCAACTGTTGAGTAATTTCAGGGGAATTTTTCTTTTGTTAGTTATGCACTTGTAGGTGAATTATGAAAATAAATAGCTATTCCAGATACATTTCTGCATGGTAATCTGCATGAAATCAATTTCATACACCGGTTACAATTTACGGTTTCAATTTCTATTTTGATTTGTAACAAGTAAAAAAAATAACGACCCTGACTCAATACAAACATTGCAGTATGTTTAGGATAATTGTATAGAAAATTACTTTTCTGGCATGTCTGGTATTCTGTCAATATGGTTTTTTTTTCTTATTTTGGTTAAATTAAAGTGCGAAGGAATGCTATGAAAGAGCACAGACTCAAATAAAACTACAGGATATTGAATATTCGTTATTGATTTGTAATAATTGCAAATTGATGGGCAAAGTTCTTGTTAGAAGGCCCATTACTTAGACCCTAAAAATCCAAACATGATAATACCATATTCTGCCTACACTTTACTGCTCTTTTGGTTTAAATGTGCAACCAATTTTGGTCAGACTGTTTTCCTTTTTTGTAGCAAATATATTCAATTTTGAACTAATTAAATATAGATCTTGGAATAATTTTCTCCTAATTACATCTAATTAGTCAGAAATTTATGCAGCAGAGATCTGATAAAATTGATGTAAAAAATTGTTGTTTTGCATCATCAAATTGAGGCAAAAAAATTGCAAAATGCATTTGATAACTTCTTACTTGCCAGATAATGAATATTTTGTGTGCTATTGCTTAATTAAACAACTATTTCCCCTTTTCCTCAATTACACCCCTGGGCTGATCACAGCTTCTACATGATTTAAAGACATTGTCACTGCTTCATTATAAAGCACCTCTAATGCAACTAACCGATATAAAGAATTAGATATACTGTATTTCAACTGATAGTGGAAAGTTATTGAGACTGAACAAGATTTACATCATAATTAAGGTATTTCATTCCTCATTGACCTTGAACTTTGAGATAGGCATATGACCTTGAGTCAAGATCATGACATTCATGTGTATCATATCAGCCATAACACTTAAGTTTGAATTCATCCAGTCAAAATCTGTTGGCCCAGTGATTTTAACCTTTTATATATAAAGAGTCAAGATCATGACATATTTTTGGTCAGGGACAACAACACAGTCAAGTTTAAAAGTCAAGTTTAAATCCATGCATTCAACGGTTCATGAGTTATGACACTGTTTTATGACAGACAGACAGACAGATCGATGGGTAACTATTTATATATATTAATATATTATAGACAGAATGACAAGCATATCAAAATATGTTTACTCTACAGAGGAAGTCTTTGATTTGCTTCTTATGAAGTACATTCATTTTAATTTAAAAATGAATTCATACAAAATTTATTTTTGTCATTGATACTTGCAGCTATTTGTGGGGGTGAGATCCACAAGGATGTAGGCCAGTTAACTAGCCCTAACTACCCTGATGATTACAAGTCCAACAAAGAATGTGTCTGGAAAATCACTGTGGACAAAGACTATTCTGTTGCACTGAAATTCCAGTCATTTGAGGTATGAAATTTGGAATGAAAGAGTTACTGCCCATTGTAGTAATTTCTGGACTGTTGAGAGGAAGAAAAAGAACATTGTGTTGATATTTTTGAAATTAACATGAACAATTGAATGTATGTGGTATGCTTAAAAAAAATCAATAGATATGTACATATGGAGAGTTGATTTTGTTTTCTTTTAGATTGAGAGCCATGATGACTGTGTATATGATTACCTGGAAATCCGGGACGGCCCTGATCCTACCTCAAAAGAACTTGGCCGATTCTGTGGATATAAGATCCCAGAGGATGTCAAGTCCTCAGGAAACACTCTCTTTGTTAAATTTGTATCAGATGGTTCGGTTCAGAAATTAGGCTTTGCAGCTTCATTTATAAAAGGTAAATATGTATTTTAATGAAGAATTTACATTAATTGTCTTGAAATGTTTATCACTAGTTTTTTTAATGAGAGATGAAAAATATGAAGCTTTTTTCTTTAGGATATTTATTATACTGCCTTTAGGTGTCCTTGGTTTGAACAGAATGTAGATTTGTTCCTGAATTGAAATATGAAAACTTTTGTTAATATTTTTTAAAGAGTATGATGAATGTGCGACAGATCATCATGGTTGTGATCATATATGTGTCAACACTCTTGGTAGCTTCAAATGTGAATGTAAAATTGGTTATGAATTGCACTCAGATGGCAAAAAATGTGAAGGTAAATATTATGTTAAGTCTGTTGTATTCATATATTATAAGTGTCTGCAATCTTAATGAAAAGTTATCTCAGAATGACAAATTTTCATAGTTAAACAATTTTCCTATAAAGAGATTAAAGTGTAATTGTAAGGTTATGTACGTCTATATCAAGTCCAAAATCATAGCTCCCCAGAAAATAATTGATTATCAGTTGTTGACATGTTTGAATAAAAATACATTCTGAATAAGGAATTATCATTATTGTAGATGCCTGTGGGGGATACATTGATCAAGCCAATGGCACCATACAGAGCCCCTCATTCCCTGACCTGTACCCTCCCAACAAGAACTGCGTGTGGCAGATAGTAGCCCCGGACCAATATCGTATCACTCTTAACTTCTCCCACTTTGATATGGAGGGCAACAATGTATGTCTTATCAATGAAAAAAAAATGAATTAAAATGTGTTATACTAATGTTGTATTGTATTGCTTAGAGGGGATCTTAGAATGTGTTAATGAGGCTTTGATGCATTTTGTGTTAATGCTATTACACTATGGAAGACTGAAATTTCCTTAAATTTTATGTAGTGCATTACTTTTTTATGCCAAGTATTTAAATAATCTTCCAAATATTTGAAAAAGAATATTTTTTCTTTTAATTTAGCAAGACTGTGAGTATGATTCAATCCGTGTGAGCAGTGGAGTGGGACGGGATTCAGTCATCCATGGCATTTACTGCGGGTCTACTCTTCCTTCCTCCATTACGTCAGAGAGTAACACACTAAGGATTGAGTTCAACTCAGATAATTCAGTCCAGAAAACAGGATTCCATGCTCGCTTCTTCACTGGTAAAAAAAAAGAAATCAAAACTACTGTGTTTGAAAATAAATGAAATTAACACTAATTAATGGCATTTGAAATTAAAGCATCTCTGAAAATCTGAGAAAGTACATAAAGAGATATATGAATTATTAGATAAAATGGAGTCTGAAACTGAAGCTTGTTGCTGGAATTTTTATTACTGTTCACGAATCCTTGTATCTGTATAGCAAAGATAAATAAAGTCTTTTTTTTACGTGAATGAATTTTTGGAGTATTTTAAACAATAAATGCATGGTTTCTTTTGCAGATAAGGATGAATGTGCTGTAAACAATGGTGGATGCCAGCATGTTTGTAAGAATACAGTGGGAAGTTATGAGTGTGCCTGTCATAATGGATTCACTCTTCACGAGAACAAACATGACTGTAAAGGAGGTAAAAAACGTGAAACAGTCGTACAGTTCTAAATGGCAAGGGAAGTAAATGCAGAATTTTCTTTACATTTTTCTTGAAACATTTATTTTTACTCTATTGTCAACACAAGCTGACCTGGATGGGCTATAATTATATCCCAGGACATGAAGTTTGGGAGGAATACTGAAGTCACCATGTCCATCTGTCTATCTGTCCTCGATTTCAGAAATAAATGTAATACACATGTACATACCATTTGAACATGTGCATATGGTATTTTCAGATTAATTTGTCAAAATTGAAAATATTATTGATTTCATTTTACATTATATCTGAGATGGGAATAAGAAGAGTGAAATTCTTGCCTTGACCACAACTTTGAAAAAATATTACAATATTAAACTTAGCACAAAAATTGCCTATGACTAGAGGATGTTTAAAGCCTTGCACCTTGATCATTTGGACAAGATCAAGGTCACTGGATTTGAGGGGTATAATTCTTTTCTATAGCATAAATTTGAAACGGATTGACTTCACAAGATAATACTTGTCCCCTATTTTTTAAGACTAGTTTCATATTGTTTAGGTAACGTATTTGCATAATTCTCAAAATGAACAATATATACATGTATTTAAACCTTAGGAAGTAAAACAACAGTTGTCTTTCCAGTTACATTTCATATCTTAAGCTGAATTTAACATTTTGAAAATTAGTTAAGAACCTTCTGATGTTCACAGAATCATGGGACAATTGTTTTTCTGCCTGTCTGTCTGGTTCTTAAGCTTTGGTCGTGACTGTTTAATTGTTTGAGATTGAGACTTTGCATCTGATCATGAGAGGTCAATACTTTACATCATGTCAATGTAATACTTATAGAGGTCAACTTAATGTTGGACCACCATAAATACTGTGCAACAAGAGGGGCTTATTTTTCATGCATACATCTTGTCTTATAGGAAAGCATAATACATTCCTATAGGAAAGTATAAAACACAAAATGAAGTGATGTTTATAAATAGGTGGCTGTCAACACAAGATCAAAGATCCTGAGGGAGAAATCAGCAGTCCCAACTGGCCAGACTTTTACCCCAGTCGTAAAGACTGTGTGTGGCACTTCACCACCACCCCGGGGCACCGTGTCAGGCTCACCTTCATCAACTTTGAATTGGAACCACATCAGGAATGCACATACGACCATATTGAAGTATTTGATGGCAAAAACATCAACAGTCATAGTCTAGGGAGATACTGTGGAAGCAAGCTCCCTCATCCTATAACCTCTAGTGGTAACGAAATGTACATGGTTTTCTACTCCGATGCCTCTGTACAAAGGAAAGGATTCCATGCAAGTCACAAGACAGGTATGTATCAAATTCTCATAAGATACTCAGTAGAATTGTATTGTTTTTTTGTTTTTTGCTTTTGACTATGGTATAAAAGGTACACTTATATACTATTTAGATGTCTTATAACTTATTGCATTGGATATATCTTTTACAAAATGCACTGATGACATGAATGGAAATACTGTAAATTGCTATATTCACAAGAACTTTATTTTCGTGTAATTACAGTAGACCATTAGCTGCAGAACTGTAGCGTTGTGGTTTTATTTATTAGTCTGTTATGGTCAAAGACTAATATATAAAACCATAACGCTACAGTTCTGCAGCTAAGTAGACCATATGCTCGTGAAAATTTCATTCTTGAATATAATTCTACTATTAAAGATTATATAGAGCAATAACCAAAATTTGTGAAAATTTTGTTTTGCTTATAAAATGCGTAACAACAATCTCATGAAAATAAAGTGTCAGGAAAATTTAGTGATCTACAGTACTATGTTCCTTGTATTTTTTATGTCTTAATTTGCATTACATCTTGTTTGCAGTTTGTGGAGGAGTCCTTGTTGCCAAGGAGACCAGTAAACGCTTGTTTTCACATGCCAAACATGGTGACCAGAACTATGACAACAAAATGGAGTGTGAATGGCAAATCGTAGCTAGCCCAGGACATCACGTCAAGTTCAAGTTTGACACTTTTGAGATTGAGGATGAAAGTGATTGTGGGTCAGTTATTTTTTTTAATAGTAACAAGTTTCTGTGTATTTTATTGAAAAGCCACTATGTAGCAGAAGTTAAAGATTACAAACATTCCTTCATTTATTTAAAATAAGGACTCATGTGAAGTACCCAGTAGTTGTTATTTTCTGGATTTTTAAAATTAATACATTCTACCAATTTAAGATAAATTTTCAATTTGGTGATCCTGCTAAGTGGGTGTATTAGATATAGCACTATCACATCTCACCAATGCAGCTTGGGCTAGAAATCATCTGTATGCAAGGTTTGTAGACAGAATGGTGGTCTCTGTCTGCAATCTGTGCTTGATGTCATGGGTTAAATTTCCTCATCATGCTTAATTTCCAAAGTACAGTTGAAATAACCCTTTCTAGAAACATCATAGTCATGGAAAAATATGAAAATAAAACTTATGTAGGTTATTGTGAAATAATGTACTGAATTTGACAAACTCAATTTTCATCAATGTTTTATAGGTATGACAATGTTGAGGTGTTTGATGGGAAAGCAGATACAAGTCCTGGACTGGGAAGATTCTGTGGAAGCAAGGTATAATGGAATCATTTCTCTAGATTAGATAAACTTGACCTTGTTATGAAATTGACCTTGTTATGAGATTTTGACCCAAAGTATGTTAGGTGCAGTACATTTCCATTATGTTCAAAAAGATAAACCTTTATATATATATTAGATATTGAAGTTTCAATATGCAGAGTTTATGATCATCAATTTATCTTGATTTATATGTACACATATATTTATATGTACACATATAATCATATACAATGTATAATTACATAGATATTATTTCTTTGCCAGGTGCCAGATGAAATAATTTCTTCTGACCAAAATCTACTGGTGAGGTTTAAATCTGATGACACAATCAACTGGAAGGGCTTTTCTGCCACATACCATGAAGTTCCCTCCAAAAACCAGGGGTCAGGGGTCATTAAGCCACTTCCTATGTCGTAGTCAGGGGTCAATTCAGACTTGAAACCTCTTGGTTTCCGTAACAAATAATGCAGACTTTCATGATCATATTGTGATATGTCAGAGATTATTTTAGTATGAATGGAAAATTTAGTATCCTGTGAATAGTTGACTATGATTCTTTGCTGCAAAATCAACATTGGGAACTCATGTGAAACTTCATTGTATTTGAGATTGTTTCACAGGATACGAAAAGTTTAATGTCATTTGTGTACATAATGATCGAAGGTCAATGGCAGTAAAGATTCTTCATTTGAAGTATATTATTTCAGGTTTGTATATACGTGAATTGTGTAGAACTTTATATAGTAAGTTATTGTTTTTGATGTACTAATTATCAATTGACTTTTGTTGTTAACATGATTTTATTGCATGTTTTTATGAAAATGTTATGTTAATATACATGTATGACCATCAGTTCTGGAGTTTATTTGTTGATATGATTTTTATGTTACATAAAAAAGAGTTTTAACCAGAAATATATGTTCACATATTTCTGATATTACTTTTAGTAGACTGTTGTCAACAAAATTATATAGAACCATTTGCATCGGTGCAATTTTTGAGAGGTAATATTGTTTTACTACACTTCATAGCATCAAAATACCCTTACTGAAATCTTCAGAGGAAAAAGGGAAATTTTATTTTTCAAAACTGGCTTATTTAGCCAGAGTACAGTAAAGCTGTGAGAAGAAAAAAAAAATTGTGTCTTTTATATCTGTTTAAAAATGCATTTAAAAAAATTAGTAGTTAATTTCAAAAATGGGCAATATGTTTTAATGTAATAATTTTGTGGCTAATTTCCAGCAGCAGATATATTTGCATCCAAATTTGTTTTAAGATTTCATCACATGTAAGCAAAAGCAACTGTATGTAATGTGCATTTCAAAAATATGTTACCTTTCACTTATTATGATTATCACTATTATTAATTTGAAGTTCTTAAGATTTTGCTTAAATGTTTTTTAATGAAACTTTATTTTGAGCACATCTAATTAAAATGTTTGAATCATTGAATTCATTTGATCAGTGACTGGTTTTTTTTTCTTTCTTATATTTGTATTTTTTGAGGGTGATATATTAAGAACTAATGAAATTGTTCAATGTTGAATTGTGTACATTTTTTCAAGAAGAAAATAAATTTCTTTTGAAAATGTTTCCATTTTACTCTTATGATTAATAACCTGGCTGATTTGACAGTAATGTCACTGATGTCATTGAAGCCTATAACTCTTAGAAAAGTTTGTTTTTCTTTCACCATGAATAATGTATCCTATGGACCCACCATGTGTTATAAAAGATTCACCTAAAGCAAGTAAACTAGATCAAAAGACTCGGTTGACCATATTCATAATCATTTTAAAATTCTTATCCTTCATGCATATGTGACATGTATCATAGATTATCATCAACTGTTGAACAATCTCAACTTCGAAAATCGTTTCCCTGTGTGTAGGGTACAGGCCCCAAGGTTGTGTCAATTTGATAACAAAATGTAGATGGATTAAGTCTATGAGTCTTACTCTTAACCCCTACACTGTAATCTAGTAAAAATCATATGAAAGTTTACTGAGTTGTTGATTATATACACGTACTTAATAAGGAGCCTTACCTCTATCAAAATGATTAATTTCCTTTAACATCTAGAAGGCTTTTAGCGGATATACAGGTAATATCTACAACTTGCTTCAGGTCTTGGAGTGGAAGCAAAATGGATATATTAATTGAAAATGCATTAAATCTGCATGAGGAAATCCTTATATACCCTCTAACATTTAGAAGAAATATTGATACAGGTAATCAGAAATGATGTAGACTGAAATCAATATTCCTCCCCACTGTGTGCATGGGGTCCTGAGACCAGACAAGGACTGGAACACTGCCCCCCTGAACTCTACACAAGTGCTCAGAGTACCAGCTGAGATATCTGGCTAATGGCAAACAAACTTGTCTGACTGCATGCTACACATGTAATTATACATGTAATAACTCTGACTTTTAGTCTAATTCCACATAAAAGAGGCATCAACCTTAGAAAAAATGATGAATTTTTTTTGCAGTTTACAAGTATGAAAAAAAATTACATGGTGAAATTGCATGTGCTTGTATGATCAGACTGATATTAAATGTGTTAATATGTGTTAGGATTGTCAACAAGATGTGTTTGTGAAACACTAATGCCCCTGTATGGCAACTTACAGCAAAGGTTGAACTTTCTCAAATGCAGATCAAATATGTTGGTACCCAAAGTAAGGTCTTGTCCCGAGAAATATACCTGTGAAATATGAAAGCCCTAGCAGCAACCATTGAAGAGATATGGAAAAGGTTTAAGTTTTCAAAAGTAAGTCAAACATCAAGGACAAAGGAAGGTCTTACAATACAAGGACGACAATAATGTAAATTTGCTTCAATCAAAGCATATAAATAGTTCTTCCATCACAAATATTAACAATAGAAGATTATAAACCTCATTTTTTTCTGTCATTTAAATAATTATTACACTATTAAAACAAAAAATTTCCAACATGAAAGTTGCAGCTCATATTGCTTTAAAGAAGGAACACAATATCACTGGAGAATTTCCATTCCCCCCCCCCCCCCCGCCCCATTTGTACATGAATGTTTATTAACAAAATTATGCTACACTCTAGTTAAATTGATTCCCTTTAATCCTCTCACACAGATTATTATACAAGAAAGTGTAGTCGATTCGAAGGATCTAAATTTGATAATGTTGACATTATAGTCTTCTTTTTTTTGATCGGGATCAAATACACGAAAGCTCGGGTTTGGGATTTTGTATGAAAAATTGGTTCTTCGTGGTATAATATGTATGCTGTTTTGGATCTCGTAACCAGCCTCTATAACCAGGCAGAGCGCATGCGTGAAATAAATTTCCATCGAGATCGGAAAACAGCAGAGAGGAAATTCGGAATATATAATGGAAACTAGTAATGCGGAATGATACTATAGTCAAATGCAGAAATTTTTGCATAATTCGATCAACTTTTATTTAAAAAAGCAGAAGAATAAATGAATCAACTTTACAGTTAGTTTTTATTTATTTATTTATTTATTTATTTATTTATTTATTTATTTATTTATTTATTTATTTATTTATTTATTTATTTAATTTATTTATTTATCATTCTTACAATTAATTAACTAAGTAACTGATTAATTTATTAAAAAATATATATTTGTATTTTTTTTAAATTCATTTATAACATTCTTTCCTTCATTTATTAATTATTCCATCCATTAATTAATTATCTATTAATTAATTCATTGATTTATTAATTTGTATGCATGTTTGTTTATTTATTTATTTATTTATTATTCTAATAATTAAGTAATTGATTAATTCATTAAGAAGTTCATTTATTTGTTTGTTTATTTATTTATTATATTCCTTCCTTCATTTATTTCGTATTCTATTTATTTATTTATTTATTATTTATCTATTTATTTATGCATTCATTTATTCGTATTTTTATTTATTTCTTTATTTTTTATTTCTTTATTGATTGATTGATTTATTTTTGCATTTATTTATTGATTTATTTATGCATTTATCATATATTTCTTTTATAAATTAATTATTTTTACAGGGTTTGTATACTTATTACCAGGGTCTGTTTATGTATTGCCATAGTTTGTATACCATCACCAGGGTCTATATACCTATCACCAGGGTCTGTATACCTATCACCAGGGTCTGTATACCTATCACCAGGGTCTGTATACTTATCACCAGGGACTATGTACCTATCACCAGGGTCTATATACCCATCACCAGGATCTGTATACCCATCACCAGGGTCTGTATACCCATCACCAGGGTCTATAAACCTATCACCAGGGTCTATATACCCATCACCAGGGTTTGTATACCCATCACCAGGGTCTGTATACCTATCACCAGGGTCTGTATTATCTATCACCAGGGTCTGTATACCCATCACCAGAGTCTGTATATCATTCACCAGGGACTGTATTATCTATCACCAGGGTCTGTATATCTATCACCAGGGTCTATATACCTATCACCAGGGTCTGTATACCTATCACAAGGGTGTGTATGCCCATCACCAGAGTTTATATACCCATCACCAGGGTCTGTATTATCTATCACCAAGGTCTGTATACCCATCACCAGGGTCTGTATACCTATCACCAGGGTCTGTATACCCATCACCAGGGTCTGTATACCCATCACCAGGGTCTGTATTATCTATCACCAAGGTCTGTATACCTATCACCAGGGTCTGTATACTTATCACCAGGGTCTATGTACCTATCACCAGGGTCTGTATACCCATCACCAGGGTCTGTATACCCATCACCAGGGTCTATAAACCTATCACCAGGGCCTATATACCTATCACCAGGGTTTGTATACCCATCACCAGGGTCTGTATACCTATCACCAGGGTCTGTATACCTATCACCCAGGTCTCTTTACTTATCACCAGGGTCTGTATACCTATTACCAGATTCTGTATACCTATCACCAGGGTCTGTATACCTATCACCAGGGTCCGTTTTATCTATCACCAGAGTTTAAATACCTATCACCAGGGTCCTTATACCTATTACCAGGGTCTGTATACCCATCACCAGGGTCTGTATACCCACCACCAGGGTCTGTATTATCTATCACCAGGGCCTGTATACCCATTACCAGGGTCTGTATACCCATCACCAGGGTCTGTATACCTATCACCAGGGTCTGTATTATCTATCACCAGGGTCTGTATACCTATCACCAGGGTCTGTATACCTATCACCAGGGTCTGTATTATCTATCACCAGGGTCTGTATACCTATCACCAGGGCCTATATACCTATCACCAGGGTTTGTATACCCATCACCAGGGTTTGTATACCCATCACCAGGGTCTGTATACCTATCACCAGGGTTTGTATACCCATCATCAGGGTCTGTATACCTATCACCAGAGTCTGTATATCCATCACCAGGGACTGTATTATCTATCACCAGGGTCTGTATATCTATCACCAGGGTCTATATACCTATCGCCAGGGTCTGTATACCTATCACAAGGGTGTGTATGCCCATCACCAGAGTCTATATACCCATCACCAGGGTCTGTATTATCTATCACCAAGGTCTGTATACCCATCACCAGGGTCTGTATACCTATCACCAGGGTCTGTATACCCATCACCAGGGTCTGTATACCCATCACCAGGGTCTGTATTATCTATCACCAAGGACTGTATACCTATCACCAGGGTCTGTATACCTATCACCAGGGTCTGTATACCTATCAACCGGGTCTCTTTACTTATCACCAGGGTCTGTATACCTATTACCAGATTCTGTATACCTATCACCAGGGTCTGTATACCTATCACCAGGGTCCGTTTTATCTATCACCAGGGTCCTTATACCTATCACCAGGGTCTGTATACCCATCACCAGGGTCTGAATACCTATCACCAGGTTCTGTATACCTATCACCCGGATCTCTTTACTTATCACCAGGGTCTGTATACCTATTACCAGATTCTGTATACCTATCACCAGGGTCTGTATACCCATCACCAGTGTCTGTATTATCTATCACCAGGGTCTGTATACCCATCACCAGGGTCTGTATACCCATCACCAGGGTCTGTATACCCACCACCAGGGTCTGTATTATCTATCACCAGGGCCTGTATACCCATCACCAGGGTCTACACCCATCACCAGGTACTGTATTATCTATCACCAGGAACTGTATACCTAACAACAGGGTCTGTATACCCATCACCAGGGTCTGTATACCCATCACCAGGCTCTGTATACCTATCACCAGGGTCTCTATACTTATCACCAGGGTCTGTATATACCCACCACCATCTATAACTATCATCAGGGTCTATATACCTATCACCAGGTACTGTATACCAATCACCAGGGTCTCTTGACCCATCACTCGGGTCAGTTTATCTATCACCAGGTTCTGTATACCAATCACCAGGGTCTCTTGACCCATTACCAGGGTCAGTTTATCT